CGGTCTCAGTCCCCGACCTGGATCAGTCCTGGTTCAATCCGTATGCAGTGCAAAAGTCCAGCATCGCAGTCACGGAAGTCACGTAAACACATTTAAACACAAAATCAAAAACTGAAAAACTAATCATTATCTGTTTTTTCATTTTTGTTTTGCAGACAAATAATGAAGAAATCAGTTTTTTTTTTTTTTTCGTTTTCTTATTTTAGGTTTTATATTGAAAAACAAATGATACCTGGATGACTTAGTATCACAGCCATGATTTAACCCAGGCGTCATCAAACTAAGTCCAACTGAGGCCATCCACGCCCCTTTGACCTCACCACTTGAACTGGTCCTTTGAGGCAATCCTCAAAAGTTGTCATAGCCTTTTTTTTTTTTTATTACTTTTTGGCAATAACACATCTGCATCTTGTATTTTGTAGATTGTTCAATAAAAAAAATATATTTATATGAAGTATTTATATTTAAATCATTATATAACATATTTATAAATTTTGCAGCCAAATTTTCATCACCTGACAAACTCGACAACACACACAGAGTTGTGCAGTGCAGTTACGGACAGCAACATGACTCATGTTAAAGAATGAAAAGTTGACAGAGAGTGCAGTTTTTAAAGAGCAGTGGACAATAGATTACTTTTTTTGTTCAGTGTTGGAGCGTGCAGTTTGTCTGATATGTAAAGAAAGTGTGGAGGGTTTCAAAAAATATAATCTGGGTCATACACTTCTGTTGTACGACCGACCCGACCCCGGCCCCGTCACACTCAGGAGCCATAACGTGGCCCCCAGAGGAAAACGTTTGGTGACCTCTGATTTAGCCTTTGTTTTTCACTGAATCGTATCGAATCGATTTGAAATATATCATATCAAATTGCATTGGATCAAAGTGCACTGTATCGAAAAGTGTATTATATCGTGGCCTATGTATCGTATCGACATTTTCTTCCTGATACTCAGCCCTACTCTCCATTTAAATTGTGCCATTTAAACTGTGCCAGTATTAGACCAACAGGGTCACAGGACCAAACACTTGGGGCACATTACTGCCACTGTGTCCTCAGGCAAGACACTTAACCACTTAACCTTTGATGCTCTGAGTCTCCCCTCTCTCTGCTCCTTGAGCTTAGTCAATACCCCTTCAGAGCGCTATCACAACAGGAATGAGCTTTAAAGTCCCCCTGAATTGAACCCTTTACAAAAGTTTGTTAATCTATATACATGTAAATAATATAATATTAAAATTAAGTAATATAATTATTTTTCATTATATATTGTATTAATTACACACGCAAGTTACAATATATCTCAACACATTTGTTCATACACACAAATAAAATGGCAAAATGATGTGATCTCAAACAGGGATGTATCAATAACTGAAATATCATGATATCGTATCGTTAAAAGTCTCACAATAAAACCGTGGGGTGTCAAAACATATCGAATTACATGTTCCTTTGCTTAAATGCATTTTATAAAGTAGCAACTGCTAATAAACATCAGGAACTACATATCTCATGATTCATTTCAGCGCAGATAACAAAGAAATGTTTTTACTTGAATTCTTCAGATTAGTGAGAATAATGATTCACACCAAAATCTTGTCAAGGTATTTTAAAAACCAAAAAGTGTCCTGTTTACAATTATATTAGTTTCTCCAAAAGATCGGAATAAATATTGTACCGTGAGACGCATATCGTGATAATATCATATTGACAGATTTGGATATTGTTGCATGTCAAACACACACAAAAAGAGTAAATACAGAGTGTCAAATGACTCCTCCGGAACAGCCCACAAGTGAAACTCGTGTTCTCAATAAATGTGCCACAACTATTTCAAGATTTTATCTCACAGATTTCAATGAAACACACAGTAAAGACCTCCCTAAAAGTGATTCTGAAGGATTTTTGAACAAATTCTGTAGCTTTCCAAGTTTCTGGTGTTCCACTGCTGACAAATAATGCTCATGGCAATTTAGGAAATAGGGTCATTCCATGCCATTTCATCAAATTTCCAGAAAATCTCACAAATCATGTTTTTTAAAAAAAAATTGAAAAAATTTAAAATTTAAGGAGCTTCATAAAATACATATGTTTGGTACCATATGAAAAGTCTTTTTCTGGTCTTTCAAGAAAAAAAATATTCCAAATTTTTTCATCACGACCCACATGCCATAAATTACATGTGAAAATTGAACCATGTTGCATTTTCTTGTTTTAAACAGGACCCTCACACATAACCTATTTCAAATGTTCAACATTTGGTGATTTTTTTTAAAAACAGTCCTACTACATATCTTGATTCTCAAAAAAATTCACAGGTCTCCGACACCTACAAGTAAGTTTATAAAGGGGCTAAACATGGTACGCCACGGAAATGAACACGTTTTTTGTTTTTGTTTTTCATGTTTAAGTTCATATAAAATGACGATGAGTTGAGATACCAAACTTTCGATAGATGTTATTTGAACACAGAGTAGAGGACAACAAGCCTACAAAATGTCAGCTCTGTGTGTGATACTTACAGAGATATCGACCTGTGAACACGGCCAAGAAGAAATTATGTGCATTTTGGGCCTGTAAATTGACACATTCTCCCCTCACTAAATGAACCGTAACTTAAAAAGTATTGATTGAAAATGACTAAAACTTCACAGGGTTGGTACAAGATAGTAAGGGACTATTTGGTCATTTTTTTTTATTTTTTGAGATCAAAGTGCGTGGGCCATTTGTTGAAATGGCATGGAATGATCCAATAATGAATATTTCTTCCCAAATCAACAATTACACATGCTGTAGGACACAAAAATATGATTTCAGTCAACTTCTGTGAGCAAATGAGGATTATATTGATGTTACGCACTGAAAAAATGTGTATGGCTTTGGGAAGATTGGTAAAATGACATAAACAAGGTCTGACATGTGGTCTGGTACATTCACATTTCATTTTATCATGATATAGAAGCTGATTTTGTACGTCAATAAATCACAGTGCGTGATGCGGCCGACTAAAGGCCAGAGAGAACATCCCCCCCTCTCCCGGGCACAGCAGGTACCCGTGTGCCACCCAAGAGAAGAGGGTACCCGGAGGGAGGAGGGGGACGTTCCCACCGAGAGAATGAGACGCTCGAGCTGGGACTTTCAAGCCAGGGGGAAGCTCGAGCCGCTAATCCTGTTCACAACAAAGTCAGCGTACACAGAATCTTACAGCTAACTATCAGGAGTGATAGAGTAGGGCCCAAGAAAGATCGCTAAATTACTCAAACATGCATGATGACATCTAAAACCTCTTCAGGCGTGTTTTTAAAGAGCATTATTATATGGTAGAAAGCCCAAGAAAGTTGATTTTGCAGAGTACGTCCTCTTAAAATCAACAAACAAAAGCTTTTCACTCTGTTATTTTCTAACCAAACAAAATCCAAACCTCTGCTCCACACCACATCTGTTTGCACTGCCACGGAACGCCACAGTCATGTCCATTAACAATCCAATCACAACATCTGACAAACCGCACGGCCTGATGTGTCTGTTCTGAACGTTAGCGTGATGAAATTTCACAAACAAAGCCAGATGCCCTTCCAGCAGAGATATTCAAAGCTGGAGTACCTGATTCCTGATAGACTTTTTGCAGCTTTCTACCGCGTTATAACACTGTTCCCTCATCAAAAACATGTCCTAAGACGTTTTAGATGTTTAGATACTTGAATAATCTAGAGATCTCTCCTGAGCCCCATTCAAACCCTCCCTATGGTTAACAGTAAGATTCTGTGCAAGGCTCCACCCACACGTCACCCATGATCCCACACGACAATTCTCCATAAAAACAAAAACAGAAAACAAAACCATACACTACAACTTGACGTGCGATGTGCAGAAATTTCATTAGTGAGATGCACGCTGATCGTGTTGTGATAGCGCTCTGAAGGGGGAGTGATTTAGTGCAGGGAGAAAAACCATATAACGCATTACAAAACATGTTCATATTTTCTTGAGCATTTTCAAAACAATAAAAAGGTCACGTGGTGATGTGACACGACAGATGAAATGACACCCTGCTCTCTGATGAGGTCACACATTGAGAGGACACCCTTTGCTCACGTGCACTTGTTGCCACATCCTGCTCTGTGATGTTTTGCTGAATGATCCACACTTTTAGAAGAAGATGGAGGACAGGAAGTAGTCTGAGTTCATCCCAGAGCACTGACAGCTCTCGGGCCTGACACTCACGGGATTTTACTACAATCCAAAAATCACAGTAGTAATCTCCTGTTTGGTGCGTGTGCGTGTTCTGCATGTTGTGCATGTTCCGCTCACCTCTGCTCGGTCTCCTATTCACTGTTTACAAAGCAGCGCGCAAACATGCTGCTGGTGGTGGGTTTGGAGCACAAGACTCCTGGGACAGAAAAGTGCAGTCAAACTGTCGCTGCTCAAAGTGAAAGGACTATGACATGTTTGGGGTCTGCAGAGAGCCACGCAAAGAGCCGCTGGAGCCGTGAGAGTCACACTGAGCTGCTGATGCGAGCGGAGCGTGCCCTCAAACTGCCCGGACTTGTTGGCTCCAATGTCACGGCGGGCTGGCTGCAGTGTCTCCGGGAAAATCCACACCAGAACTACTGCAGCCGCCGCCGGTCCACCTGGACGCGCGTTCAGACTACACCGAACTTTACACCGACTTGGAGCGTCCAGGCGTCCGCAGGAGCCCCGCTCCCCTCCGAGACGCACAGGCTGCCCGTGCCCCAGAGGCGAGGCGTCCACGGACGTGCACACGGGACACGGGCTGCACTACCGGGCGGCGCTCGGACCACGGCAGCACACCGTGTGCCGTACCGTCCTGTCCCCGTGTGGACTGCAGGGCCCGGCGCCGCCATACCCACAGCCCCACGGACACAACACCGAGAGCGTGCTCGAGCAGCGGCGGAAAGCCAGGCCGAAACACACCGATCTACACGCACCGAGAGACGGCCACAGCCTCCCGGGACCGTTCTAGAGCACTGACCTGTGAAGAGCCGCGCGGGCCGCTCGGTACCGGGTCGGAGTCCAGTTAAATCCACTGTCCGTAAAACAAAGAGGCGAAGATAGCCGAGCCGTGCCGGAACAGGCCGAAAAAGCACTCTTTGGAAAGCGCGCATGCGCAGAGATGCACGGGGGTGCGGGGGTGAGCGGGGGGAGGGGAGCCGAAGGGGCGGGGTCAGTGAGGGCATCCGTTTGTCCCACTTCACCTGAAGTGTCCCCGGAACGAACCGGACCAGACGAGCCCCGCCACACAGGCACGCACGCACGCACGCACGCACACAGACAGATCACGCATGCACGCTCCCGCACAACAGCATCGCGACACCAGAAACAGGGCATGGCCACTCACCTGGAGCTCCAGCCAGCTTAGGCCTACTGCCATGTTGTCACTGGGCAAGACACTAGGCAGGTACCTACCACAATACAGTCTATGACCTACACTCACGTGGACCTGCCTCATTTATGGCGACAAAAGTCAAATTTGCAAGAACTAGGTCTACGTTTTTAACAGTGCGAGAAGAACTCAGCCTAAATGTGCAGGGTTGTGGGTTGAACATGTGAAAGAAACAAAACACAACTCCAGGTCTGTGTGTGATGAAGAAACAACATTAGAACAGAGATCAGAAAACACTGTAATATGGGCCATTTAATATTAGATCGTGGATTAAAATTGATTAAATTTTGAGTTAGATTTATTTATTTATTTAATAAATAAATAATATTTATATATTTATTTCTTTACTGGGTGGGTTCTAGATTAAAGGCACTGCATGTAGGTGTGTTCACTGTTAAAAAAGTACTACAGTTCCCAACTGAACATGTGTCTCCATCTTTAACCTGCTGGTAGAGACACATCCAGGTTTGTTTCATTCTCAGATTATGGACAGAACATGTCTCAAGCTCAGAACCTCCAGGCTGCACGAGCACTGACTCAGGACTGGTGCAGGTGCAGGGGGTTAGGGAGAGACCGTTCAGATCAGAGAGACATTTTAGGTTTAAACACACCGGATTTCACCTTTGAAACTGGCAACGCAAATGAGAGAGTCACGTGAGGCTCATTATTTGACAACCTCCTCCAGCCTCATATCACACCTGTGTCTCACCTGTGTCCCACCTCTGTCCCACCTCTGTCCCACCTGTGTCCCACCTCTGTCCCACCTCTGTCCCACCTCTGTCCCACCTGTGCCTCACCTCTGTCCCACCTCTGTCCCACCTGTGCCTCACCTCTGTCCCACCTGTGTCTCACCTGTGTCCCACCTCTGTCCCACCTGTGTCTCACCTCTGTGTCTCACCTCTGTCTCACCTCTGTCCCACCTGTGTCCCACCTGTGCCTCACCTCTGTCCCACCTGTGTCCCACCTGTGTCCCACCTGTGCCTCACCTCTGTCCCACCTGTGTCCCACCTCTGTCCCATCTGTGTCTCACCTGTGTCCCACCTCTGCCCCACCTCTGCCCCACCTCTGTCCCATCTGTGTCTCACCTGTGCCTCACCTCTGTCCCACCTGTGTCCCACCTCTGTCCCATCTGTGTCTCACCTGTGTCCCACCTGTGTCCCACCTCGGTCCCACCTCTGTCCCATCTGTGTCTCACCTGTGTCCCACCTGTGTCCCACCTCGGTCCCACCTCTGTCCCATCTGTGTCTCACCTGTGTCCCACCTCTGTCCCACCTCTGCCCCACCTCTGTCCCATCTGTGTCTCACCTCTGTCCCACCTGTGTCCCACCTCGGTCCCACCTCTGTCCCATCTGTGTCTCACCTCTGTCCCACCTCTGTCCCATCTGTGTCTCACCTGTGTCCCACCTCTGTCCCATCTGTGTCTCACCTGTGTCCCACCTCTGTCCCATCTGTGTCTCACCTGTGTCCCACCTCTGTCCCATCTGTGTCTCACCTCTGTCCCACCTGTGTCCCACCTCTGTCTCACCTCTGTCCCACCTCTGTCTCACCTGTGTCTCACCTGTGTCCCACCTCTGTCTCACCTGTGTCTCACCTGTGTCCACCTCTGTCCCACCTCTGTCCCACCTTTGTCCCACCTCTGTCCCATCTGTGTCTCACCTCTGTCCCACCTCTGTCCCACCTGTGTCCCACCTCTGTCCCATCTGTGTCCCACCTGTGTCCCACCTGTGTCCCACCTCTATCTCACCTCTGTCCCACCTGTGTCCCACCTCTGCCTCACCTCTGTCCCATCTGTGTCTCACCTCTGTCTCACCTCTGTCTCACCTGTGTCTCACCTCTGTCCCACCTCTGTCCCATCTGTGTCTCACCTCTGTCTCACCTCTGTCTCACCTGTGTCCCATCTGTGTCTCACCTCTGTCCCACCTCTGTCCCACCTGTGTCCCACCTGTGTCCCACCTCTGTCCCACCTCTGTCTCGCCTGTGTCCCACCTCTGTCTCGCCTGTATCTCACTTGTGTCTCACCTGTGTCCCACCTCTGTCCCACCTCTGTCTCGCCTGTGTCCCACCTCTGTCTCGCCTGTATCTCACTTGTGTCTCACTTGTGTCTCACCTGTGTCTCAGCTAAAATCATCTGTTAAATTGAAAACTACTGCTTTATGACATCACAAGGTGGACCGGAGCATTTGGAGCGTTGGAGATGTAGACGTACAACAATAAAGAGTAACTCAAACGTGTGAACGAAACTAAACATGAAACATGAACCTCCATGTTTTTGAGGAGTCAACATTCTAACGTGACTTGAGACTCACATACGGGCGACAGCGGCTCAGGTGAAGAGTTTGTCCACTGATCCAACTCCTGCAGATGATTACTATTGTTGTGTCCTTGGGCAAGAAACTTAATCCCCCTTACCCACAGTGTCTGCGTACTCTGTCGTATGAACGGCTCCTCGGTGTAAAGTGCTTTGAGTGTCTTGAAGGTGCACAGCGCTGTATAAAAATTCAACCATTTAACATTTACTCGAGTAAACTTTGCGCAAAAAGGTCCTAGAACCTTTAAATCACTGCTCAACCCCTTTTCTGCTTTGGCATTTGACCGTAGACACCTGACATCTTTATGTTTCATTTTGCTGTGTGCTAGTCAGAGGCGGCGCTACCGTTAGGTGACAGTAGGCAGCCGCCAAGGGTCCCGGAACCTGGAGGGGCCCCCAACCAATTGCCCTGAGTGCCACTAATGACTGAGAGCAATTTGATTTTCTCACAATATGACATTAAATGAGAGTAGTTTTACACATGAAAACACTATCAAAATAGAATCTGACTGTCAAATCTGTTTTACCTGTCACAGCATTTCCCCCATCACCTTTTGTTAGAATGGACTTGTCAGCTTAACCCTGATTTGAACAAAATCATAGCATAATCATGATCATATGTAATGGATGTAAACAAGAATGAAATTGTACTAGCAAAAAAATAACACTACTTTCAGCTCTGGTTATCTAGTAGGCGACCTAACGAATAAGACAAGTTTCAAATAAAGATGTGTGTGAACAATGGACAAAAACAGACAATAAATATTTGAAAAAACAAACAAACAAACAAAAAAAGCCATGCATTATAGTGTGGGCCCCAAACTGTCAAAATTCTTCAAGGCCCCCACATTGGTAACTCCGCCCCTGGTACCACTGTTGGGCAAGTTACTTTAAAACTGTAATGCGTTATTTATGACTTATTACTGTTATTTCAAAGTAATTCATTACATTACAATATTACTGTATTTAAAATGTAAAACATTACATTACTGTTGCATTACTTTAAGTTACTCTCACCAAAATAACTGCTGAACTTTTGTGCCGTATATGGACTGAACCAGGACTAAACCAGAACTAACCTCTGACTGATTCCAGGACTGAAGAGGAGGACTAAACCAGGACTGAACTAGGACTAAAACAGGACTCACTGTCAGGACGGGCTCGAAGGTGACCACAGGAGAAAGGAGCGGTTCTGCTCTGCACCTCACAGAGGTAAAAGCGGCTGTAACCCGATTGCACTTTATGGACACCCTGCTGCTCGGGCTCGTGGTCCTGGTTTCAGCAACTATTTGCGTGGACCCGACCCAGTGCAAGACACTGCTACAGCGCGTAACTTCTATCTTCAACGTGTCTAGAAGTCCAACTTTTTGTGCGATGGTTACATCTTCCTCTGTCTTTTGAGTGCGACCGCAGGAGTCTTTGTCAGTGCAGAACGATTTGTCGACATTGTGGGTTTTGTTGGGGAGAAAATTTACAAACATACAACACTTCAGAATCACACTGATACAGATTCAACATTTATTTAAATTTGGCAGCTGAACACATTCTGTACTGTACAGGAGCAGGAGTCCCTTAGCCAATCAGGACGCAGCGGGAGGAACACAATACATGTTCATACACTGTAAAAACAAAAGGCATGAAAAATTGCACTAAAAAAATCTGCAAAACAGCGAGACCGCGAAAAGTGAACCGCGATAGAGCGAGGGACGACTGTAAACCAGGTCTAAACCAGAACTGAACCAGAACTGACCCAGGTCTAAACCAGGTCTAAACAGTGTGGAGTTCTGTGTCGGTCCTTTCGCCCGCGGTTACCTGAAGGTCTATTTGGCCGCGTGTCCGGCGTTTCACCGCTGTTGATATCGCAGTGATTTTAGCAAATTTGTATGAAGAAAAACCCACCACTTCAATCCAGGTTAAAAAAGCATTGTAATGCGCGTTACTGACATTTGTACCGAGTAAAATATCACAATTTTTTCCCCTGTAATTCCTTACATTACCGCGTTACAGCAAAAAGCAATGCATTACTGTAATTCGGTACTTTTATAATGCGTTACTCCCAGCACTGCCTGGTACTAGTGTTACTACTGTGGTATTGAAGCCTGTTGCTTGTGTTGTGCAGCACTCTGGTTTGTAATGTGCTTTACACATCGTGATTCATTGATTCATTGATTCATTGATTGCACACTTCACGTTTCGACCTTGAACCACAAGAGTTTGCGCCTCCGCTGCGCTGAGTTTGCTTCTGTCATGTGACTGTTCTGAGTGAACTTCTCTTCTCGTAAACGGAGCAGACTTACGCTCGGCCGTCTGTCACGTGTCCTGCCTCTGTGGGCTAATGTATGGAGACTAAAGACGTTACACCGAGTAGCTCATCGGCTCAGCACACGATCTTTGACAGTGTGGCACAGTGAGGAGCGGCTCCTCTGCGCACCCAGAGGCGCCATATGGAGTGGAGACCGTTCTGGAGATAACGAGACTTCGTACTTTGGAACACGGCTGTTCTAACCCAGTGCCTTCCTCTCTGCTGCGCACGGACTCTCCGGCTCTGTCCGTGAATGAGGGTCTCTCCTTGGGCTGTTCCTGGAGTAAAGCCGTGACTAATGGAGGATGGCGGCGCAGAGAGCGAAACTCACGCCCAGTACACGAGTTCTCTCCCGCGGGAAGAGAAGGACAAGCTGGAGAAGCTTCTCGTGCTCAAAGTGTACAAGCGGAGGTGGTTTGTTCTGCTCGTGCTGTGCCTGCTCAACCTCTCCAACGCCACGGTCAGACCCTCTCTCCCTCTCTCCTCTCTGTCTTTCCCTCACCCCTCTCTCCCTATCCATCTCCTCCCGTGTCTCTCCCACACGGCACAGACCTCGCCCGCGGCCGTGCGTCTTTACGCACTACTCCATTCTTAAACATTGAGCCCATAGGCTGTGTCAGTCACAGGTGTCTGCTAAATCAATGGCAGTGGCCTGTCGTATCTTTGATGATAATTGAGACAGGGAGAGAGCGGCCTGAGTCACTGTCGATGTGTTTTGTTTCATCAGTTCTGTGTGTTAATCTGCGCCGACACTTGTGGTTCCGACTCACGGCTGATCTGGAACCGGTCTGACCGGGTCGACCATAGGACTGGGGCAGACTAACACAAGAGTCCACACTCTGACCAATCAGAGGACACGCTCTGCCCTGACCAATCCACAGGCTCGAGCCCACATGTCTCTGTTTACATGACTCCCTCTCCTCCCTCTACTTCTGTCTCCTTTCCTCACATCTGTCTCCCCTCTTTCTCCCTCTTTCTCCCTCTCTCTGTGATCACGAGTTCCTTAAACTGTTGACGCTTTACATTTTCACTTCCTCATGTGTTGCATTTTTTTTAAAGAAATTTATGGCAATAGCACATGACCTGCTCTCTCTCTCACACACACACATAGACACACTTGCACAAAGGGCTCACAGACTTGTACACAACGGGTCAAAAGCATTAGAATCATTAGTGTGCCATGTTGGTTTGTCACAATAGTAACATTCAAAACATGATTTCAATACTTGAGAATAGATTCAGTCCTCAATACAGTTTCCAATACCACGATGATAATAAAAAAAATAAAAAATAAATACTTTCTTTTCTATTCCCATGTGTCCTTACACGTGTGTGATCGCTCAGTGGTCCATGGGTGTGTACTAGTCTATGTGCTCTTCTACTCGTTCTGCTCAAAATCTTTCTAAAAACATTCAGCAAAGGTTTATTTCTGTCCTGTGAATTGGACTTTTTCAATATGCTCAAATGATCCAATTAAATTTCCCTGAGTGCCAAAATATTTCCACATTGCAAAACCACAAAAAATCTTCCGGTAGACAATGTTTTATTTGCCAAAATACAATCAACAGTTATAAATTCCACGACAACTAACTAAAACCATCATTTATCAAAAGCACACAATGTTTCTTTTTCAATTAACACTGCATGTGTTGGAAAAAAAATGTGTGAAGCAGATTAAAACAATCCCACAGCAGAACTGCACTGGAAACAGAACCAATGAAACACATCTCTTTACACAATTATGTGTTATATATAAAATACTCTGCTAGGACTGAGTACTGCTACGACATGACCAGTGTTGTGAAGGTGACTTTTAAAATGTATCCCCTACAGATTACAGATTACATACCCCAAAATGTAGTTTGTAACATAATCCATTAAATTACTTAATGTGAGTAATGTAATCTGAATACTTTGGATTACTTGATTTGCTGTAGAGAAGCAAAGACGAAGAAATCTTCACATAAGATGTTTTGTCTGATAAAAGAAAATAAAAAGTCCAGACTTTACTGAACCAAATTAAAAATATTATTGATAGAAGACGAGGAGACACGTCCACACAGCAGGATTTAGTCCTGTTAAATCCTGTTTTAGACATAGTTTAGACCTGGTTTTAGTCCTAGTTTAATCTTGGTTTAGACCTGGTTTTAGACCTGGTTTAGTCCTGGTTTAGACCTGGTTTAGACCTGTTTAGACCTGTTTAGACCTAGCTTAGGCCTGGTTTAGACCTGGTTTAGTCCTAGTTTAGACCTGGTTTGAGACCTGGTTTGGACCTGGTTTAGACCTGGTTTTAGACCTGATTTTAGACCTGGTTTGGACCTGGATTTAGACCTAGGTTAGACCTGGTTTTAGACTGGGTTTAGTGTTCGGCAATGAGTGGAATTAGCGAGAAAAAAAAAAAAGAAAAAAAAAAAGGGATACAGCCCAAAATGTGAAAACAGGAAAATACCGCCGCGTAATCCCTTTATTTCAACCAAGTAACTGTAATCCAATTACCACTCATTTAAACTCTGGTACATGTAATCTGTTACTCCCCAACACTGGATATAACTATGTTAATTCACATTTTCAAACACAGTACTGGGCTGTGCACTGCAGAAAATAGTCGCTGGATTTGCATAAAAAAGTTATAGAAAGCGGTTGCATGCAATAAAATGATTTAGGCTTTGAAACTTATTTTGATCCCCTATACACACATTTTTCTCAGAACATGAACGTCACTTTTTCATGTTGATGAAATTTGATCAAATCCTGCTGAATATGCATATTTATCTTATGTTACCTTATCATGAAATGTATAAATATGTATAATTTAATTGAATTGATCTAATTCTGTAAAAGAATACAAAAACAGTCTTTAGTTTTCCACAGTTCTGTATTGTCTTATTGTCTTGTCTTGATTTATTCCAGTGAAGACGCTCTGGTCTCTGTGGACACAGAATAACACATGATGATCACATTCTGATGATCTACTCTGTTGTACATGTTTAAATACACTTAAAGTACTTATTACTACGATAATGGACCAGAACAGAATCACATGAACATTAGAACTGTATCTGCAGAAACAAAACTCACCTTGTGCTGCTTTTCTTCCTCTAAACCAGGGGTGTCAAACATACGGCCCAGGGGCCAGATCTGGCCCTCCAAGACTTTTAATCTGGCCCTTGGTTGATTTTCTACTAAAATATTTAAATTATATTTTCTATTAAAATATTGTTAATTTTCTGCGTCGCTTAGCACAGCAGTGTCTCCAGTGTCTCTGTACGTGGCCCCTCCCACCAGAGCAGCACAAATGAAGACTTGTCTCTTTCCAAACGCTCTTAAAGGACGATCCTTTTGACTGTTGACCATGACACCCTCATCAACAAAATGTCCAACATGAGAAAAGTGGAGCCGAGTGCAGGATTTTACAAGAAAAATTGACTTATTCCTATTTACATACAAGTTCATGTTGAAACATTGTGTTGAAATTGTATTTTTCTTCAAGGTTCAGGTTGTTCATAATATTATAATATTTTATAAAAGAAAGAGTTCATCAGTTAAAAAAGATTTCTGTAATAGATTTGTGTTTCTCTGCACAAATATTTGAATTTATTGTTATTTTTGGGGTTTATATGACACGAGTTTTCTGATCCGGCCCCTTTGGGATCAAAGTCGGTTGGATACGACTCCTGGACCAAAATGAGTTTGATACTCCTGGTCTAAATGCAGTAACAGGGAGGGCATCTGGTATAAAGTCCTCTAGTGCCACATCACCCTGTAGAAACACCATAACTGTTTCAATAAGAAGTACATTTTGAAAAAAATCTAAATCCTAGTCCTACCTGTTATAGTTTTGTCTGGACAAAAGAGAAACTGAAGTCATTTTTCTCAGTTTCACACTGCGGTGTGTTGAGCTCTTTTGCCTTTGTAGGACCGTATAGGTGAGTTTCAGCTGACGTCATTGTTATTAAAAGCCCGCGTTGCATGCTGGGAAATATTTTGGTTGGAGGCAAGAAACAGGATAGCGTCAAACACAGTGCGTAACCTCGCGTATTTATCCTCGATAATGATAAATTCCTGCTGCATTATCGGATGCACAAATAGAAGCACGGAAGAAGGAAAATGTCTTTTTCGTATTCTGAGTGAAAAGAACCACTAACGGTGAATTAAACGGCTTTCAAACATCCGCAGAGCAAATGTAGAAGATCCTAACAAACCGTGGACTCCAACAAGTTCAACAACACATCGAGACTCTTGGAGGTTTTCATCTTTTCTGCTGTGAATGGCCCAGAAGTTTCCACCAAGTCATTGTGGATATCGCCCAAGTGAATATTTGTCCAGGTAGTTGGTGATTCTGACCAGAAATTTGGTTTGGTCCACCTTTTGTCGGGGTTGAAAAGGGTGATTTGTCGTCCATCGATGTTTATGACCAATTTCTGGTCAAATGGTCTTGGGTCCTCTGCCGTTAGAGTGGATAAATAACCGGGATCAATACCCTTTACGTGTTTTCTCTCTCCGTCCGTCATGTTGAATTAGTGTTTCTTGCCGCCGACCAAAATAATTCCCAGCATGCAACGCGCGCTTTTGTTAACAATGAAACTTGCCTATACATTCACTATATTCATTTTCATATGTTGAGTCTCCACAGTCTTTGTCCTCAGAGTCTCTGTCCTCTCAGGTGGCGTCCTCTGGTGCATGTCTCTGATGTGTGCATTGTTTTGTGTTACAGTTATGGCTGAGCTTCGCCCCGGTAGCGTCCCAGACCGCATCCTACCTGGACGTGTCCCTGGTACAGGTCAACTGGCTGTCACTGATCTACATGCTGGTGTTTGTGCCCCTCAGTTTGGGAACCACGTGGATGCTGGACACACTGGGACTACGCATCACGGTACCTCCACACACACACACACACACACTCACACACACACTCTATATCAGTGTTTCCCAAAGCCTGGAGATTTTTCCTAAAGAGATATTTTTTGGGTCACCTTGTCGTTATTCTGGATCAGCATTTTGTCAGAATATCTTGAACCTCAGTAGGGCCAGTATTTCTATGCTTATTCCTTTCACTAGTACATATCTGTGTGAATTGGCATTTTCTGTGCTCACAAAAATGAAGACAAAACACAGAAACAGACTGAATGCTGCTCCTGATAATGCGTGTTGCTCTCCTCCTGCACCCGGACTTAGCCTGATTCATCAGTCGGTTTCATTTCGTGGAAACCGCGTGACCTCGCAGCATTAGGATTTGTTCGCTCGACTGTAGGCAGGTACTTTTTTAATTTAACCAATCCCTTCTATATGGTTGTGACGTATGTAATGCTCCAAATCCCGTAGGAAGAAGGACAATAACGTCTTTCCCCTTGATAAAATTCACCAACATTCTCTTTGTTCCTGCTTTAAATCCTCAATCTTGGGAATCGTTGCCAACACAGAATGTCTGTCTTCGTTTACATCCATCTTGAACCTTAATTTACTGTGGTAATTTACTGTTCCATAAAAAGGACCCAGACAGACGCAACGAGTTTGATGTCATGGCTTCAAAGCTCTTCTCTGATTGGCCGGTGCACTGTCTACAACTTCTGGGGTTCTTGCAAATTGTCTAATGTATTCTGATTCCTGACCTGCTCGCTGGAGAGAAAAGGCATTAGGTGGCGCCAGCCTGGCTACCTCGGCAGTGTTGGGAAGATTACTTTTAAAATGTATTCCCCTACAGATTGCATACCCTAAAATCTAGTTTGTAACGTAATCCATTAAATTACTTAAAGTGAGTAATGTAATCTGAATACTTTGGATTACTTGATATTATCGTGCTTTTTAAAACTACATGAAACAACCACATCCTGAAAATTCATGTTTGTTCTCTTCAAATTGTTTGTTGAGCCAAAGTCTCCATGAACAGACTTTTGTTTGTTGTAGAGAAGCAAAGATGAGGATCTTAACATAAGATGTTTTATCTGCTAAAAGACAATAAAAAGCCCAGACTTAACCAGATTAAAAATATTATTGATAGAGAAATGTTTTCTATATGAGATCACTGCTGCCTTCCATTATGTCCACCTACTGTTAGTGTCATATTGTTTAGACCTGGTTTAGTCCTGCTTTAGTCTTGGTTTTAGTCTTGGTTTAGTCTTGGTTTAGTCCTGGTTTTAGTCCTGGTGTTAGTGCTGGTTCAGAGGTGCACAGGAGGAGGCGCGCTCCCTCTCTTCTTTAAATACAAAGTGATGTCTAAATTTCTAAGACACAAATGTGTTTTTACCTGTGCATTGCTGCCTCTGTTCTACTGGCTCCTCGACCTCGTCCACCGTGTGACTGACGCCGCCAACGTGAACAAGACGTAAACGTAGCTCTTATTGCGTGCGTTTTGTTTGGGTTTCTGGCAATGAGTGGAATTACCGAAATAATAATTTTAAAAATGGGATATAGCCCAAAATGTGAAAACAGGAAAATACCATCCATGTAATCCATTTATTTCAACAAAGTAACTGTAATCCAATTACCACTCACTGAAACAGTAACTGTAACTGAATACAGTTACTCATCATTTGTACTCTGATTACATAACCCCGGTACATGTAATCTGTTACTCCCCAACACTGTACCCCGAACTGGAAGGCGCTACAAAAACACAGACGGGCCCACCTGTCTCATTAGAAATGTTGAAATGTTAAGACATGTTTTGTATAATGTCTAATATTTTTGTAATTATTTGACTGACTATTTTGTTCCAATATTTCTGGTTCAGTTGAATGTTTTAAAGAAAAAGAAATGTTCTACATTTAATGTCCAAATAGGCGACTTATGGATCCTTTTACTGTTTCAGTTACTGCTTTTTGTAATACTAATTGTTCAAAGACACAATCACTCAGTCAAAAATAAAATATCCTCATTAATGTTCAATAATGCTCAAATCCACTTTTATTTTGTGATTTATGAGTCACGTCTGTTGACTTGAGTCACGAAGGTTTGTGACTTTTAAAATATGGATCCCCAGAAAAAAACTTTGGGAAACACTGATCTATATGATACATACAACCACATGGATGCTGGATGCACAGGGACTATGCATCTGGAGGGCTAAAAATACTTAAAGGTACATTGTGTAACTTTTCCAGGGGCAATAACATGAATCATCTTAAATGTATTCAGTTAGTATTTTTTATTTTTTTTTGCAAAATAGAAAAGCATGTATTCTGTAATTCTTACTGTAACTTGGCCTGGTGGTGTTACCTGCTTGTCTACATGGTTAGATGTTAAATGCCATACTGTGGAAAATTCATTGCCATGGTGACAAGAAGGTAGTGTACCTGAAGCCAGAAATGTGACGCAGTGGCCCTTTAAGTGTTGTGAATAACCTCCTGCTGATTGTTATGTAACTGTGGCTGTGACTGTGTGTGCAGCTGATCGTCGGCTCATGGCTGAACATGACAGGTGCAGTGGTCCGATTCATAGGTGCGTCCCTGCCAACAGGCCAGGCCTCCGGCAGGTACCCTGTGGTGCTCGTGGGACAGACGTTCGGTGCACTGGCCCAGCCCCTCATCATCTTCACCCCCACCAAGCTCGCGGCACTGTGGTTCCCCGAGCACCAGCGCGCCATTGCCAACATGCTGGCCTCCATGTGTGAGTACCCCATAGACCCCGACATGTGTGAGTGCCCCATAGACCCCGACATGTGTGAGTGCCCCATAGACCCCGACATGTGTGAGTGCCCCATAGACCCCGACATGTGTGAGTGCCCCATAGACCCCGACATGTGTGAGTGCCCCATAGACCCCGACATGTGTGAGTGCCCCATAGACCGATGTGTGAGTGCCTCATAGACCCCGACATGTGTGAGTGCCCCATAGACCCCGACATGTGTGAGTGCCCCATAGACTGATGTGTGAGTGCCTTGTAGACCCCGACATGTGTGAGTACCCCATAGACCCCGACATGTGTGAGTGCCTTGTAGACCCCGACATGTGTGAGTCATATCCTATAGCTTGTTGGTTGAAGATTTGGTGATGGTGCAGATTTATGAAGCTCCTGGAGAAAACACTAGACATTTACACAGATATTTTGCCCCTGAAAAGCATAAACCGGGAGTGACATTTACCCGACATCGTGGCACTTCCGGCCGTTGTGAAAAAGGTCTGTTGAAAGATTCTGAACAAGGCTCCGCCCACAAGCCTACATCACCCAAGCTCCCACACGACAATTCTTCATAAATATACATTCAGTTGCAAAGATCACACCACGACAATGGAATATGATAGATGTTTATTGACGGTGGATAGATGTGATGGCTGAGGGGGTACCTTCTCCAATCCAGCATGGTCACCCAGCTGATTCTGAACTCCCCTTCTAGAAGATGATGTCTTCGGACTGAAGGATGACGTCGACAGTGTTGTCGGGATAGGCCGTATAAACAGGGCTTGTGGGTAACTGAAGGCGTGGTTGAGATAAGCCGTGTTTGAGCTGGAGAGGAGGCTGAGGTGTGGTCCAGCTCCTGAATCTCAGTTATATTAACTCCATAAAACATGATAAAAAACTGTGAACAACAACTTCACAAACCTGATGTGAAGTGCAGTCGTTCCATTTGCGGGATTCACTCTGAGTTTGTTATGATTGTGCTCTAAAGGGGGAGTGACTTAGCACAGAGAGCACCTGAGGAAGGGGGGGACTCACAGAGAAGTAGAGACACGGTAAAACTCCTGTGTGTGTGTGTGTGCAGCTAACCCTCTGGGGCTGCTCCTGGCCAACATCCTGTCCCCTCTGCTGGAGGACTACGGAGGAGTGCCCATCATCGTAAGTGACACCCAGTCTCCTGCCCTCTCCTGTCTCCTTTCCTCTCCTCTCTCTGCCCTAACCTCCTCTTCTGTGCTGACCTCCTCCCCTCAGACCCTCAGATCCTGACATACACAGGGTCCTGTCTTGCCCCTGATCTTAGCTCAAGTGCATGTACTTCTAAACCAGAAGTGTGTCGTGTCTGAACATCAGGTGGAGCAGAGCAGACTGAGGGCAGGTGTGACACTTTCAGTGAACTGCCAGAGCTATAAAAATAATAATCAAATAATCAAACTAGTCTATTGAAAAACAACATGTAACATGCTCAAGGCCTCTTTTATTCGGAAATAAACGCTTAACGCTTATTCAGAACATGTTTGTGTGCTGTGCGGGAGTCGTCCAGATGCCCTCCCTCGCCTGCTCCCTGTATCGACTCAGCTCTGCTCTAGAATTTGGTTTGATCTGGGTCTGTACAAAAGCTGCTCATTCACATGAGGCCGTTTACAGTGATGTTCTTAAGTGTGTTTTCTTGCCCTGTCTGCATCCTAATGCTGCGATGTTGGATTTCCTCACATTCTCTTACTCTTTCTGTCACCAGCTCCATTTAACTTTGTGACCCAATGTGTTGCTTTGATTAGTTTATACAGTTAGTCGCCAGTAGGTAGGTGACCATTAGAACCATAGAAAACTGCACAGAGCTGTGGAGCGTCCTGACTCTAACAGTCTGAGTCTGAGTCTGCACATTCATATATACTCTACCGGTCAAAAGTTTTAGAACACCACACTTTTTCCAGTTTTTTGCTGTTTACTGTTGACCAAAACTTACTCTAAACTTTAGATTGATGTGTGTTCATCTTTGGCAGATAGAACAGCTGAACACACTCATGGCTCGTTCTTTCTACAACACAAATCAAATATTCTTCAGAAAGTTCTTCCCAAGTCTGTTGCAGAAGTTTCCATAAATGTGTGGCACTTGTAGGTTGCTTCACTCTTCTGTCCAGTTCATCCCAAACCAGCTCCATGGGGTTTAAGTCTGGACACTGTGCTGCTGCTGGACACTCCAGGTTTTCAAGTTTTACCATCTTGTTCTTTTTTCCTGAGGTAGTTTTGGCAGAGCTTGGACTTGTGTTTTGTTCTTTTATCTTTTATCTTTTTTTAACCTCTGTCTGTTCAGTTCTTACCTTTGTACCATTTCATGCTCTTCATTGAACTTGCACGACATGAACTACAATAAACATCTAGAAACATTATGGTGTTCTAAAACTTTGGATCTGTAGTGTAGCTCAGTGCTATAACAACAGAACAGCACGCATGTCTCGTATGTGCTGCTCTCTTGGCAGCAGTGATCAGTAGAGCTTTGTATAGCGGCTCAAGAGATGTATACTGACATGAGTACTGCTCTGTACAGACCTGCACATCCTGCTCTGTGCTCCTGGCACATCAGTCACTTCTCTCTCCCTGTGTGCTCATTGGTTTAATCCATGTCTAAACACAAAGCGGTAACATCAGATACATTTATATGATCATAAACATATTCCATAATTGGCGAGACATCCACCTGTGGGACCAAATGCAGTGGACCTGAGAGATGAGAATGTGAGCGGTAGCAGCAGTGGACACTCATACCTCAGGTGCGAGATGGGAGCAGACTGCGGGACAGGCGGGAGCGGGTGTGACCAGAGGGAGAGCAGCGGTCAGCAGGTCTGCTGTGGGGTGAGGAGTGCATGAGATAGACACTGGTCTGCTGCGTAATGGGAGGTGAATGAAATGAGGAACGCAGACGAAAAGGTTTGCATGGGCTTACAGCGGTGCACATGTGTGAGAGGGACTCATTTGCACACAGAGGTTTCGGTACACAAACTCAGTCAGTTCTGTCATGGCCTATCCAAAATTCTATATTCCTGGCACCTCTGCTGGTATGTACTTGCATCGCGAGGCTCTGGAGCTGTTTTATTGTCACATATATAACTTTTCCCCACACTCTGCTTTACTGCCTGATAATGAGGTAAAGATTACAGACTTTACCCACACGACCAGTGCTTTTAAATACCACAGCGGTCACAGATTGGTTCAGATGCCGTCACTATATATGGGTCCGGTCAAGTGGTAACGGAGGGAAACGGGCAGATTTTTGACATTCAAATGTCTCTTATTCAGAAACTAGAGGGACTATTGAAATAAGTGAAGTATCAGAATGTAGGAAAGAGTTACACTCCAACAGGGTCAAGTTAAACCTGTGAGATTCTTTCAAGTTGTTGACAAAAAATTTACAAACTCATGTCGGTAACGGAGGGAATTAAATATTCAGCACTTTTGGGTCAATAAATCCAAACAGTTGGTTCTCACTTACATATCCTTAACAAACTGGTTTGAATATTTGCTTCATATAGTTTTCTACCATATGGTACAAGATTTGGTTGAAAAACCTCTTACTTTTTGACTCATGACATTTTTTATGAAGAAAGGTCATGGTAACGGAGGAAAAAGTAACGGAGGGAAAATTGTACAAACAAGTAGAAGGTGCAGGATTTTACATCATTTGTCACTTTTTTCTTCTGAATACTTTAATATTACTTCAAAATGAAAGGAAACTATTTCTATAAAATATGTCAGTCCTTCCAAGCAGATTTTTATCATTTTACATTCATTAAAAAAATAAATAAATCATGTACCTTCATCAACAGTTCAAAGATGGAATAACACAAGATATGATGAAATACATCCATTTATTGACATGATTTGCAGGTCTTTGAAATTTGGGAAATAATTTTTGTTCCATGTTTCATACATGGTCTGTTTAAAACATGTGGAACTTTAGAACCAAAAATGGTACAGAAAAAAGGTGAACAGTTTCATAAACTAGAGTACATATGTATCTGTTCAATACATTTTTATATCAGATGCATTAACTTGAATTTTTGGCCTTGCTGTTTACTTCTGCTTGACCGGGCCCATCTGTACCTGACTGTATCGTCCCACTGTAGCCACGAGCAGCGAAGTACAGCTCCACCTGGACACGCCCTCATTAATGCTAGCACTAAGATCAGGGGTACGATACGGCCCGTAGTCTCTCTCTCTCACTCTTTCTCACTCACTGTGCTGACCTCCTCCCCTTCAGACGCTGGTGTACACGGTGCCCGCCTGTGTGAGCTGTCTGCTGGCCACGGTGGGGGTCCGCAGCAGTACCCCGCCCACGGCCCCCTCGTCCAGCGCCCAGTCCAGCCCCGAGCCCTTCTTCCAGGGACTCAAACTGGTGAGCAGCACTGTCGCCACGGTAACATGCCCAGTGAAACAGTCAGAAGTCTCTTGTCCCAATCTACAGCAGGTCAAAGAACCCAATAGGTGTGAATAGTGTCTGGTAATTTAGCATAGAAGCAGACCTATTGTGCTTGTGTCTAGTTTAGAGTTTTAATCTATGATTATAATTTGGACAATTTATTATCACAATATTAATCTAAAATGACTTTAAAGAAACCACTGTCCACTGACTTCTACATCCTATGGATTGCTGCAGATCACAGTGGACAAACAGCTGAAGTTTTAAAATGGTGCCAAAATTACTACACGATGAGTCCTACGTGTATTAGTTTGTGGAAATATTATCGGAGAAAAGAAGTACAGAGCAGTGAGCGTGAGCACAGGAGTTGATCTGTGATATGGCTTGTTGAAAACTATTTAGAACTATAATTACACATTAAATGACTATCATACTACTACTATCATGCATTTTCAAACATGCTACAAACTGCACAACTCTCATGGTGTCTGCTCTCCTCCGCACTACTAAGCACACTCAAGCTCTGGTAGTTTTGGCTTTCACTTTAAAGTAGTGGACCAAAACAAAACGTGCTGGTCTGTGGTGGAACTGTCATCGCTGGTAACTACACATCCAAACACACGTCTAATATTTACCTGGCTGTTTCTATTCCTAACGTAACAAGTGAGTATGTACCAACTTCTCCAGGTGTATTCTTGGAATCTCTGACATCACCTCAACTGCGGTTCCCAAGTTTTCTTGCATTTGCATCAGATCATGGAATTTTAACAAACTAAGAAGTACAGCAAAGGACACAAGTGAGCGACTGTTGAATTGTGTGAAATGTGAAATGTTTGTTTATCCTGTATCTTAGATTTAGACAAACTTTATAGATCCACAAGGGAAATGATTTGGGGACAGTAGCTCACACATCACAGTAAATATAATAACAAAGAGCAAAAATATGGGGACCACGGAGACCATCTAAGAAACTAAGGAGCGAGCTATGGACCTCTGAGGTTTTACAGACTTACACCAAAAGTTTTTACAGAGGAAATTCCAAATTCATTGAGAGTGAAAGTCCAAGGTGAACACTGGACACTTGTCTGTGAAGGAGGGACACTTTCGTCCTGAGGGCTGTTCCTCCCCTCGAACTGCCCTGACGCAGATCTGCTGACCCTCCCTGAAAAGTCTTCCTGTTAAATGGCAGCGAGACCTTTGACTGTCACACAAAGGCCACTGAGAAGCACAGTATGTTTCTTGAATTTCCTTTAGGACCGAGTATCTGCATTGTCATTATTTGTGATATATGTTGCACACTTGGGTCACACTAGGAGAGGCATTCAACTGCTTGCTCTAAGAAACAGTCAGATAAGATTATACAAATGATCCACAGCAGACTCGTTTGTTTGTTTCATAGCTTTGGAACACTATGTTACTGGCAAATAGACACAGAGCTTCAGAGTGTTTATTTGTACTGCATGCGGAGAGCAAATAACTTGTGAGTAACACAGTTCATATCTAGGATCAATACTCAACAAGTACACAACATTGCAATTATACAACAGTACAAGTACATGTTTTAACGTGTGTGTGTACAGCTGGTAAAGAACAGAGCCTACCTGATCCTGATGCTGTGTCTGGGCTCAGGGATCGCCTCCTTCACCTGCTTCTCCTCCCTGCTCGACCAGATCCTCTGTGTGCAGGGCTACTCCAATGTAAGTACAATTACTACATACAGGTACTCCTATGTAAGTACTACTTCTACATACAGGTACTCCTATGTAAGTACAGATGTCGACAAAATTGTTTGCACCCCTCTGGTAATGAAAGAAAAATCAACAATTGTCACTGAACTAACTTGAAACTGATAAAAGCAATAATAAATAAAAATTTCCTGAAAAATAACCAGTGAACTTCAGACACTGTTTTTGAATTGTTGTTCAGAATTATAAAAAAAAAACAAAACAAAACTAATGAAACTGGCCTGGACAAAAATGATGGTAGCTCTAGAAAAGATTGTAAGTAACTGAACAATAGGGACATGTTAAACTTGGGTGTGTCTCTAATCTGCATCACAGGTTCTTCAAACTTGTCCTCAGTCAGTGTGTCTGTTTAAAGGGCGACATGTGTCATTGTGTTTGGAGACATGATGGACACAACACTGAACATGGACCAGAGAAAGAGAAGAAGAGAACTGTGTCAGGAGACTAGAAAGAAAATGATAGACAAGAAGGTTAAAGATAAAGACAATGAGACCATCTCCAAGCAGCTTGATGTTCCTGTGATTACAGTTACACATGTTCTTCACAAGTTTAAGGTCCACAGGACTGAAGCCAACCTCCCTGGACGCGGCTCCAAGAGAAAAATTGAAGAGATGGATCATACAAATGGAACCAAAGAGCCCAGAACAACCTCCAAAGAGATTAAATGTGAACTCAAAGGGCAAAGTACATGAGTGTCAGATCACACCATCCATCAGTGTTTGAGCCAAAGTGGACTTCATGTGAGGACACCACTGCTGAGAGAAAATCATTAAAAAGTCACACTGGAATTTGACACAGTGCATATTGACAAACCACAAAGCTTCTGGGAGAATGTTCTTTGGACAGATGAGACAAAACTGGAGCTCTTTGGCAAGACACATCAGCTCTATGTTCACAGATGCAAATATGAAGCAGACCAAGAAAAGAACACTGGCACAGAGTGTCTTGATTTTGTGCAAAATACAACGAAATCTCAAGACTATCAAGGTATTTTGGAATGAAATGTGTTGCCTAGTGTCACAAAACTTGGTCTCAGTCATAGGTCATGGGTCTTCCAACAGGAGAATGAACCAAAACACACAGCTAAAAACACACAAGAATGACTAAGAACAGACTGTTGGACTGTTCTGGAGTGTTCTTCTGTGAGCCCAAATCTCAATTCTACTGAACATCTGTGAAAGGAGCTGAAACATGCTGTCTGGAGAAGGAACCTGTCAAACCGGAGACAACTAGAGCAGTTTGCTCACAGGAAGTGTGTCAATATATCTGTTGACCAGAGCAGAAGTCTCATTGACAGTTACAGAAATTGTCTGTTTGCAGAATTTGCCTCAAAAGGTTGTGCAACAAAATATTTAAGTTAAAGGTACCATCATTTTTGTCCAGGCCTGTTTCATTGTTTTGTTTTTTCTAATAATTCTGTTGAACCACATCTGAAAAACAGTGTTTGATTTTTGTTGGAGAATTTACTGTAAATTTTATTTATTATTGCTTTTCTCAGTTTCAAGTTATTTCAGTGATGATTGTTGCGTTTTCTTTCATTGCCAGAGGGTACTGACAATTTTGTCCACGTCTGTACTTCTACTGTGTAAAGGTACTTCTATATAAGGACTACTGCTATGTAAAGTATTACTTTGTAAGTACTATTACTACTACTATATAAATGCTACTATTGTACATGTACTCCTTTTTGACAACATGTACTCCTGTGTACGTGCTCTGTGTCTGTGTGAGTAAAGGATCCACTCGCACAAGTACACTGTATGCTGAGTGTAGCATGTGTGCTCATGTGTGTACCCGCAGGACTTTGCCGGCCTGTGTGGGGCGCTCTTCATCGTGTGGGGGATTGTGGGGGCGGGGCTTCTTGGGGTCTATGTCGACCGCACCAAGAAGTTCATCGAAGTGACCAAGATCAACCTGAGCCTGAGCGCTGTGGCCTGTGCTGCCTTCTCTGTGGTCAGCATCTCTCACACACACACACACACACACGCACACACACACACGCACACACGCACACACACATATATACACGCACGCACACGCACACACACACACACACAAAGACACACACACACACACACGCACACGACACACACACACACACACACAAAGACACACACACTATCATTATTTTTTTTTGCTGTAAACCTGCTGATGAGAGAACCATTAAAAGAGTGGATCAATAAGCAGTATTGATAAGAGTAGTAGTATCGCTAAATCCTTAATGATAAAAATGCTACTTAAAGTCCGAAAGTGATATCACACAATACAACATGATACAACACAATACAAAGTGATATCACACAATACAACATGATACAACACAATACAACATGATACAACACAATACAACATGATACAACACAATACAACATGATACAACACAATACAACATGATACAACACAATACAACATGATACAACACAATACAACATGATACAACACACAACATGATACAACACATACAACATGATACAACACACAATACAACAATACAACACAAACAAATGATATCACACAATACAACAATACAATACAAAGTGATATCACACAATACAACATGATACAACACAATACAAAGTGATACAACACAATACAACATGATACAACACAATACAACATGATACAACACAATACAAAGTTCATATTCTAAGCCTTTTTTTATTTGTTTGAATATGTGAGATTCCAATAGAAGATTGTGATGATGACTCCCTCTCTCCTCCTGCAGGTGGCGCTCATGCCCGGGCAGAGTGTCGCGGTGGCTGTCGTCTGCTCTCTGTTCGGCTTCTTTGGCTTTTCTGCTTACCCCGTTGCCATGGAGCTGTCGGTGGAGTGCTCGTATCCTGTGGGAGAGGCCACCTCCGCAGGGATCATCTTCGCCTCAGGGTGGGTCCCCCACATACAGCACCCACACTGCACACGGCACCCACTGTGCACACGGCACCCACTGTGCACACGGCACCCACTGTGCACACGGCACCCACTGTGCACACGGCACCCACTGTGCAAGGGCTGGGTATCATTAAGAAGTTGCTGATACGATACTTACCTCAATACACAGGCCACGATACAATACATATCTCGATACACTGCACTTTCAATTCGATATGATATATTTCAAAATGATTCGATACAGTTCAATAAAAAATAAAGGCTAAATCATGTCTGTGATACTAAAAGTCTTTGTTAAACCACTTCTTGTGCAAAGTTCATATGAAACACAAACATTTTAATCATCAAAACTGTGTCAAAATGTCAAATGTGTTGAATAAATGAGTTTCCTTTCACTCCACAAGCAACAAAACTGTAGCTGTAACAAAATTATTTTGTAAAACACACTAAAAATACTCTTGGTGAAATATCGATACAGCAGCCCACGATATCTATACTGTATCATCACATTAAACGACACGATATATCGATATTCCGATATTTTTGCACACCCCTACACTGTGCACACAGCACCCACTCTACACAGGTCATGAGTTTAGAGCACAGGGTGTGCACAGAGCCCAGGCGGTGCCTTTAGGTGCTCTTGTGCTTGACATTGTTCTCAGGTTTAATATTTGAAGAATCTCCATCACCTGAGCTTTCACTTGTACAACAGTATTTGGAAGTGTTTGGTTTGATCTGTGCAGTGGATTGTGGGATACCTCACAGCTCCTTACCATTGGTTTAGAACCTCCTGAGCTCCTTATGCTAAAGGAGCGATGAAAGGAAGCATAATGTTTCCTTTCCTTACACATTCCTCACATCACTGTTCAGTTCAGATGGTTCTCGTCATGACAGACTGAAACATGTGCAGGTCACTGAGAAGGAAAGGAACTTCCTAAGTACATCTAACCAATTTAGTGGCATCGACAGACTGGGCTTTAAAAGGGGCGCAAGCATTTCTAAAAAAAAAAAAAAAATAGTAATAGTTGTTATAGTCAAATAAACAGTACTGTTTTGAATCTTAAAAAAGTGGGATATAGTGGCTTCATTTGTCTCAGACTTCTGCTAAAACTGCATTTGTTCACCTAAAATACTCATCTGTCGTATCTGTTTCTGTTCTGGACAGGCAGGTGCAGTCCTTGCTCTACATGGTCCTGCTGCAGAGCCTGACCACACCCCTGGCCCCGACCCCTCCCTCCGTGTGTGGACAGGAGCCCCAGAGCTGGAGAGGTAAGCCCCCCCCTCTGGCCTCTTCTGCCCCCCATCCCCCCCATGCCCCCCATGCACACTGGCCTCTTTAAAGGGCCCATATAACGTTACTTTCTGATCCAGGTTATAATGTAGTTTCCTCATCACAAACACACCTGGAGTTGTGTTTTGTTTCATTCACACATGTTGAAAACTACCACAACGTGACATCACAAGGTGGAACAGAGCATTTTGAGCATTTGTAGACAGACTATTTAATAAAGGGTTATTCAAACATGTGTGAATGAAACAAACAACTCCAGGTCTTTCTGAGGAGTGAAGGACATTATAACATGACTTAAAGCTCTCAAGAATCCATTCTGTGACATTCAGGACTTTAATGAGAGAAAAGGAACCACAATTTTTACTCTAGTAGTACTGTTACATTGCAGAGTATATTTACTCAAGTAAGAATACTGTCAAATGATCGAATATTGGTGCTGATTCAGAAAAATGTGAGCTATAGGTGAGTTTCATTGTTAACAAAAGCGTGCGTTGCATGCTGGGAATTATTTTGGTCGGCGGCAAGAAACACAAATTCAACATGACGGACGGAGCGAGAAAACACGTAAAGGGTATTGATCCTGGTTATTTATCCACTCTAACAGCAGAGGACCCAAGACCATTTGACCAGAAATTGGCCATAAACATCGATGGACGACAAATCACCCTTTTCAACCCCGACAAAAGGTGGACCAAACCAAATTTCTGGTCGGAATCACCAACTACCTGGACAAATATTCACTTTGGTGATATCCACAATGACTTGGTGGAAACTCCTGGGCCATTCACAGCAGAAAAGATGAAAACCTCCAAGAGTCTCGATGTGTTGTTGAACTTGTTGGAGTCCACGGTTTGTTAGGATCTTCTACGTTTGCTCTGCGAATGTTTGAAAGTCGTTTAATTCACCGTTAGTGGTTCTTTTCACTCAGAATATGAAAAAGACATTTTCCTTCTTCCGCGCTTCTATTAGTGCATCCGATAATGCAGCAGGAATTTACCATTATCAGGGATAAATACGCGAGGTTACGCACTGTGTCTGACCGCTATCCTGTTTCTTGCCTCCGACCAAAATATTTCCCAGCATGCAATGCGGGCTTTTAATAACAATGATGTCAGCTGAAACTCACCTATAGATAATGATTCAGTCGATATTCTGGTTGGTTTTAGCCTTTAAAAGCGCTTTTGTAGTTGGTTTAAGAATTTCAATTATTTTTAAATCAGTTAAAGCCACAGTTTTAATTCTACTGTCATTGTGTTTATGGCACTGAAAAACCTGCGTCCTTACTGTGAGTGGCCTTGCATCTCCACCAGTGTTGGGAAGGTGACTTTTAAAATGTCTTCCCCTACAGATTACAGATTACATACACCAAAATGTAGTTTGTAACGTAATCCATTAAATTACTTGAAGTGAGTAATGTAATCTGAATACTTTGGATTACTTGATTTGCTGTAGAGAAGCAAAGACGAGGAAATCTTCACATAAGATGTTTTGTCTGTTAAAAGAAAATAAAAAGTCCAGACTTTACTGAACCAAATAAAAAATATTGATAGAAGACGAGGAGACACGTCCACACAGCAGGATTTAGTCCTGTTAAATCCTGTTAAATCCTGTTTTAGTCCTGGTTCAGTCCTGGTTCAGTCCTGGTTCAGTCCTGGTTTAGTCCTGGTTTAGACCTGGTTTAGACCTGGTTTAGTCCTGGTTTAGTCCTGGTTTAGACCTGGTTTAGACCTGGTTTAGACCTGGTTTAGTCCTGGTTTAGTCCTGGTTTAGACCTGGTTTAGTCCTGGTTCAGTCCTGGTTTAGACCTGGTTTAGTCTTGGTTTAGTCCTGGTTTAGTCCTGGTTTAGTCCTGGGCAATGAGTGGAATTGCCGAGGACAAAAAAAAAAAGGGATTTAGCCCAAAATGTGACAACAGGAACATACCGCAGTGTAATCCATTTATTTCAACAAAGTAACTGTAATCCAATTCCCACTCACTTAAACAGTAACTGTAACTGAATACAGTTACTCATAATTTGTACTCTGATTACGTAACTCTGGTACATGTAATCTGTTACTCCCCAACACTGATCTCCACACACCAGACTCAGAAGTACAGTTTTCACTTTGTTTCCTAGTGAAGAGCTTCTTTTGAACATTTCACATAAAAGTTAAAGCTGTGTGTCTCCTCGTGTCCTCAGTGCCTCTGATGCTGCTGGCAGGACTGTGCTCCTTCTTCACCTGCATCTTCGTCCTGTTCTTCCACTCACGCTACAGACGCCTGGAGGCTGAGGAACTGGCACAATACGGGACCAAAGAGGGCCCCGTCACCTCCGATCAGGGGCCCCCTGTTGAGGGTGACCAGGGATCTCCCACAGAGTACAACCAGAAGCCCCTCACCCAGCACGACCAGAGCCCCTGTACGATCGGACCGGACCATGACCAGGACCAGGACCAGGACCAGGACCAGGACCACGACCACCTGACTGTGTGTTCAGATCCAGCGGTGGAGTGAAAACTCACTCATAATGTTTATTAGAGTTTTTATTTTTATTTAAAAAAAAAAAAGTCTAAATCACTAAAACTACTTTAAATGACACCGGAATTCTCAGTAAAAAATCTGCAGACTGATGGTTAAATCAGTCTGCAGATTTTTTGACCTGATTTATGGTCAGTGTTGGGGAGTAACAGATTACATGTACCAGAGTTACGTAATCAGAGTACAAATTATGAGTAACTGTATTCAGTTACAGTTACTGTTTCAATGAGTGGTAATTGGATTACAGTTACTTTGTTGAAATAAATAAATTCTGGGTGTAGAAAAACTGTGGTACATGGATGACAAGTTTTTTTTTCAGGTGGTATGTTGACTTTATTTTATCTACCTTTCTACTTTCCATTAGATAATCTTTTTTAGAACTACAGTGGAAATGATACAGTCCACTTTTAGACCTGGAATAATCCTGCTCTAGTCAGTTTATGGTCCTAGTTGAGACCTGGTGGCACTCAGAAAGTACTTGGTCTATATAATAGTGGCTGTCAAATTTTCACACCATCTCAAAAAACTAAACTATTATGAAAAAGCTCTATATTTACATGGGTTTGACTGAAATGAATGACAAAAAATACTGAAACTTGTCATGATATTCATAATTTCTTGGGATGGTCTGGAGATCAGAGACTCAGTCCAGCTCCAGGTGGTTTACTGCATCTATGTCAGAACTAAACAAAGCACAAACAGCTGAGAGAGAAGGATTCAATTTATATCCTCATCTTAAATGTTATAGGAAGAATAGCTTTTGAATGATGTTTAATAGAATGAATTTTGAAGAGCCAGTCTTTAATAAATACATGCAAACTCCACACAGAAAGACTTGGGCAGATTGTATATAACAAATTCTACTATTTAATTCACGTTTAATGGTTTGAGAATGGTGCAGTGTCCAAATCGCTAATCCTGCCCTAACATTTAATTATTTTTAACACTGTGACAATGTTTTAAACGTCAAGCAGTCGCTCAAACGTACATTTGTTTTCACTCTGAGGGGAATTGTGTCTTACAGAAAATGACCAGATTCTTTTATTTTATGACAATGTTACATTTTGAAACCTGTGAATAAGACATGTTAAAATACTTGCACTGGATTGTATTTTAATATCTGTACATTCTTTTTATATCTTAACTCTATCAAAGGTTTTTCAGATCTTCTACTTAAATGGACTAATTAAAGTTTATTTTGTATTTATCTTAACTTTTGATACTTTGTGCTTTGTGTTGCAGCTCTGGCCATGGTGGCACAGACAAAGGCTCTTTTAAATGTACAGTTTTTAACAGTGAACAGTAAGATGTAAATAAAATGCTCTCACACACTTTATTGCCCTCAACAACAAACTAAAAGAACAGACTTGGAACGTGCTTCTCCAACACAAAACAATGAACAGCAGCAAAATATGTCTATGCATCCATGTGCACGAGGGCAGAGTCACTGCTTTGGAAAGAAATATTTTAACTAAACAATCTGCAAACTTTAACCATATTAGTATTTTAACACTATAATTAAACTTAATTTATACTGACAGAAGATATTGAACTGTGGCCAGTTTTTAACGGCTGTGAACCATCTGTGAACAGTACCGGAGAGGCGGAGGTGTTTTAGGCGAGTTAAAAGAATAGTGTGGTCTACTGTGTCAAAGGCAGCGCTCAGATCCAGTAGAACCAACACGGTCACCTTTTGTGAATCACAATTTATTCTAATATCATTTAAAATCTTTGCCAGGGCAGTCTCCGTGCTGTGGTTCACCCTGAAACCAGACTGAAACTTTTCCAAAATGTTATGATCATCTAAAAAATGATTTACTTTGATAAAAACAAGTTTTTCAAAAATTTTGCTTAAAAATGGTAGGTTAGACACTGGTCGGTAGTTGTTAAAATCATGAAAATCTAAATTGCTCTTCTTCAGCAGGGGCCTCACCACTGCAGTTTTGAAGGCAGAGGGAAAGACCCCCGTCTGAAGAGAGCAATTCATCATGGTTAAAAGCTCATCTCTAAAAGATCCATAAAATCACTTAAAAAATGGGGTAGGAATTGGATCTAAAAGACATGTGGTGGGCCTCACTGAGGAGAAAACTTTGTCCAACATCTCAGCATTAACCAGGACAAAACTGTCCAGTGTTTCCTCTGGTCCAGACAAACACTCAGATGTGTTAAAAACAGCTTTGACAAGATAAAACATCACATCTGATCGTGTTTCTCTTTCCCGTGAAGTGGTCTGCAAACTGCTCACAGAGAGTCAGTGGGTGTCAAGTAAAACGTGCTAAAATCGGGGTTTAAAATGAAAGGAAGCATAATATTTCCTTTCCTTACACATTCCTCACATCACTGGTCAGGGGCGCAAGCATTTCTAAAAAAATAAAATAAAAAATAATAATAATGATAATAATAGTTGTTATACTCAAATAAACAGTACTATTTTGAATCTTAAAAAAGTGGGATATTGTGGCTTCATTTGTCTCAGACTGCTGCTGAATAAAACAGTATTTGTTCAGATTCAGATTGTTTAGATTAAAATGACGTCTTGGTAACATGGTGAAACAGGTAAAGGCTGGTTTATAGGCTCCACTCCCGCTCACGTCACAAACCAGGACGATGTTTGGAAACATGTGATGACAACTTCTGGTGAGCTCTGTGGTAGTAAACCTGACAAAATCTAGGAAAAATTTGAACATTTTCTTCATCTCCATGCCATTGTAGCATTGCATTATGTTTGGCTCATCAACATTTCCAACTGTACCTCTGTTTTCATTATTTTTATAAGAAAGAAATAATAAATAAATAAATAATAAATAAATGATTTATAATAATTTATAATGTATTCAACTAAATTTGCAAATATTACTTCCCCTAATAGCCAAACAAGTACCGTATTTTTTAGACTATAAGTCGCACTTTTTTTCATGGTTTGGGTGTTTCCTGCGACTTATCCTCCAGTGTGACATATATTAAAATGGTCACATTGAAGTGGTGAGAGGTTCTAGTCTTGTGTGTGAGTATCTGCTGCTCCTGTTCCTCCTGTACCACTGTCACTTCACTCTACTGCACATGTCTCCTGCAGAAAGAGCCTCTGTCCTGTTGGAAGTAGCGAAATATTCAGCCAAAAACTGTAATCGAGCAGCAGAAAGAAAGTTTGGAGAGAAAGAGAAACTTGTGAGGGACTGGGGGAAAGCGGGGATGGAGAACACAGCTCCACGGTAATCGGGAGGATGCACCATGGCAACTTTCCTGAAGTCACTGGATGGATGGACAAAGTCTGGACTTCAGTGACACTGAAACCATCCTGTCTGGATTCAGAAAGACCAGAATAATTCTAACTGGAACTGATGCTGAGTCTGACGACAGCGACACAGAAGAGGAAGCGACGCTCTGTTTACCTCCAGAGGTCGAGGCCGAGTTGTTCAGAAGTGACACAGAGGATGAAGAATTGAAAGGATTTAGTGATTTGGAGTGAGATGGAGAGTTTGTTAAACTTGTTCTGTTGTTTATGTTATAGTTTATCTGAAGAACTGTTCATGTGTGACGTTAACAGTCTGTTGTTCTCTCTTCTGTTATTTTTACTACAACTTGACTTTATACAGGAAATGTCGGCTCCTGGTCTCTGATTTTATCAAATAAATTAAACCCAAAAAGAGCGACTTATAGTCTGCTGCAACTTATGTTTTTTTCTTCTTCATTACGCATTATTTTGGCTGGTGTGACTTATACTCCAGAGCGACTTACAGTCCAAAAAATACAGTAGTTTTCTACAAAGAAGTCGCTAGTTTTCAGATGCCTGTAAGTGACATCAAATATGCAATTAGTCACGTCCCCCATGGAAAGCTTTGACAGGTTATGAAGACCGCTGCAGCTGAATCCAGGGTTTTATCGTACTGCAGTGGGTTTGATCACAGTCGGTTGGTAAGCCCAGTGTCTAACTACACCAGAAGCTGTCACCACGTTTCCAAACGTCTTCCGGGTTTGTGACGCAAGAGTGAATAGAGCCTATAGTCCAGTGTCACATTAATAAGGATGTGCTCCCCAGTGCACTTGACAGCCAATCAGCGGCTCTTGACCCTCGAGTATGTGCACCATGGTCAGAAAGTTACTACACACAGAATGCCCACGTACTGCAAAGGCTGTGATTGGTTCATCCAAAAAGACAATACAGACAACTGATTAAAAACCACTCGGAACAGCCAACATTTGGCAGACAAGCATGAGCCTAATGTAATGTTTATTTCAGGGGTGTCAAACATACGGCCCGTGGGCCAGATCCGGCCCTCCAAGACTCCAAATCTGGCCCTTGGCTGATTTTCTACAGAAATATTTTAATAATATTTTCTATTAAAATCTTGTTAATTTTCTGTGGTGTTTATCAGCAGCGTCTCCAGCGTCTCTGTACGTGGCCCCTCCCATCAGAGCAGCACAAATGAAGGCTTGTCTCTTTCCAAACGCTCTTAAAGGACGATCGTTTTGACTGTTGACCGTGACACCCTCATCAGAAAAATGTCCAACATGAGAAAAGTGGAGCCGAATGCAGTATTTTACAAGAAAAATTGACTTATTCCTGTTTACAGACAAGTTCATGTTAAAACATTGTGTTGAAATTACATTTTTCTTCAAGTTTCAGGTTGTTCATAATATTATAATATTTTGTAAAAGAAAGAGTTCATCAATTAAAAAAGATTTCTGTAATAGATTTGTGTTTCTCTGCACAAATATTTGAACTTATTGCTATTTTTGGGGTTTATATGACATGAGTTTTCTGATCCGGCCCCTTTGGGATCAAAGTCAGTTGGATACGGCCCCCGGACCAAAATGAGTTTGACACCCCTGTTTTATTTACTATGACAATGCACTTGGATCCTGCAGAGCGCCGCAGAAGCTTGTGTGGTTCAGGTCTGTGCCAGGATAACCGTCTCTGCTTAGTGGAGCTTGACACTGAACTCTAAAGAACTACAGAATAAGCAAGGCATTAACATCCATTTACCTTTGACCCCTGACCCTGCCGTGAGGTCACACGCAGGTGAAAGAACCACAGCAGCCGGATGGATTCTGGAGAATTTAATAATTTTCCATTCCACATAAAACAAATATAAAAACAGATCGATGTGTCTGCGTTGAGACATGGCCGTATAAACGTCGCCCCTATCGCCGTGTTAACATAAAACTGTCCACAACCAACAGAAAGAGACGTGCTCAGAGCCAGGAGAGGAGGAGGAGGGGGGAGGGGTCTCAGATAGGGATGAGCCCATGAGGATTTTTTGATTGATTGTTTTATTTTAGCCGATATCTGATATTTGTCCTACTCCTGTGGCTGATAACCAATATTTAGATTTTAAATACAAATACACAAATTTATCTTCAGTCCATTTGTGACAGTTACGTTAACTTTTCACTTTTGTAAAAATAACAAAATGTATTCTACTGCAATATAAAATAACGCTTTTCCATTTCCATTTTGACCCATTAGTCTGTTCAAAAAGGGCACGCAAAGACTGGGGCAGGGACCAAAAAAAAAATAAATCATCGGATATCGTCGTCGAGATTGGCCGACACCAATAAACTAATTGCATCGATATCAGCCGATACCGATCTATGGCCTATCCATAGTCTCAGAGCTGGAGGGCGCAGAACTGCTGGTACACGGCCAGGATGTGTGGGTCGAGCTCGGCCGTGAAGAGGAGGTTCTCCAGGGTGCCCATGTACTGCTGGATGGTTTGGTGATGCTGCAACACACACGTTCGCACACATCAGCTCTCCAAACTGCGTGGAGACATTTGCTTCACACTTATACTTACTTCAACCATAGCCACTACTTTTCCAACTTCAAAGTGGAACTAGACACCAGAGCCAATTTTTTTTTTGCTACTCGACTGTGTGTGGTGTTTTAATAGTATCACCTACGGTTCCTACTCATTTTCTGGCAGCGTTTAGAGCAGCTTCAGTGGACGCTGCGATTTCAAGTAGTTGGTGATATCACAAAAGACTACCTTAATTTACAGTCAGGTGAGTGAGCAGAATTTAAAGTGTGAATATTTGTTAGACCTTTCACACCTAAGCATGTGCCTGGGGTTTAGGCAGTGACTGTTCAGGTCAGAGAGAGCCCCACTTCAGCACTGAACCTGGCAACCCAAATGAGAGTCATGTGAGGCTCATTCTGCTTTCTGATTAGAACAGAAACACCAAATTATAACAAACGACTTGACCATCATGTCCATTGTTTTTGTAATTATGAATAAATCACCATTAGATTATCTGTCTATGAATTCAATGAAAATCTGTCTGTTTGTTCCACGCTTAACTAGGCCTGTAACGATAATCAATAAATCAATTAATTGTACGATAACTTTTAACGAGCTCGATGAATTTATCGCGGCCGGAAAAGTTTATTTGCAGCTTGTTTGTTTTCCTCGCTCTCTGTCGCTCTCAAAGAGACTGGATGTTAGAAGCTTCTATCGCTCTGACTCCTCTCGTTTAACAAGTGTAATGACGCTTGAACCCACGTGCGTGTGTTGATAAACACAGCAGATGCGCGCGCAGACCGAGTTGAGAAAGCGTCGCTGTCTGTGCAGCTAAAAATGAAGCCACAACACAAGCGCCGCTGTCAGAACCAAAACAGTTCATCTCCGTGTGCCAAAACACGTCACGATGCCAAATCAACACTGGGGAGTGGGACACATCTCAACAGCCACATGCATCAAATGCAGCGAGCGAAACGCAAACAACGAGAAGAAATATCTCAAACCCCAACAGCTGATAAACCCAACCCCGAGCGACACAACTCACTCCCAGGAGAACCCGAAATCCCACAAGACATCGACACGATACCGGACAGGACAGTGGCTTGGCTCCCTCAGAGAAATAGCATCCTGTGTCGCGGGTTAATACGAAAATTTAAATGACCAAAATGTCGAGGCTCAGAGCAGAGAAAGAATGGCCACTATATACCAATGTAAGTCTAATGAATGATGACTAAAATCACTTTTAAGAGCAATTTTGTTACAGAGACTTAATAATCCATTTTATTTATTGCTTTGGCTCTGTTTGGTTCAACAATGGTTTATTCAAGTGCATTTTTGTGAACAAGTCCTTTGCTGTGAACCAGACACATTAGACTAGTCCTGTATTAACAAGTCTGTTTTATTTAGGCCTGTTATTTTGGTTGTCTTACACTTCCTGTGTTAAATGTTCTTTAGAAAGTAAAGTTTATTGATCTTATAAATTCTTGGTCAATTAATCGTCCAGCAAAATCTGTTATCGTTACAGGCCTACGCATAACTCTCGAATGACTCATCTGACTGATCTAAAATTTGTAGGGTGTCATGCTAATGGTACGGCTGAGTGCAGTGCCAAGTTCCATGTTGTTAGGGTAAAAAATGCCAAAGATCTGGTCAAATGAGAGATATATTTGAAATATAAACAATTGCTGAAACCATGGGTCACATGACACCAGGGTTATTGTTTATTTGTTTTGTTTGTTTATTACAGGCTGTGCACTATTCTAGTTTATTTTAATCAGTAAAGCACTTTTGATTATAATATGCAGCAGTAATTCTATTTAGGATCAGTCTCCCGTGTGTGTGTGTGTGTTCTCACCATGAGGAAGACCTGCTGCAGTCGGTCGATGCAGTTTTTGTACCAGGGCGTGCTGATGTCCACACTGCCCGTCTCACAGCGCACCAGATGCTCCGTCAGCAGCATGATGAATCTCTGAGGACAGCACAGGGTCAAAGGTCAGAGAAAGGCCTGGAGAGAAGCGCAGGGAGGAGCCCTCCAGAGTATTCGAGGCACTGGATCAGTTCTAGCCAAGTCCTTAGTAACTAACATTTGGTTTCTAACGTTTAGTATTATTGTGTCAACACTAGTCCACAGTCAAATGAAATTCATGGATTTCAGTGGTGCTCCTGTTCCTCCTGTACCACTGTCACTTCACTCTACTGCACATGTCTCCTGCAGAAAGAGCCTCTGTTCTGTCTGTATCATGTCAGTCGATCGCACTGTTACTTCTGCACCACTGAACAATTTAACAATTAAATGAACTTATAAAGACGACTGAGAAGACTGAACACAAATGCCCCCAAAAACAAGAAGCAAGAAACTTGCTCACTCCAAACTTGAAACTTGCTTGAAACTTTTTTTTTAAAACCAAAAACAAAAAAAACAAAACATACATTTCCCCCAAAAAGTGCGACTTCTATATGCTTTTTTCTTCATTATGCATTTTTGGTGCTGGTGCAACTTATACTCTGGAGTGACTTAAAGTCCGATAAATACGGTACTATCAAATATTTAACTCTCAAAAAGGTATACTGCTTCCACCTGCTTTTCCCCATGAGGATGTTAATGCACTGTATGGAATATTCCACAGTATGGCATTAAACCAATTCAGGCTTGCCAACTAACATTACAAATGTCTGTTTTTTAAGGTATTTTTAGTAAAAAGTTCAACTAAATTTCAACAAAACTACAAGCTCAAGCTGCAGGCGCAGAGATGCTCCACAGACCTGGAAGATGACAAGGAACAGGTTCTTCTGCTCACTCTGGGCAGACTCCACTTTCTCCTGCAGCCTCTCGATCTGCTCCTCCAGCTGAGCCTCCTCATCCTCACTGGTGCGCTCCATGTCCTCGTCGTCCCCGCTGTCCCTCTGAGGAGCACACACACGTTTCAGGACCACATGCATCATTTGGTCTGCAAAAACCCTGTGGAGATGTGCACTCACCCTCTTGTGCTGTTGCTTCTCCAGCTTGTCCTTGGCCTCCTCCAGCTCCTTCTGGATCTTCTGCACGTGCTTGTTCATTTTGCGGATGGTGGAGTGGAGGATCTCCCAGATGTAGAGCCTGAGGAGCAGGTGTAGGGTTTGGGTCAGTGAGGGAGTCTCTGTGGAGGCTTACACAGGGGGCCTCTGGGGTGACTGAGAGGGTATTTGGAGGGGCTTCTGGAGGGGCTTACACAGGTGCATACACAGGGGCTCTCTGGGGTGAGTGAGGGAGTATCTGGAGGGGCGTACAGAAGGGTAACACTCAGCTCTCACCTGGTGAACTCGTGGGCCATGTCCTGAGAAAAGAGCCAGTTGGCCACAGCAGCACAGTCCACGATCTGAGTGCGGATCATTTTGTCCACCAGAACTGAAATCATCTACACAGTAACAAGTGGATCATATTATTATTATTATTATACAGTAACTCTTTTTCAACAAACTTTGTGTGGTTCATGCTTAACATGCTAAATGACACCTATGGGTGCTGCTCATCTGTGGGTGGTGGCTAATAGTTAATTGCAAATTTTGTGATGTAAGTGGATAAAATGTGAATTAAAAGGAGAGTTCCTAGATTATTAAGTACAGGTATTTTCCTTATAGTTCTGGTGCAGAAATGGAGCAGTCTACATGCTAAATAACACCCATGGGTGCTGGTCATGTGAGGGTGGTAGTTAAAGGGATAAATTCTGAATTAAGACAGTAAATAAGGTGTGTTTTAAATTATTACATTTTTCCTTTAGACATTTCTGGTGTAGAAATGTTTACATACTAATGTAAATATTAAATTACTCCCCTGCAACCCCAGATAAGCGGAAGAAAATGGATGGATTGAAATTGCACCCATGGGCGTTGCTTACCTGAGGGTGGTTCCTCCACACGTCGTACACCACTTTGAGAATGTGCAGCTTTCCCTCGTCACTCTCTGTGAGCGCCTTCAGGATCTCATGGAACCTGTGTGTTTGGACAGGGCATCCGCTTTAAACCATTGTACAGTTGCACTAAATCCGTGCGGTGCGTCCAGGTGAAGTGCACTTACTTGCCCAGGGCACTGAAGGAGTGGCTGAAGGACTTGGCGGCCATGTGCAGCAGGGTCTGTAGGAACACGTCGATCTTCAGAGGGTTGAAGCTCTCGCCCTCATCTGCACAGGTCAGGGGTCAGGGAGCAGGAGGAAGAGAAGAACAGACTGTGTCATACCAGGACATGGACGTACTGTGTAACCGCACCAATACTATGAACTATCAGTAAAGGCAGTTGGTCCATTTTGTCCTCCTCTTTATAGACAAAACTACATTTTCAATTTGATGGCCAACTAGTGCTAAAGGATGAACTATAATCACATTTGTTCTGCTAATCCAAACTGAGCCTCACCATCATCGTCCTCCTGGTTGGGGTTGGGCACTTCTTTGAGGATGCTGAGGATCTCGTCATTGGTGGCTTTGTTCTTGATGGCGTTCTGCACCGTCATGGACACTGGGTAACCTGGTAAAGAGGCTGTGGAGAAACACAGGGGACTAAGGAGTTAAAAACCCGTCAGACCAGGCCCTACTCAAGCCCATGTTTCAGAAGTATCACTTAGACTACAGGCTCATTTCTTCACTTCTGTACGTAAACAGACTGGTGCGATCCAAGAGTAGAGTCCCTGCGTTTATACTTCCAGACGTTTATAATGTCAAGGCTGCATTCTCTTGAACACAACACGACACGACAACAAGGCAGTTTAGATGGAAAAGATTCGAGACATATAATGCAATTACGGCAATTTTGTGACCAATTTTTCATTCCAATCATGCTTTAGTTGATACATAATAAAATAAATAAACACAAGACCCAACCCCCTTTGTGTCCCTTTACTCACCGGAGCTCTCGTCTGCGTACTTGTAGATGAAGAGGGGCTCTGCGGGGATGAGAGCGGAGAAGGTGGGAGGCACGATGTCCACGATGCGCTGGTGGTACGACAGTCTGAGCAGAGGACACAGGCACATGTCAAGAGACCAGGCACAGGACAGGAGGAGGAGGAGGAGGAGAGGGATGGAGAGGGAGAGAGGAAGAGGAGGAAGATGAGGGAGGAGGATGAGTGGAGGAAACATGGGCGGGAGATGGGGGGGCTTGTTCCAGGCTCACCTCATGCTCTTCTCCAGAACCTCTTTGACAAACTTGGGCTTGGGCATCTCAAGGTCCATGGTGAGACAGTCGGCCCTAGAACAGGAGGGGCACACAGCACACATTCTGAAGCAAAAGAACATGCTTCCCACCGCTGCGCCTTAGTATCAGTGTTGGGGAGTAACAGATTACATGTACCGGAGTTACGTAATCAGAGTACAAATTATGAGTAACTGTATTTGGTTACAGTTACTGTTTCCCTGAGTGGTAATTGGATTACAGTTATTTTGCTGAAATAAATGGATTACACAGCAGTATTTTCCTGTTTTCACATTTTTGGCTATATCCCGCTTTTTTCTTTTTTTTTGTGGCAATTCCACTCATTGCCGGAAACTAAACCAGGTCTAAACCAGGACTAAACCAGGACTAAAACCAAGTCTAAAATACAGTCCCTGACAAAAGTCTTGTCACTTATCCATTTTGTAGAAACAAAAGCTTATAACCTGACTTTAAATGAATCGATTGGTTTTAGAAATGTCTCATATGAAAGCTAAAACCCTCCCAAATTATGCTCAATATACTAAAATAAATTTGCTTCACTGAAGAAAGATTAATCATTTAATGAACACAGAAAGGTCTTGTCGTCTTGTCATATGATGCACCCAATCCTAGATTACAGCCTCACCTGTGATCAGTTACTGATCAATCAATTAGTGGGTGTGTATAAAAAGAACCCAGCACACCAGACCTTCACATCAACTGCAACTTGACCTCTGACAACATGCCTAAGATCCACCCTGAGACCAAAGCGTTAATTATCAAGAGGCTGAAGACCAGATCCACTGCTGAGGTGGTGACACCTTCAATGTGTCTCAGCGTCAAGTTACAAAGAATAAGAAAAAGATCTGAAATGACTGGAGATGTTTTTGACAAGCCCAGGTCCAGCAGACCCCGCAAGACAACTGCTCGGGAGGACCGTTTGTTGATTCGAAAATCCAAGGCCCCTTTTCCACTGCAGCAGACTCCACCAGGCCTGGTCACCTCAAGTCCCTGTGTCAACCACAACAGTTTGTAGAATTCTGTCTCGAAATGGCCTCCATGGTCGAATCAGTGCACAGAAACCAGCACTAAACAAAAGGCAATTAAAAAACCGTGTGGCATTTGCCAAGGCCCACAGCCTGATAAAAGGATGGACACTGGAAAAGTGGCAGAAGGTGGATTTCTCAGATGAATCCTCGGTTGAATTACATCACAGCCGCCGCAAATATTGCAGGAGACCTACTGGAGCCTGCATGGATCCAAGATTCACCCAGAAAACAGTTAAGTTTGGTGGCGGAAAAATCCTGGTCTGTGGTTCCATCCAGTATGGGGATGTGCGAGACATTTGCAGGGTGGAAGGTAAATATCAATAACCTAAAATATCAAGAAGTATTAGCTCCTCTTACATTCCCAACCATAAAAGGGGTCAAATTTTGCAGCAGGATGGTGCTCCATCGCATAATTCTATCTCTACATCAAAGTTTGTCAAGGTGAAGAAGATCAAGGTGCTCCAGGACTGGCCAGCCCAGTCACCAGACATGAACATCATTGAGCATGTCTGGGGTAGAATGAAAGAGGAAGCATGGAAGACAAAACCAAAGAATCTTGATGAACTCTGGGAGGCATGTAAGACGCTTTCTTTGCTATTCCTGATGACTTCATCAACAAATTGTATGAATCATTGTCGAACCGCATGGATGCGTCCTTCAAGCTCATGGAGTCATACAAGATATTAAATCTGGATCTCACAGCACCACTACTTCATTCACTGACGTTATGCAACATATTTTTGTATCTGAAGTAAATTATTTGTTCAATTTTCTATAGGCAACAAAACTTTTGTCTTGCCAAAATCTGACCTTTCTGTGTTCATTAAATGATCAATCTTTCTTCAGTGAAGCAAATTTATTTTAGTTTATTGAGCATAATTTGGGAGGGTTTTAGCTTCATATGAGACATTTCTAAAACCAATCGATTAATTTAAAGTCAGATTATAAGCTTTTGTTTCTACAAAATGGATAAGCGACAAGACTTTTGTCAGGGACTGTAGAGCTAAACTAGATCTAAACCAGGTCTAAAACCAGGTCTAAACCAGGACTAAACCAGGACTAAAACCAAGTCTAAACTAGAGTTAAACTAGATCGAAACCAGGTCTAAAACCAGGTCTAAACCAGGACTAAAACAGACTAAAACAGGACTAAAACCAAGTCTAAACTAGAGTTAAACTAGATTCGAAACCAGGTCTAAAACCAGCTCTAAACCAGGACTAAAACAGGACTAAAACAGGACTAAAACCAAGGCTAAATTAGAGCTAAACTAGATCTAAACCAGGTCTAAACCCAGGTCTAAAACAGGACTAAACCAGGACTAAAACCAAGTCTAAACTAGAGTTAAACTAGATCGAAACCAGGTCTAAAAACAGCTCTAAACCAGGACTAAAACAGGACTAAAAAAGGACTAAAACAGGACTAAAACAGGACTAAACCAGGACTATAACCAAGGCTAAATTAGAGCTAAACTAGATCTAAACCAGGTCTAAAACAGGACTAAACCAGGACTAAAACCAAGTCTAAATTAGAGCTAAACTAGATCTAAACCAGGTCTAAAACCAGGTCTAAAACACTATTTAATAGGACTAAACCATGCTGGGCGGACGTGTCTTCTAGTCTTCTATCAATAATATTATTAATATGGTTAAGTAAAGTCTGGGATTTTCATTTTCTTTTAGCAAACATCTTGTCTAGTCTTTGCTTCTCTACAGAAAATAAAGTAATCCAAAGTATTCAGATTATGTTACTCACTTCAAGTAATTTAATGGATTCTGTTACAAACTACATTTTGGGGTATGTAATCTGTAATCTGTAGGGAAATACATTTTAAAAGTCACCTTCCCAACACTGCTTAGTATTACATGTTGCGTGTAGATTAGAAGAACAAGCAAAAAAATAAAAAGTAAGCTCTGATTCCTCCACAAAAGAAACACTGCATGGTGCCCTGAGGAGGGAAGTGGTCAAATTTGGCTAAAATTGGAAACTGGCCTAAATAAATATATATATCTACAGGATGCCACAAACAAAAGCCAGTGACACAAAAACCATTTAGTTTTAGATGTATTTCCTGTGGCCAAAACCTCCTCATTAAAGCTGAGCAGTGTGGGCCTGGTTATTACCGTATTTTCCGGGCTATAAGGTGCTCTGGATTATAAAACGCACTGTCATTAAATGGTCTATTTTCAAACTTTTTTCACAAATAAACCGCACCGGACTTTAAAGGAAACCCAACAGTGTGATGGGTGAGTGGTTTTGTTTGTTTGGCGTGTTCACGGTGACTCTGGGCTTTGTTCAGTTGTGGCGTGTAGGGAGGGTGTGTCTGGGACCAACGGATTGTCGGCGTGTTCGCAGTGACTCAGTTGTTCAGTTGTGTCTAGAAGTGGCACATTGCACTCGCTTTTTCGGTTCGTTCCTCCGTTCCGTTCCTCGTCGGCGTGGAGTGATGAGTGTGTCTGTGTGTTTTTCTCTGTGCGGTCACTGTCTGCTCCGTGTGTGTTTGCGTGTTCTGCGGGTGGTGCGGCTTTGTAGTTTACTGAAGTCGTACTGGGACACCCGAGTGGATTGGTGTATAGGTGCTCTGGATTGAGGGGTGCGCGGTCGTTTTTTGATGGGGTTGGAGGCTTAAGAGCGCGTCTAATAACCCGGAAAATACGGTACTTGGATGGGAGACCCTTTCCCTAGTACGAATGTGGGGTGTGTGTGCAGATTGGCAGCTACCAAAGTGTGGAATGAATGAATAATGCAGTGTAAAGTGTCTTTGAGCGTCCAAAAAAGTGCTCTGTAAAACCAAGGCATTATTATTAAACAAAACTCACCAGTCGTCCCAGCTCCAGCGGAACTGGAAGTTGCTGAGATGATGTGAGAACCAGTTTATGAGCCTGAAAACGGCACACACAGATACAGTTAGAAGAGAGGTCTTTAAGGACAGGTTATTGCAGACAGAGGCAAGGTCTCACCTGTCTATGCATGTAGTGTTCATTGTGTCTAGTCTCATATAGAGCATCTCTGTGGCCTGGGCCAGCTGGTACACTCAGGTTAAGGACAGTTCATATTAGGGGTGTGCAAAAATATTAAAATATCGACATGTCGTATCGTTTAATGTCATACAGTATTGGGGTCCGGTCAAGTGGTAACGGAGGGAAACAGGGGCAGATTTTTGACATTCAAATGTCTCTTATTCAGAAACTAGAGGGACTATTGAAATAAGTAAAGTATCAGAATGTAGGAAAGAGTTACACTCCAACAGGGTCAAGTTAAACCTGTGATATTCTTTCAAGTTGTTGACAAAAAATTTAAAAACTCATGTCGGTAACGGAGGGAATGAAATATGCAGCACTTTTTGGGCAATAAATCCAAACAGTGATAACTCTTGGTTCTCACTTACATATCCTTAACAAACTGGTTTGAATATTTGCTTCATATAGTTTTCTACCATATGGTACAAGATTAGGTTGAAAAACCTCTTACTTTTTGACTCATGAGATTTTTTATTAAGAAAGGTCATGGTAACGGAGGGAAAAGTAACGGAGGGAAAATTGTTCAAGCAAGAAGGTGCAGGATTTTACATCATTTGTCGCTTTTTTCTTCTGAATACTTTAATATTACTTCAAAATTAAAGGAAACTATTTCTATAAAATATGTCAGTCCTTCCAAGCTAATTTTTATCATTTTAAATAAATTTGTTTGGAAAAATCATGTACCTTCATCAACAGTTCAAAGATGGAATAACACAAGATATGATGAAATACATCCATTTATTTACATGATTTGCAGGTCTTTGAAATTTGGCAAATAATTTTTGTTCCATGTTTCATACATGGTCTGTTTAAAACGTATGGAACTTTACCTTTTTTCTGTACCATTTTTGGTTCTAAACTGTTTCATAAACTAGAGTACATATGTATCTGTTCAATACATTTTTATATCAGATGCATTAACTTGAATTTTTGGCCTTGTTGTTTACTTCTGCTTGACCGGGCCCATTTATATCGTGGCCTGCTGTATCGATATATTGCCAAGAGGTTTTTAATTATATTTTACAAAATTATTTAGTTACAGCGCTACAGTTTTTGTTGCTTGTTTAGAGAAAGGAAACATTTTTGCTGTTTTGGTTTCATATTAACTTTGCACAAGAAGTGGTTTAACAAAGACTTTTCTTATCACAGACATGATTTAGTCATTATTTGTTATTGAACCGTACTGAATCGATTTGAAATATATTGTATTGAATCGAAAGTGCAGTGTATCGAGATATGCATCATATCGTGGCCTATGTATAGAGGTATGTATCGAATCGGCAACTTCTTAACGTTACCCAGCCCTAGTTCATATCCATGTGTCATTAAAAATAAAAACACTTACACCATTCATTTTGTTGGAGAAATGTGCGCATAAACATTCACTAACTTTAGACATATTACGGGACACTATATAATCAGGTCGTTCAAACAAAGTCTTCATTTCTGTATTTCTGCTCTAACATACTCCTCTTAAATATCTTCCCTTCAATATTACAATAATACTGTTATACTCATCATTTCAAAAGGATACAACTTGTGGGAGTGATCCGGGCTGCAGTTTGCACAGTTCGATGAGGAGTGTGGTGTACATGACGTCGATGTGAGGAGGGACAGGCAACTGGAAGAGCTGTCCAAAGATCACCTGGAGATCACACACACACACGTTCACACACGTTAGATATGTCAAAGCAGAAGGCAGGCTGAAAGACTAGACCTGATTTTTACAGTTTTAAAAGCGTGATAAACAGAACTGGTTATTTTAGGCAGTCTGCAGTGGCCTGAAGTTATTCCTCACTTACCTTATGCATTCTGAGCATCCTAATTATTCATAGTGATGTTTTTATAAGCGCTATTCACAAGTCTTAGAAGTCAGAGCTAAAAACAACTACCTACCTGATTCCCAGACAATAAAACACTCAAGAATGTATAGAGTATCTGTTCTGGGGCAGGACACATTTTGCTCAAATACATGGGGGAAAAAATCATGTAGAGGCCTGTAAACACGCAGCACACAGAGCGTACCTCCACGATGTGGTAGTTGAGGGGGATCTTGCTTTTGCCTGGATAGCTGAGTAACTGCGCTGCACTGAAATGGACAAAACACAGACCAGGTGTTAGACAGGTTTGAGACTGAGGCTGCACCAGTGAAAGGACACCGCTGCTTATTATGATCAAAGATGCCACTCAGGTGTTTTATACTTCAAAATTTAAAAGAATGAGGACTTTTCACATCAATTACTAGAGATGGGTGCGTCGGAGGAGAAGGAGCAGCCCATGAACAGAGAAAAATCCCGCACACCATCTTACTTGCAAATTGTGAGATTTATTAGGACAAACCGTGCAAGTGTTTGCCTGACGAAGGCCTAGTGCTGAAACGCTGCAAGGTTTGTCCTAATAAATCTTACAATTTGCAAGTAAGACGGTGTGCGGGACTTTTCTCTCTATATTTCAAAATTTTAATTTAAAGTTTCAAGGCAAGGCAGAGGCTGACATCTATATTGTGAGACATCAAAGCATATCATAAAACGTATTATAGCCAAATGAACAACATTTCCATGGAAACAGCAGGAGGCGCTCCTCTTGGCCAAGTAAGAGTCAGGTTTGTGGAGATGTAAGCCTGCTCACAAAAATGACTTTGAGATTTTATGTTTTTCAGAGCAATAAAAATTAAAACGGACACTTCTCTGTGTACCACAACTTAAAAAAAACAAAAAAAATTGCTACAAATACAAAATGAATCCCTACATATAGTATTTTTAATAGCTGTTTTACTTTTCCTGCTACACAAAAGTAAAGTAGTGATGATCCCTGTGAGTACAGTAAAGGGTGTGTGTATGTACCAGGTCTTGCGCTCTTTCCAGTGGGTCTTGATGATGCAGTTGAGGTTCTCTTCAATGACAAACCTCTCCACAGAATGGCTCCCGGGCATCACAGGGCCCTGCAGCACAGCACATGTGGGAGGGTGGGGTGAGACCTCGGCAGGGCCACAGACTGTGCCTTCCTCACACCATCATAGATCTAAATTCTATATCATATTCTATTCTGAGGAAAAGCATAAAGATTTAGTGTTCTTTCACATCCTGGTTTGAATCCAGTTTAGTCCTGATGGTAGACCTGGTTTGGTCCTGTTCTAGCCCCGAATTAGCTCAGACTTTAGTTCCAGTTTCATCACAAGTTTTGAAGTGGTCTATGTGAATGTGAGAATATCATCAAGGCCAATGGACTAGACCAATCAGGGTCAGAGGGCCGGATTGAACAATGTCCTATAAAAACAAATTTGTTTTATTCCATTTTTGAAATCATAATGTCAGGGAAAAACTTCAGACATTTCCAAAGTTTGAAAAGCAAATGGTGACCATTGTATAAATCTGTTTGCATAGTAGATTTGGTTCTTGTCTAGACAGATTAGATCTGTGGCTGGAATTTCATGACACAATGTAAATCAACAACACACTAACACATCAAAGGACTTTAGTGATCCTAGAATTGACGGAGAAGTTTTATGGTTGCCTATGTAAAGGTCCACATAAAACCATATCCAAAACTGTGTGCTGCTTCAACTAAAGAACGCTACAGGTAACACAAGAGCAAGTGATTCATACCAAAACTAGCATCGAAACTAGATACTCATTTGAGCAGGTATCAATACTAAAAAGTCCTATTCAAAGGACAGAATTGAACCTTTCCTGAATGTCTTTAGGATGATCTTGAGCTGTATCAGGAGTATAAGGTACACACAAGATTACACAGATATAAGGCCACATGGGAATATAAAAGTAAGTGCTATCATTTAAAGTTAAATCACATTCTATGGTCTAAAGAAAGAACTTTTAAAAAAAAAATCATTTGGTATTGTAGTCGGTTTTGAGCATCAAGTCTATTCCTTAAAATCCTACATTATGAAAAATTGACTTTTGTTTTAAGTTAGAATGCTGTTCCCTCTTCAAAAACATACCTGGAGTTGTGTTTTGTTTTCATTAGTCCATCTACATCTCCAAAGCTCAAAATGCTCTGTTACACCTCATGACGTCATGAAGTGGTCATTTTCATGTTAACAGGTAACATTTATTAGTAAATCATTCAGATGATGATGATTTTGCTGAAGGTATATGGAGTTTAAAAACAAAGTGGAGCACTTCCTGTATTGCCACATGATATCGCAACATGGAGTGTTTTCTGATTGAGAAGAACTCAGCCTAAATACGCAGGGTTGTGTGGTAAACAGCATTGGGAGTAACGTGTTATAAAAGTAACAAATTACTGTACTGCGTTGCTTTTTGCTGTAACGCAGTAATGTGGCATTACGCGCGTTACAATGCTTTTTTAACTTGGATTGAAGTGATGGGTTTTTTGCTTATCTTCATACAAATATTAAATAAAATCACTGAGATCAGCAGTGGTGAAACGGCAGAGGTGCGCCCACATAGACCGTGATTGCGAGCGAAAGGACCAGCACAGAACTCCACGCTCCACGGAGCTAAACACAGCTGACAGCCAATCGCGCTCGGGGGTTCTCTCAGGGGCGGTCCTAGATTCCAAGTTCAAGTCCAAGTTAGTTCCGGTTCAGTCCCGGTTCAGTCCCGGTTCAGTCCCGGTTCAGTCCATGGTTCAGTCCATGGTTCAGTCCATGGTTCAGTCCATGGTTCAGTCCATGGTTCAGTCCATGGTTCAGTCCATGGTTCAGTCCATGGTTCAGTCCATGGTTCAGTCCATATACGGCGCAAAAGTTCAGCATCTTCACAGTTATTTTGGTGCATTACTTAAAGGTGCTGCAATAGTAATGTAATGTCTTACATTTTAAAAGCAGTAATATTATAATGGAACTAATTACTTTGAAATGACAGTAACAAGTCATAAATAACACATTACAGTTTTAAAGTAACTTGCCCAACAGTGGTGGTAAACATGTGTGAATGAAACAAACAACTCCAGGTCTGTTTGTGAGGAAACAGCATTAGAACATAAATCACAAAGCAGTGTAATATGGGCCTTTTAATATCGAAATACTAAGAATCTTCCCCCCTTGGCCTTTTCCAGTAGGTGCGTGGTACCTCGGGCGCGTCCGTGTAGTCGAACATGCGGAAGAGGACGCGGGGCATGGGGTAGTGAGCGTCGGGCATGTGTCCTGGGGGGGTGAAGGGCGGCAGGTTGTGCTGGAGGGCCTCACACAGCACACTGTCGAAGGCGATGTACGGCCTCAGGATGTGACGCTCCTGCCACCGGTCCTTCTTCAGCTTCTGGATCTGAGCCCACAGACAGTCCAGGTACTGCACGCGCACAACACACACACACACACACACACACACACGGTTAGGTGCCGTTAGCTGCAAGACATCATTTAAGGAAGACATACTATGCTTCTTTTCTTGCTATATAAATATAATCTTTGGCACACAAGGATATAGGCTATGTTTTTGACATTTTACAATGCAGCATTAATCTTTTTTGCAGGAAAATTGTGCAATACAGAACAATACAATATAAAGGCAAACACCACCACAGCAGACAAGGTGTAAGGTGTGTGCGTGTGTTTGTTTGTGATGGTGTGTGTGTGTGTGATGGTGTGTGTGTGTGTGTGTTTTGTTTGTGATGGTGTTTGTCTGTGATGGTGTTTGTGTGATGATGTTTGTGTGTGATGATGTTTGTTTGTTTGTGATGGTGTGTGTGATGGTGTTTGTGTGTGATGGTGTTTTTGTGTGTGATGATGTTTGTGGGATAGGTCCTTAATTTGCCAAATTAGATTTTTTCATCAGCTCGCCAAGAGCATGGAATTATATGTTTTATGTATGTGAGATAATGCAGTATTAATCTAAAACAACTTAAAGAAACATAGTTAGAAGCTGACTTTGCAAAGCATGTCCCCTTTAAAGTGGGACTATACACCCAAACTTTGCCCACAAAACCTATTCCAAATAGAGCTGCTAACTGGGCAACACCTGGAGGACTAAACAGGAGAGTGAGGGGGCAGGAGGGGCAACATGCTTCAGACCTTGCATGTGTTGGTAATTAGAAACATGTGGCACGTGACATGTTAAAACACCACACACAGGTAAGTCGCAAAACAATGTTGATTTAGTGTTTAGTTCCACAGGCCACATGAGACTGCAGCAGTGGTTAAAAGCTCAAAAAAAAACAAAAAAAAAACTGTCTCATGTTTAGAGACAAGACAGTGTGAGATGTGGTTGCCAGGTTACCTCCTCTTGTGGGTGGGGCTTCTCTGCAGACCATACTTGTAGCATGGGCACATGCGTCTTCACTCGTCTCCTGCACAGAAAGACAGCGGGATGAGCTTTTATGAGGAAGTCAGAACTGTCACTTTATTTGCTGCCGGGGAGTTTTAGAAATACTCTTAGTTTAGTTAGCATGTTACTGTTCCGTCATACCCCTCTGGCCTGATCCGCCCTTTTGAGCTACCTATGTCTCTCTTTTTTAATTATGTCTCTCTTTTTAAATTTTAATCTTTATGATTATTTATGTTTTGATTTGTTTTTATTATGATTTTAACGTATTTCTTATTCTGTAAAGCACTTTGAATTACTTTGTGTACGAATTGTGCTATACAAATAAACTTGCCTTGCCTTACCTTGCCTTGCCTACTTACTTTAGGTAGCCCTCAATCTGATTGAGCAGGCGATCCATCTCCACATCCTTCTTCTCGTACAGCTCTTTTCCCACCCAAGGGAGACAGGACAGCACCACATAGACAAACCAGTCCGAGCGCACCTGCATATACACACACCAACATCTTAAAAGGGGCTATTTTCAGATCTATGTTATAATGTTGTTTCCTCATCAAAAACAGACCTGGAGATGTGTTTTGTTTCATTCACACGTGTTTAACACAGGAGTTCTTCTCTCAAATTGAAACACTCTGTTCCACTTTGTAATGTCATGCTCCACTGTGTTTTTAAACTTCATACACCTTCACTAAAATCATTTGCATAATTTCAGCCCTGGAATTGTCATTCTCTACTGAACTAAAGGTAAAAGGAGCTGTTAACTTGAAAACTACCATTTCATAAAATCACAAAATGGAACAGAGCATTCTGCACTTTGAAGATGTAGACAGACTAATAATAGCGGGTTACTCAAACCTGTGTGAATGGAACAAAACACAGGTCCAGGAATGTTTTTGAGGAGGTGACAACATTCCAGCATGACTAAAAGCTCACAAGATTACATTCTGCCTAATATAAGGCCATTAAAATGCATTACAACAGGTTAAGAGCATGTATGTCAAAAAAATTATTTGTGGTTCTACATGAGCAGGAGACATTTTTTCAACTTTTTTCCAACTTATTAATTAGAAAACCCTGACCTGAACCTGGTTTAAAAAGAATTCTTCACAGAACACTTTAGAAATGGCAACTGTGTGTGGGCTCACCTGGGGCACGTCTTCTTCCTGAGTTACACTGACAAAGTTCTCAAACATGGCCACCATGGAGGGCGCAGCGATCACATGACAGTTCACCAGGTCAGAGAGGAAACGCACCTGTGGGTAAACACTTATCAAACCCTGTGTCCCTCTCCACACATGTACAACAGTTAAGAGTACATACTGCTCATTTTGTGTGTTTTTTTTTTTTTTAAAAACAAATAATAAATCAGCATTACACTTGTGTTAAATATTTTGATGTTTGTTTTTAATGCAGTCTTGCACCTTCCTACTTGTGTGAGATCTTGACCCCTCACCAACCCAGCAGAGCTCTACAATCTGCTAGGCAACATCTGCTGGAGGTCCCCCGGTCCCGGTGCAAACAGTGGGCTGATCGTTCTTTTGCAGTGGCCGGTCCAAAACTCTGGAACTCTTTGCTCATTGAGTTACGATCCATCCCTGACCTGCCTCTGTTCAAAGCCAAACTTAAAACCTACTTATTTAGAATGGCTTTTAACACTTAGTGGCCCTGTGACACTTTATTTTAATGGTGTAATGTGCTTTGTTGACCTATTTGTATGATGTTTATCGTTTTTATCTTGTTTTAATGTTGTACAGCACTTTGGTCGGCTTTGGTCATTGGAAGGTGCTATAGAAATAAAGTTTGATTGAGTTTGATTGATTGTGTTTAACTTACCAGGTAAACAGCCTCGTTGTACAGGTTGTTCTTGAGCGTCTCTTTGAGCTGTCGTATCATGGCCTCCACAAACTCTCCTCCAAAGTTGTAGTTGCGTGCATTGAGGAGCCCGACCAGTGTGGTGTAGACTGTGAGCTTCTCAGGCAGCAGCCGCGCCCTGTCACAACCAGCACAAGGTCACAACCAGCACAAGGTCACAACCAGCACAAGGTCACAACCAGCACAAGGTCACAACCAGCACAAGGTCACAAGCAACACGTGGTCAGTCACAAGCAGCACGTGGTCAGTCACAAGCAGCACAAAGAAGTGTTAACCCGCACACAGTCACTCACAACCCGCAAACCGTAAACAACCAGCACACCATCCCAACTAGCGCACAGTCAGTCACAACCACAACACAACCAATACAAACCTCTTAAAGTTTTCATTTACAGTATTGACATTTTTGGCTTTTAAAGCCACAACATGTAACTTTCAGGTGGGGGGACATCACTTGCTTGATTCCATGGAAATCAAATGTTGATAGGCTTATGTCATACTGTGGGAGAAACATTTCCATGGAAACAAGCGGGAGAAGGCCCTTCTCCTCCAGGCCAAATAAGAATCAGGGTTGTGAAGATGCACAGCTCCAAACCAGAGTGGACTTACACAGAGCAGAGGATGCGCAGGATTTTGTTTTTGTAGTTGGGCAGGTCGGCCTCCAGGACTCCTGCCAGGCCCTCCAAGTTACTCTCCAGAGAGGATGTGCTCTAGAACACAGCATCACACACCATCAACACACAAGACCATAGATATGCCATCAGCACAGAGCACACACATGGTATCACACACACCATAACACAGATACTATCAGAGCACGTGAGCACCGCTGGGCCTACACGTCTTGCTCATGTCACAGGTAAAGTCTGACTCTGTACCTTCTCTCCAACTCGACATATGAGAGACTCCAGGCGGTCTTCTATCTCGATGGGCTCCGACGTCCTCCTCCTTTTGTGAGGTTGTCCCCCTGTAACACAACGCACATGTGAAGAGAGCATTCACATGTCCAGTGCTCATGTGATGACTGCAAATGGAAAGGGTTTGGAGACTTTGTTTTATTTTGCTATGCTGGACAGCGAAATAACACAAACACCCCAGACCCTGCTCATGGCACTGTACAGGTGCAGAGCTGAGGAAAGCCACCACCTCACTTTTCCTGCGTCACTCTTTCACTCTGCTCCATCAGGCAGATCATACAGAACCCGAGTGGCACGCAGGAACAGCTAGAAGAAATGACTCACCACCACTGCAATAACTGTTATAAAAATAGCACTGTTTTATTCTGAACATCTGATTTTATGTTGTTATTTTTACTGTGTGTAACTGAATAAGCCTGTTTCTTATCTAGAAACAAATACAGCTCTATTCTGATGCCTTTGTTAGAAAACAATTTGACCAACTTCTCTCCTGGTTCTTGGCGAGGGCGGAAGCATTTTTCTCTCCTCTCCTGCTCCTTTATCTTCCCTGCTTTGCCTCTTTGTCTCGTCTGGTCTACTGTCTTATACGCTGCCGCAGCTTTATACCCCCGGCATGGCGGGTGGGTGTGGTGCATCTAACGCCCAAGTGGCTCCAGGATCCAAATGGCTGCCTCCCTATGTTGGGTTAGCTGTCCTCCCCGGCTGTAAGTCTAGTTGCAATGTTTGACTATGTGCTGATGATGCAAGGGTGGCTTATGCTCTGACAGGTGCATGGTCTGGGGGTTGTTCCCTTTTTTTCCCCTCCTACCCCCATCTTCATGTTATGCTGCATTGGTTCTTCTTTATTTGGTCCCTGTTGTCTGATCCAGTCCATTTCTAGCCCCCCCATGTCATATTCTATTAAAAGCTATTCTGACTGACTAAACATCTCTAGCCGGGGTTCCCACTCTTTTTCACTCTCAAATTTCAAAACATTTCCATGACTTTTTCATGATCTAAAGTGAATTTTCCATGACTTTACGGCACCTACACGTGTAGAACTCAGCAAACTTTTAGGGCTAAATATGAAATGTTAACCCTTTCCACTCACCTTATGGTTTGTATTATAGTTTTTTTTTACATTCAAAATGCTGTCAGTGCATTTATTGTCATCTCTTTTAAACTAAATGTGCATATGTTCAGAAATAATCAGAACAGCCTCATGAGAACTTAAGAGAACACTGTAGTTGCGTGACAGAGATACTAAAATTCCATGACTTTTCCAGGATTTCCATGACAAAATATTGAAATATCGATATATCGTATTGTTTTATGTGATGATACAGTATCGATGTTATGGGCTGCTCCACCGATATCGCCAAGAGTATTTATTCATATATTTTACAAAATTATTTTGTTAAAGTGCTACAGTTTTGTTGCTTGTTTAGTGGACACATTTGACATTTTCACTGTTTTGATGAGTAAAATATTTGTGTTTCATATAAACTTTGCACAAGAAGTGGTTTAACAAAGACTTTTAGTATCACAGCCATGATTTAGCCGTTACTTTTTTTATTAAATCGTATCAGATTGTTTTGAAATATATTGTATCAGATCATAAGTGCACTGAATCGAAATATGTATCGAGGAATGTATCGTATCAGCAAATTCTTAATGATACCCAGCACTAATGGAAACCCTGGGTCCTGTTTCGAGTCCTTTTTATGTCTAGTACAAGAGAAGAAATTGACAAATAAGAGCCATTCTGACTGACTAAACATCTCTGACGTATTTCCTCCCGCAAGTAGGAGCACATGTACAACTTTCACACGGGCTGCTCCAGTTCAGTAGAAAAAGGTCTGAGCCTCAGTGACCAGTGGTGGGGAGTAACAGATTACATGTACCAGAGTTATGTAATCAGAGTACAAATTATGAGTAACTGTATTCGGTTACAGTTACTGTTTAAGTGAGTGGTAATTAGATTACAGTTACTTTGTTGAAATAAATGGATTACACAGAGGTATTTTCCTGTTTTCACATTTTGTACTATATCCCTTTTTTTTTTTTTTTTGGTAATTCCACTCATTGCCGGACACTAAACCAGGTGTAAACCCAGGTCCAAACCTGGTCTAAACCTGGTCTAAAACCAAGTCTACACTAGGTCTAAAACCAAGTCTACACTAGGTCTAAAACCAAGTCTATACTAGGACTAAACTAGGACTAAAACCAGGTCTAAACCCAGGTCCAAACCAGGTCTAAATCTGGTCTAAACTAGATCTAAACTAGGTCTAAAACCAAGTCTAAACCAGGTCTAAACCTAGGTCCAAACCTGGTCTAAAACCAGGTCTAAAACCAGGTCTAAAACCAAGACTAAAACCCAGGTCTAAAACCAGGTCTAAACCCAGGTCCAAACCCAGGTCTAATCCAAGACTAAACTATGTCTCAAAAAGGATTTAACAGGACTAAATCATGTTGTGTGGACGTGTCTCCTCGTCTTCTATCAATAATATTTTTTATTTGGTTCAGTAAAGTCTGGTCTTTTTATTTTCTTTTATCAGACAAAACATCTTATGTGAAGATTTCCTCGTCTTTGCTTCTCTACAGCAAACCAAGTAATCCAAAGTATTCAGATTACATTACTCACTTTAAGTAATTTAATGGATTCTGTTACAAACTACATTTTGGGTTATGTAATCTGTAGGGGAATATGTTTTAAAAGTAACCCTTCCAACACTGGCAGTGACCGCCCCCATCCTCTGACCCTGGCCCCGGAGCTGCTGCAGACCGCTCTAAAGACCCCTCCTCCTGTTTTTATTTGTCAAAAGCGCACACTGGTCACAGCACAGGTGATGTTTCCATGCAAAGATCCCTCAGATCACACGTTCTGCTCCTCAGCTGTGCGTAAAACACAAACATGTTCCCCGCGTTAGCCGGACCGGCGGGCTGCACACATGCAAACACTTTACCTACCGTCATTCTCGTCGCTGTGCCGTCTTCTGGACATTTTTAAAACTAAAACGCGGCAACGATGCAGACGTCAGTAAAAAAATAACCCAATGCGTGATCTGGGGCCGGTTTATCGTACGTATTATTGCGTGTTTGCCTCTGCGGCGCCACAAAAGCACACAAACAGCAGCCCTCTGAATGAATGAAGCACTTCCGCGGTGACCCGGAAGTGCCCCGTTTAATCCCTCCGGCTGCGCCTCTCTGCTCTGCGAGGTTCCGCCTTCTGCTCCGTGCACGCTCCAGCTCAGCTCATGTGGTTTTTATGCACATTTAAAAATAACCATGGCATCAGATGGAGTGTCCTGTTCAGAGTTTATAGATTTGGACATCGATCTAAATCCTCATCATGAACAAGAGACATGTAAACAAGAGAAACAACTGTGCGCGTCTCTGCGGAAACATTACAGCCTGTGCAGAAGAAAGGTGAGCTCAGCCATATGTATGTATTTAATATGATTTTATGGGAGACGACAGTGTTGGGAAGGTGACTTTTAAAATGTATTCCCCTACAGATTACAGATTACATACCCCAAAATGTAGTTTGTAACGTAATCCATTAAATTACTTAAAGTGAGTAACATAATCTGAATACTTTGGATTACTTGATATTGTCATGTATTTTAAAACTACATGAATGTACCAACCACATCCTGAAAATTCATGTTTGTTCAGTCGTTATTTGACCATATTAAAAATATTATTGATAGAGAAATGATTTTTATATGAAATCACTGCTGACTTCAATTATGTTCACCTACTGTTAGTGTCATATTGTATTAGTTTAGTCCTGGTTTAGACCTGGTTTTAGCCCTGGTTTAGTGCTGGTTTAGTCCTGGTTTAGTGCTGGTTTAGACCTAGTTTAGTCCTGGTTTAGTCCTGTCCTGGTTTTTTAGTGCTGGTTTAGTCCTGGTTTTAGTCCTGGTTTTAGTCCTGGTTTAGTGCTGGTTTAGACCTAGTTTAGTCCTGGTTTAGTCTGGTTTAGTGCTGGTTTAGACCTAGTTTAGTCCTGGTTTAGTCCTGGGTTTAGTCCTGGTTTAGTTCTTGTTTTAGTGCTGGTTTAGTCCTGGTTTTAGTCCTGGTTTTAGTCCTGGTTTAGGCCTGGTTTAGTCCTGGTTTAGTCCTGGTTTAGTCCAAGATATGAAAACAGGAAAATACTGCCGTGTAATCCATTTATTTCAACAAAGTAACTGTAATCCAATTACCACTCATTGAAACACTAACTGTAACTGAATACAGTTACTCATAATTTGTACTCTGATTACGTAACTCTGGTACATGTAATCTGTTACTCGATGGGGTCAAATCTCATGGATCTATTAAAATAACTGTCAAATCTGGACTAAATCTTAATACAGGACAGTAGTTTATACTAAGATGTTCTGGAAGTCATGCTCTGTGCTTTAGGTAGGATAGTTAGTTCTATCTAAACTATAATTATTTTGTGAATGAAATGCCTCATCATCAGAGCTGCCAAAAATTTGACTTAAGTAAGAGTAAAGTTAGACTTAGACTTGGACAAACTTTATTGATCCACAAGGGAAATTATTTGGACACAGTAGATCATACATCACAATATAATAAAGAGTAAAAAAAAATGTAATGGTTATAATAAATTCTAAATAAGTAGCAAAAAAGAAGATAGGTGTCAAATAAAACATTATAATATAAATATATATGTATAAGTTATAGTAAAACAGAAGACATAATCTACAGTCCCTGACAAAAGTCTTGTCTCTTATCCATTTTGTAGAAACAAAAGCTTATAACTTGACTTTAAATTAATCGATTGGTTTTAGAAATGTCTCATATGAAGCTAAAACCCTCCCAAATTATGCTCAATATGCTAAAAAAAATTTAGCTTCACTTAAAAAAGATCGATCATTTAATGAACACAGAAAGGTCAGATTTTGGCAAGACAAAAGTCTTGTGGCCTTGTCATATGATGCACCCAATCCTAGATTACAGCCTCACCTGTGACCAGTTACTGATCAATCAGTTAGTGGGTGTGTATAAAAAGAAGCCCAGCACACCAGACCTTCACATCAACTGCAACTTGACCTCTGACAACATGCCTAAGATCCACCCTGAGACCAGAGCTTTAATTATCAAGAGGCTGAAGACCAGATCCACTGCTGAGGTGGTGACACCTTCAATGTGTCTCAGCGTCAAGTACAAAGAATAAGAAAAAGATCTGAAATGACTGGAGATGTTTTTGACAAGCCCAGGTCCAGCAGACGCCGCAAGACAACTGCTCGGGAGGACCGTTTGTTGATTCGAAAATCCAAGGCCAGCCCCTTTTCCACTGCAGCAGACTCCACCAGGCCTGGTCACCTCAAGTCCCTGTGTCAACCACAACAGTTTGTAGAATTCTGTCTCGAAATGGCCTCCATGGTCGAATCAGTGCACAGAAACCAGCACTAAACAAAAGGCAATTAAAAAAACATGTGGCATTTGCCAAGGCCCACAGCCTGTTAAAAGGATGGACACTGGAAAAGTGGCAGAAGGTGGATTTCTCAGATGAATCCTCGGTTGAATTACATCACAGCCGCCGCAAATATTGCAGGAGACCTACTGGAGCCGCATGGATCCAAGATTCACCCAGAAAACAGTTAAGTTTGGTGGCAGAAAAATAATGGCCTGGCGTTACATCCAGTATGGGGCTGTGCGAGACATTTGCAGGGTGGAAGGCAAATATCAATAACCTAAAATATCAAGAAGTATTAGCTCCTCTTACATTCCCAACCATAAAAGGGGTCAAATTTTGCAGCAGGATGGTGCTCCATCGCATACTTCTATCTCTACATCAAAGTTTCTCAAGGCGAAGAAGATCAAGGTGCTCCAGGACTGGCCAGCCCAGTCACCAGACATGAACATCATTGAGCATGTCTGGAGTAGAATGAAAGAGGAAGCATGGAAGACAAAACCAAAGAATCTTGATGAACTCTGGGAGGCATGTAAGACGCTTTCTTTGCTATTCCTGATGACTTCATCAACAAATTGTATGAATCATTGTTGAACCGCATGGATGCGTCCTTCAAGCTCATGGACGTCATACAAGATATTAAATCTGGATCTCACAGCACCACTACTTCATTCACTGATGTTATGCAACATATTTTTGTATTTGAAGTAAATTATTTGTTCAATTTTCTATAGGCGACAAAACTTTTGTCTTGCCAAAATCTGACCTTTCTGTGTTCATTAAATGATCAATCTTTCTTCAGTGAAGCAAATTTATTTTAGTTTATTGAGCATAATTTGGGAGGGTTTTAGCTTCATATGAGACATTTCTAAAACCAATCATTTAAAGTCAAGTTATAAGCTTTTGTTTCTACAAAATGGAGAAGCGACAAGACTTTTGTCAGGGACTGTATTATTATTATTATTATTATTAATAAAATCACAGCTTTATACACGAGGTCACAGGAAGACAGTGCGACAATGATAAGATGACTGACAGGATACAGGGTTATCTGTTACATAAGGGTGAGTTGTTGTACAGTTGTAGGGAATATTATCTGTCCATCTATAGCAGGGGTGTAAAACATACGGCCCGGGCCAGATCCAGCCCTCCAAGACCTTTAATCTGGCCCTCGGCCTATTTTTCTACTAAAATATTTTAATTATATTTTAAAACCTGAAGACAGAATTTGCAATTTTTCGCACACCATTCACAGTCAAAACCTCTGATGTGTCCGCAGACATACAACTAGAAATAACAGATTTACAGTTACTACCTTTGTGTGCAGGTTTTCTCAGTAATGAACATTAATAAAACAAAGCTGCGCTCGAAGCTGAACACACAAACACTTGAATGACATTCTGAAGATAACAGCTACTCAGGACATGGTGCCTGATACTGATGCACTAAAAGGCTAAACGATGCCAAGTTTCAGGAACAAAAAGAAAGCACTACTGACTAAATTCTGTGAAATGCATACAAGTTCATGTTAAAACACTGTGTTGAAATTGCATTTTTCTTAAAGTTTCAGGTTGTTCATAATATTATAATATTTTGTAAAAGAAAGAGTTCATCAATTAAAAAAGATTTCTGTAATAGATTTGAGTTTCTCTTTGTTCTCTTTATTATTATTTCTGGGGTATATATGCCATGAGTTTTCTGATCTGGCCCTTTTGGGATCAAAGTAGGTTGGACACAGCCCCCAGACCAAATTGAGTTTGACACCCCTGCTCTATAGTCTGTTGCAGTGGATGAGCTGGAGTGTCCATGATGGAGAGCAGTTTGTCCAGTGTCCTCCTGTCCCTTACTGTGACAAATGTCTCCAGCTCATCACTGAACATTAATTCAAAGTAATATTACTCTTGTAGCAGTACAAACAAATTACTCGAATGAGAGTAAAAAAGTATTTGGGAAAGTTAATACTCAAGTAGGAGTAAAGAGTAACTGTCTGGACTTAACAGTTGATTTTTAATTTGAAGTTTAATGCAATTAAAATAAAATAAAATATTGAATAATACTCAAAATCTGGTATTTTTTGGAAGAGGAAACAGTGCAGTGCAAGAAACATAAATGTTCAAATTATTTCATATAGTCAACATAAAGCTTGTGTCACTTGTAGACTTACAGTGAAAATTAAAGTATGCAGCTAGAAAAGTATAATTTGTTCAAAAAGTTACTCAAGTAAATGTAACTGAGTACACAGTATACTGATACTGAGGACATATTGTTTTGAGCACACATTAAGTCCAGTTAGGTTTTCTCAGGGTTTTTCTCCTTCTTATTTGTCATTCTGTAGTCTTTTGCTGCATTTGTGGCCTCCAAGAAGTCTGAATGCAGTGAGTGCTGGAGCTGCTGTGGTCACACCTTCACTGAGCACTCTGCCATTCACAAACATGTGGCCCGGAGCCATCAGGCCGAGGTGGAGCAGAACGCCCTCACAGCCTTTGAGAAGGTCCAGACAGAGGAACGGGAAGCACAGCCAGACCCACAGCAATCTGACCTACGACCGGGGCTGGAGAACATGGACATCTCCTCATGGATCCCTGACACCAGCCACCTGTCTGAGGAGCAGCTCACACAGTAATACAGCTTACACACTGTAGCATCAGAGTTTTCTGAGAGGAGCAACCAACTAAGCCGCTGAAAAACAAAAACAAAAAAACCCAAACAAACAAGCGATTCAAGCCCCACAACAGAAGCCCCAAATAAAAGCAACTAGTTGTAGTCGGACTAAACACCTGACGCTGAGAGGAAGGGCAGGGTCTGGAAGACTGAATGGGAGAGTGAGGGGGGTGGAGGGGCAGGTGTATGGACATATGAGGAACAGTGTGATTGATCTAACAGGTATCCACACTTCACCTGTCTGCATCAGGGCAGTCTCCTGTGTGATGTCACATAGTACTTGAAAGCTACAAATGTACCTAGTTTACATTTTAATAGCATTACTCAGTATTCATAGTTATTGTCATAAACGGCTTATGGTCATTACGCAGTCTAATAATATGAAACAGTTGAAAAAAAAAAGATAAAAATAACCTTATGACAAAGTGCCATTTAGAAACAAACACAAAAGAAATCTAACCTGTGACTCTCAAAGTGTTGAATTTGACCTTGTGGAAAATAAACGCTCACATTTATCATGCTGTTATTACCGTGCCAATGCCCTACATGAGATGTAGTGATCGTGACTGATCCTCTCCTGTACCCTGTGTCCCAGAGCCCCTGGCAGAGTGCTGCTGTATTACTGTTACTGTGATGTGTCTGAGCCTCATGTGCTCTGTGCCTGGCAGAGAGCGCTCTGTGAGAAACTCCACCTCACGGGGAAGGTGAGTCCTCCCTCCTCCGCTCACTCCATCTAACAGAAAATACATTTTAATGTAGGGATTCAGTGTTCTGTTACTACAGTAAATACTAGTAAATAGTCAGTAATCTTCCCATCACTTCCCGTGCATCCATTAAATGACTAAAAGGGAGAGGTGTGTTCTCTAGATGATTAGCATCTTGCATAAAAATAACTATGTATACAGGAAAGGAATAGCAAACAGCATCTTTAAATGTTAAACTGTCCAGTCACTCCAAACGCTCCACCTAATTCATTACATTCATCTGTTGTGTTCTAAATCCTTATAATCATTATAAAATTTGCCTAATACAAAAGTTGGTCATCCAAGAAGACACTATCAACCGATTAATCGACTAAAGGACTAAAGATATAAGCTGGCTAATGAGGCTGATATGTGTAACACCATCAGCTCCAAGCTGAGTCAAAGTCGAGAAAGCAAACTGTACTTAAATTCAGTTTAGAGAAAAGCACAAACAAGTGCTTCTCTCTTTACTGTAGATCTGTTAGTGTTGCCATGTTTGTTTTGATTTATTTGAGAGCTTCACCTTTGGCTCTGCCCCAAATCACAAAGCACAGTGCTGCAATGTGATGGGTGTGAACCACTTGTGACCCGGGCCGTATTACATCAGTGGGACTCAGTCCAGATGGATTCTCTGGAGAAGGTGGACTCACAAATATCATGAGAGTTCATCTTTCTGAGTAATGTTAGACTAAAGGACTGCAGTCCTACGGATGACCCCTGCCCCAGTGGGAGTCTCACTTTTCCCTGTGTGTAGAAAGTCTATTCTAACAGAGTGACTGTGTGTGTGTGTGTGTGTGATGTGTGTGTGATGTGTGTGTGATGTGTGTGTGGTGTGTGTGTGGTGTGTGTGTGATGTGTGTGTGATGTGTGTGATGTGTGTGTGTGATGTGTGTGTGGTGTGTGTGTGGTGTGTGTGTGGTGTGTGTGTGTTGTAGGTGAGGGTGGCCTCAGAGGGCATCAATGGCACTGTTGGAGGCACCTTTGCTGCTACAGAGCTCTACATCCAGAGCATGTGCTCCAACCCCATCCTCAACATGCACAGGGACGACTTTAAGGTGAGGCCTCAGCACCGGCACTTATGATGTCATGAAGTGGCGGTTTTCCTTTTCCTTTTACCTTTAGTTCAGTAGAGGCAATCCCAGGGCTGACGTTATCCAACTGATTCTAGTAAAGGTGTATGGATTTTAAAAACACAGTGGAGAACTTCTTGTATTACCACATGACATCACAAGGTGTTGTTTTCTGTGTGAGAGAAGAACGTAGCTTAAATATGCAGGGTTTGTGTGTGAAACAAAACACAACTCCAGGTCTGTCTTTGATGAGGAAATGACTTTATAACAGAGATCAGAGTGTCATATGGGCCCTTTAAGCTGAGGCCTCAGAATTCACCAGGACCACTTTAAGGTCCATGAGGGACAGTCTGGATGTGTGTGTCACTTTAGTCTGATGACAGGTCCATCCTGGAGGAGTTGTGCTGCCTGTGCTGCTGCTGCAGGTCCATCTCTCTGTTTATTTCACCAACTGAAATTCTAACCACCCGTCAGCTACACAATTCTACTTAAAAAAAAGCACTAAGCAACTTTTCTGATGGTGCTTGTCTCCATGGAGTAGCTTTTGTATTGCCTAGAAAGTACCACAGTTTGGCATTAAATGCATCTATTGCAATCAGTTTGAGTTAAAATACTGTGGGGGGATTGCATCTCCACAGGTCTGACCTCTAACTTGGCCTTAAGGTGCTGTCTGCTTATTTCTACAGAGCTAAACATGTTTAAATTCATACTGTGGACTATTGAAGACAGAGCAGGAGGTGGACCATCAGAAAAAGTTACACAGTGCGTCTTTAAAATGCGTTCCTTTATTTGATGTAAATGTACAGTAAAGCGACTTAACAGTGTTGTTCCCGCAGACGAGTGCAGGAGGAGCAGAGTGCTTCACAGAGCTGAGGGTGGGGGTCTACAGAGAGATCGTGCCCATGGGGGTGGACCCTCAGCTGGTGTCTTACCGCTTGGCAGGTGCATCAACATTTTATGCTTTTGAAATGCAAAGAATCTTCCAAATACTACTACTACTACTACTACTACTACTACTACTACTACTACTACTACTACTACTACTACTACTACTCAAAAACGCTTAACAAACAAATAAAAGTGACTGAGAAAACGGGGTAATCATGGGGGAATACCACTTTGAACAGGTGAGTTTTTAGTGGTGATTTGAAGTGCTGCAGTGAGTCTGAGTTCCTGATGGATTGTGGGAGGTAGTTACAGAGGGAGGGGACAGTCTTTTAGTCTTTTCACTGAACGTTAAACTCATCTAATGCATTGGAGCATATCTGTTAGATTAACATTATATTGTCTGAATATTGTTTTCAGAACACCTGAAAAATACTGAAAAACTGTAATCCCTCCTTGTGTGTGATCAGGGACTCACCTGGAGCCAGAGGACTTCCACAGGGAGGTGGAGGCGCTGCTGGCCAAAGACAGTACACACAGAGACACCATTCTCCTCGACTGCCGCAACTTCTACGAGAGTAAAATTGTGTGTTTTTATGTTTGTTTACATTTTCAAAGAGACAATGTACTCATTTGCATTGATTTTCTATATCATACTCAATAACTCCCCAAACGAAGAGCAGCAAAGTGCTGTTTTGTTATTATATTTCAAATATAAACAGCAAAAAAATATTTCCAACTTCCTTAAAGGTAACACTATGTATGATCTGCCCTTTGTGTTTTGTGTGTGTGTGTGTGTGTGTGTGTGTCCTCTGACTGCTGCAGGGACAGTTCACTCAGTGCCTGGCCCCAAACATCCGGAAGTTCAGTTACTTCCCCGACTATGTGGAGCAAAACCTGGATGTGTTCAGAGGGAAGCGTGTGCTCATGTACTGCACCGGGGGCATCCGCTGTGAGCGCGCCTCCGCCTACCTCAGGTCAAAGGTCAGGATGTTTGTTTACAAATGTTCATACGGAAGCTTTAAAAACCCTGTAACCAATGTTTCCAGTGTGTCTTATACTCACCTCTTAAGTCTGCTACAGTCTTTCAGATTACTAAAATATTTTATTGTACACTAATCAGGAATTTCACATTAGCATACTAGTTGTTAGCTTTACCATGACAACAGAACTCTGTTCTAGTCTCTGATAATTGTGAAAAGTGCTTACAAACTCTACCTTACAAAATGCATAAAGTAAATGAGGAATAATATTTTAAGACAGTAAAAATCTGGTACAGTGCCTTTAACTTTCTCAGAGGATTCCCATTTCAGTTAACTAACTACAAGAATAAAAAACCAAACAAAAAACACCTCACTTGTTCAGGTAGATGTGGCATCCTTGAACACAGCTGCAAATCTGCACTTACAGCTTCTCCAAAACCCCATGACACATTTCAGAGTTATATCCATGTTTTACTATTCAGCATGTGTATGTGGCCAAACCTCTTTGTCAAAGCCTCATTTCGTCACATCTCACAAGCTAAGCCCAGCTGGGCCTGGTCCCATCTTGGATGGAAGACCACTGGGAATTCCAGGTGCCGCAGTGAGATAGTGGCAAAAATTATCATTGTGTCCTTAGGCAAGACACTTCACCCACATTGCTTAGTGTGAATGTGGTGTGTGTTGGTGATCGAATAGGCCAATAGTGCTCACTGACAGCCTCACTTCCATCAGTCTGCCTCAGGGCAGCTGTGGCTACAACAGAAGCTTACCACCCCTGAGTGTAGAGTGAATGAAATCGTAACGTGATTTTGAGCATCTGGAAAAGCTATTTAATACTAATGGATTAGTTTTATTATATTGTATATTATATCGAAAAGGGCATTTTTAAAATATTGAACTTGTACTCACTGTGGTCTGTGCCCTGTGTCCTGTGCCCTGTCCCCTGTGCCCTGCCCTGTCCCCTGTGCCCTGTCCCCTGTGCCCTCAGGAGGTGTGTAAGGAGGTGCTGCAGCTCAGAGGAGGCATCCACAGATATCTGGAGCACTTTCCTCAGGGACATTATCGAGGCAAACTGTTTGTGTTTGACGAGCGATACGCCATCTCTTCCAACGATGACGTCATCTCAGGTCAGAAACACATCTCAAACCTCTGTCTGTGGACGGTCCTGTGCACATGTTTTAGATGAGGGAATATACAGTCGAGAAAATCAAACATTCCTTGTTAAATATACACTACCGTTCAAAAGTTTGGGGTCACCCACACAATTTTGTGTTTTCCATGAAAAGTCACACTTATATACCACCATGAGTTGTAAAATTAATAGAACATATAGACAAGACATTGACAAGGTTAGAAATAATGATTTCTATTTGAAATAATATTTTTTTCCTTCAAACTTTGCTTTCGTCAAAGAATCCTCCATTTGCAGCAATTACAGCATTGCAGACCTTTGACATTCTAGCTGTTCATTTGTTGAGGTAATCAGGAGAAATTTCACCCCACACTTCTAGAACACCGTCCCACAAGTTGGATTGGCAGGATGGGCACTTCTTGCGTCCGTACGTACGGTCAAGCTGCTCCCACATCAGCTCAATGGGGTTTAGATCTGGTGACTACGACTAAATAGTTCTTGTACAATTTGGAAGTGGGCTTTGGGTTATTGTCCTGTTGTAGGATGAAATTGGCTGGTTTCACATGAAAGTTCTTCTTTTTCTGGCCATTTTGAGCGTTTAATTGACCCCACAAATGTGATGCTCCAGATACTCAACCTGCTCAAAGGAAGGTCAGTTTTATAGCTTCTCTAACCAGCTAAACTGTTTTCAGCTGTTCTAACATGATTGTACAAGGGTTTTCTAATCATCCTTTACCCTTCTAACACAATGAGTAAACACATTGTACCATTAAAACACTGGAGTGACAGTTGGTGGAAATGGGCCTCTATACACCTGTGTAGATATTGCCCCAAAAAACAGATATTTGCTGCTAGAATAGTCATTTACCACATTAGCAATGTATAGAGTGTATTTCTGATTAGTTTAACATTATCTTCATTGAAAAAAACAGTGCTTTTCTTTCAAAAATAAGGAAATTTCACGATAGTGTATCAAATCAAGTTTTTCCATTTAATTATTTTATACCGATCCAAGGCAAATATATTTGATTTTATGTCTATCTGTTTAAAGATGTAGTACAGGGGTGGCCAACTAGTAGAAGACTAAGAGCCACTTTTTTTTCTGTGTTACTGCAAAGAGCCACATCATACACATTGGTACACATGAACATCATCCCATTTCTTAATCATGTATGCACGCACACGCACGCACACACAGACCTATGCTCAGCCAGATTTAATGAAAATAACCACACCAACATGATAATATTAGTTGTTTTTCAACAGTTAACATTGCGTGCCATCTAGCCGTAGGTGGAATGAATGGTAACGCCAGCCAAGCATATTTGACGCATGTTATGTGAAAGCTCCTGAAGAGCCGCATGAAACTAGTTAAAGAGCCGCGGGTTGGCCAGGCCAGATGTAGTACATACTTGGCCTAGACCCTGCCCCCTAGTGGTACAGGTAAATATAGGTCACTGAGCCCAAAGGTAAATAAACAAGTATGACCTCAATGTAAGTGCACAGAACAGGTTAGACCATATTTAAAGGGCTCATATGACACTGTTTTCTGATCTGTGTTATAATGTTGTTTCTTCATGATCCACTCCACACACCTTCACTAGAATCATTTGGATAATGTCAGCCAATCTCAACTGAGCTAAAGATAAAAGGAGCCGTTAACAGAGCATTTTGGCCATTGGAGGTGTAGACAGACTAATAATAAAGTGTAACTCAAACATGCGTGAATGAAACAAAACATAACTCCAGGTATATTTTTGATCAGGTAACATTATAACATGACTTAAAGCTCACAAGAGTCAATTTTGCATAATATAGAACCTTTAATAAATTGTATTCATATTATCAGAAACCCTTTTAATGTGTAACTCCTTGACATTACATTAATATCTTGCATTTTATTATACTTTAAAAGATTGTCCTATTGATGTACAGTGAACTTAAGTGTCTTGATTGGCGCCTCTAGTAAAAATGTTATCATTAAAGAAGACGTATTGTGCTTGTGTCTGTTCTATAGTTATAATCTGTGACCCCTGTGGATCATTCTGTTAGAATTAAGATATTTTAAGTCACAATATTAATGTAAAACAACTTAATAAAAGAAACAATTTCACTGACTTCCACGTTAGAAAACTGTGGTGTGCAATGGGAGCTGATATTGTCACAACAAAGCGCCGCATGCTGTGGGCCCCGCCTATAGATAGCTGCACATCACCAAAATGACTACACAACGCTGTCGAATCCTACATGTATCACAGTTTAAGAAAATAAAATTGGAGAACAGTACGTCACAGTGGTCGTGTACTGGTTGCGGTGAAAATGGGGGTTGGTCGGCAAAATGGCATCTTGAAAATAAGCGATTAAAAATGACTCAAACATGCACAAATCATTCCAAGTACAACCTTGAAAGAGTAAATGAAGTCGATTTTGCAGAATAGGTCTGCTTAAAAAGAAAAAAAAAATCACAGTTTATTGTAGCTTTGATTCATGTGATCTGACTGGATACACATTCACTGTGCAAGTCAAACTGTGTCATTCTGCACTAACATACAGTGTGTGTGCCTCTGTTCAGACTGCAGGTACTGCGGCGCCCCCTGGGACCAGTACGAGCTGTGTTCCACCGTGTCGTGCCGTCAGCTGGTGCTGTCCTGCCCCACGTGCAGAGGGGAGGGGCGGACTGCCTGCTGCCCCACCTGCCAGAGCAAAGACCCCGTCCCACACAATAACAGGGAGGAGTGTGAGTGCACCACGGGACGCCCCAGGATCCCTCTGGAGATATGAGACTGTCTGCTGCTCTGTTTTTATTCCTTAATGTTTTTTTTTTTCTTTTTTTTAATGCTGTCTTGGTCAGGTTAGCAATCTAATGTACCTTGATTTCTGATGTTTAAGTGCAAATATCAGGTTAGATGACTGATTTCACAAAAATATAATTACATGATTATATTATAAATTATAACATTTTTTTTTACAAAAAATCATTGATGTAATCTCATAACTGTTATGTGGCAACCATACTGCATACAATGACCAAAACTTGCACAATAAATTGTACCTTTATTTTGTTAAATGAAGGCTTAAACTGTCAGAAAACATGTCCCTTGTGTATATATTCTATACAAAGAAGAGGTGGTTTTATAGTGCATACGATACACAAAGAGCAGTTGCCAGAACCTTATCCTGCAGACAGAGGACACATCCAGGTTTTTCTTATTCTCTGTATATGAACAGGCTCATGTGAAATGAATTGGAATTCAGCACTGACACTGACAACCCAAATCATTTAGGGACACAGATCATAATCTCATATGGTTTCTTTAATGACATGAATAATACACACACAGGAAAGGCGGGTTTTAAAGTGAATCATATGAACGTTACATTACAGGAGTTTCATAATCAAATCACAGGAATACTGCACAAATAGAAGAGGTGGGATCTAGGGATAAGACGCATTATTCACCAAATCTTCAAATTCAAAAGGATCAAAAGACATTAAGAAAGTCACATTTTTAAATTGGCTTTAGTTTTGCAGCAGTAACACGACATTTGCAGAGTCAATATCTGCAACTGCCATTTGAACATCTGAAAGACAATCATTTATTTAACCTCAGTCTCCTTGTGGACAAGAGGATTCTTTTTAACCAGGTCCAGACCAAACTGACTGAGGGTACATCTAAATGGCACCAAAGGCATTAGGCTTCATTATTGTACCTGAAATGACACTGCATACGTCTTTTTGCCCCCTGTAGATCAGGCCTGATTTTTACTAGAATACTGTTAGACATTTCTTGTACTCACATCTGTGAAACCAGAGGATCTTTGACCTCTCCTGTGGTCACTTGCATGTCGTATCACAGCAATATGCAGAGCACAGAACATTTTCAAACATGGCACTCTGACCCCACTATTGTGAGGAGTGTGATTATCAGGAAAAGGAGATGTGTGTGTAACATAACTACTAGTCTACTGTGTTGGTTTTATTGCTAAATAATTGTAAATAGTCATATTTTTATACAGCACTTTTACACCTTCAAGGCCATCAAAGTGCTTTAAATCAGGGAACCACCAGACACTGGGGAAGAGGTGGGATAAGTGTCTTGCCACAAGGACACAACAACACCATTCATTGTGGAATTTGAACCACCGACCATTGGATCAGTGGACAAACGTTTGACAAATAGACAACTGTTGCCCTAAGCAGTACCTTGGGGTCATCTCTCTTGGCCTGAAGGGGTCAGTTGTTTGTCTCCATGGAGACAGATATAATAAATAATTAGCCCAATAAGACATTTAAATGCCATACTGTGGAATATTCCAGAAAAGCAGACGGCAGACCTTCATCAGTAAAAGTTTTTACTCATTCAAGTACAATAATACATACATCCATGTACTGAAAACATGTATTCAGAAGACACATTTTGTGTAACTGTATTCCAAAACAGTTACTCTTTCACTTGGTAGTATTCAGAATACAGTTACTTTTCTCAAATCTAAGGGGCAATCTTTGATCACACAAACTTGGGTTCAAACTGCTCAGAATGATAGAAACAGAGCTCTTGTGGTGAGCAGTGTTGGGGAGTAACAGATTACATGTGCCAGAGTTACGTAATCAGAGTACAAATTATGAGTAACTGTATTCAGTTACAGTTACTGTTTAAGTGAGTGGTAATTAGATTACAGTTACTTGGTTGAAACAAATGGATTATACGGTGGTATTTTCCTGTTTTCACATTTTGGGCTAAACCAGGACTAAAACCAGGACTAAACCAGGATTAAATCCACAACTAAACCAGGACTAAACCAGGTCTAAACTAGGACTAAACCAGGTCTAAACCTTATCCCTTTTTTTTTCAGTAATTCCACTCATTGCCGGACCAGGTCTAAAACCATGTATAAACCAGGTCTAAAACCATGTATAAACCAGGTCTAAAACCAGGTCTAAACCCAGGTCCAAACCAGGTCTAAACCAGGTCTAAAACCAGGTCTAAACTAGGACTAAACCAAGACTAAACCAGGACTAAAACCAGGACTAAACCAGGTCCAAACCAGGTCTAAACCAGGTCTAAAACCAGGTCCAAACCAGGTCTAAAACCAGGTCTAAACTAGGTCTAAACTAGGACTAAACCAGGTCTAAACCCAGGTCCAAACCAGGTCTAAACCAGGTCAAACCAGGTCTAAACCTGGTCTAAACCAGGTCTAAAACCAGGTCTAAACTAGGTCTAAACTAGGTCTAAACCAGGTCCAAACCAGGTCTAAACCAGGTCCAAACCAGGTCCAAACCAGATCCAAACCAGGACTAAACCAGGACTAAACCAGAACTAAACCAGGATTAAAACAAGACTAAATCATGCTGTGTGGACGTGTCTTCTCGTCTTCTATCAATAATATTTTTAATTTGGTTCAGTAAAGTCTGGGCTTTTTATTTTCTTTTAACAGACAAAACATCTTATGTGAAGATTTCCTGGTCTTTGCTTCTCTACAGCAAATCAAGTAATCCAAAGTATTCAGATTACATTACTCACCTTAAGTAATTTAATGGATTCTGTTACAGACTACATTTTGAGGTATGTAATCTGTAACCTGTAGGGGAATACATTTTAAAAGTCACCTTCCCAACACTGGTGGTGAATGTATGTGAGATTTTTCTTTTCTAATTATTGATATGAAATGCATAAATGTTTTAACCATGTGTTGTCTTTGCACCATGATTTAAATGCAACTTGATGTAAAAGTATTCAAAGTATTCTGCATACAGTACTTTGATTGGCCCATGCGTCAGAATACATTACAGCATAGATTTTAATGCAGTATTCTGTGTTCTGTAATTACATTAGGGTGACCAGATTTTCAGAATCAAAAACTGGCACACCCCCATTTTTTGATGGCTGGTAATAATAAAATTGTGAAACAAGTGGACTTAAGGAAAATTGTTCTGCATTTGACCCGTTCATGACTAACACAAGTCAGTATATTTACATTTTCTTTCAGTTTATGCCTCTTTTTACTGTTGGCAGGGATCAAATTGGTCAAAAATAGGGATGCCTGAGACATTTTTTGTATAAAATTGGGACAAATTGCTGGTTTGGATAAATCTGCTGGGACAGGCTCAAATAGGAACGTCTGGTCAACCTAAATTAAATACATTTTGTAGTATGTCTCACTGACTACCAGTGTTGGGGAGTAACAGATTACATGTACCAGAGTTACGTAATCAGAGTACAAATTATGAGTAACTGTATTCAGTTACAGTTACTGTTTCAGTGAGTGGTAATTGGATTACAGTTACTTTGTTGAAATAAATAGATTACACGGCAGCATTTTCCTGTTTTCACATTTTGGGCTAAACCAGGACTAAAACCAGGACTAAACCAGGACTAAACCAGGACTAAAATAGAACTAAAACCAGGACTAAACGAGGACTAAAACCAAGACTAAACCAGGATTAAAACCAAGACTAAACCAGGGTTAAAACCAAGACTAAACCAGGACTAAATTAGGTCTAAACTAGGACTAAACCAGGTCAAAACCAGGTCTAAAACCAGAACTAAACCAGGTCTATAACCAGGACTAAAACCAAGACTAAACCAGGACTAAACCAGGTGTAAACTAGGACTAAACCAGGTCTAAAACCAGGACTTAATCCAGGACTAAAACCAGGACTAAACCAGGACTAAAACCAGGACTAAAACAGGTCTAAACCAGGTCTAAACCATTACTAAATTGGGACTAAAACCAGGACTAAACCAGGACTAAACCAAGTCTAAACAGTATGACACCTAACAGGTGGACATAAATTAAAGCACCAGTGATATCATATAAAAATTATTTCTCTATCAATAATATTTTTAATACGGTTAAGTAAAGACTGGGCTTTTTATTTTCTTTAAGCAGACTTATCTTATGTTAAGATTTCCTGGTCTTTGCTTCTCTGCAGCAAACACTTGACTGTTCATGGAGACTTGGGCACAACAGACAGTTTGAAGAGAACAAACATGAATTTTCAGGATGAGGGTGATACATTCATGTAGTTTTAAAAAGCACGACAATATCAAGTAATCCAAAGTATTCTGATTACGTTACTCACTTTAAGTAATTTAATGGATTATGTTACAAACTACATTTTGGGGTATGTAATCTGTAATCTGTAGGGGAATACATTTTAAAAGTCACCTTCCCAACACTGCTGACTACCTTCATGCTGGTTGGATGCTCTCAGTCTGGATCATAGACTGGATGTGGTCTGGGCCCTTGGACGGACAGTAGAGGGCTCCACAGCTCCAGAGCTCTGGTAGCTCTGATCACACGGAGCATCTCCATCTCCAGCTCTGAGCTCAGCCTCCCGGACAGTCCCACTCAGGACAGCCGCTCTCGCTTCACTCCCCGGGGACAGAGACCGGAGCTTCAGGACTCCTCATGTCTGCCCCCCCGGCCGTGTCTCCGCGGGCATAAAGAGGGGCATAAAGCGCTGCGCGCAGCGGGCACGGAGATGTCTGCCCCGGGATACAGCAGCCTGGGCTCCTCGGTGAACGGTAAGCCCCCCGCCCCGGAACAAGAGCAGGAGCAGGCCGAGGCACAGGGCTCACGCACCGGGCTCTGGACCAGTCTGCAGTCCCGGTTATTAAAGACACTAACGCGTCCACCGTGCCCAGTTTCCCCCCAGTATTCCGCCGTTTATGAGGCGTCTCCTTCAGCTTTGCAACAGGCTCTCTAGTCAGTGCATTGCAGAATTATTTTGATCACAAATCGATTTTATATCCACCTGCAGTTCAGTTTAACACCTGCATTTTTGTAATAGAAGCACGTATATAACACGCCCCTTTGCTTTATTCGCGAACCCAACGTGCTGAAGTGGGCCGTATTGTGCAGGGCTGTGGGGGATTAGCTACATGCTAACACCAGAGCTAACCCGAGCTCCGGACACCGACACTTAAGGCGATCTCCTTTCACAGACTCGGGGCTGGGTGAATGATGCCTGTTTCCCGTCTCTGAGCCCCAGGTTGAACGGGGTTGTCCCGGGGCTGTCCGCTGAAAACCACCCGGGGAGCTTTGTTTATATAGCCGCTAAAGCTAAGGGCTGCTTTGTTATGCTAGCACTAGAACCAGGCTCCTGACCCGGTGTCTCGGGGTTCTACACACTGACACGGTGTCCGGTGTCTCGGGGTTCTACACTGCCCCGGTGTTGTGTGTTGTGCTTGTTGGAGGAGGTACAGTGGGGGTGCGCACTGGGCGCTTTGGGGCATGGGTGGGTGAGCTGTCCAGTGCTGAGACTGTGTGCACCTCACAGTCTGGAGACACAGGCGCCTCTGCTGGTGTCTAACCCTCTGTTACAGCAGAGGAAACAGCAACGATAGCCTTTTAAATATAGGCCAGTGTCTCAATTGAAGCAGCAGCAGAAAACTGAATTAAAATTCTATAAGTCTTACTTTTTTTTTAAGGGACTACAATAACAACTGAACCTCTGTTGCCAGAACCTTCACTTGCAGGTAGAGGACACGTCCAAGTTTTCTCAGTATATGGACAGGCCGTGTCTCATGAGAAAGCTCAGAATCTTCAGAATTCCCTCCCTAAGCTGCAGAGGCTGCAGCTCATGACTGGTGCAGGTGCTGGGGTTTAGGGAGAGACCATTCAGATTAGAGAGAGACATTTTAGAATCAAACACACAGGATTTCACCATTGAAACTGGCAACCCAAATGAAAGGGTCATGTGAGGCTCATTCTGCTTTCTGATTGGACAATCAACTTGAATCCAAACATCAAATAAACATAATATACACAAACTACTTATCCATCATGTCCAGTGTTTTTATAATTGAAAATCAATGAGCATTACAGCTGTTATCAGTATCATGTTTACCTCGTATCTGGGAACAGAGTTAGAGTTTGGTCGTGTTTATGGAATTTAAAACTAAATCTTACCTACAGTTTCTTTTACAAAGTAATGTTATTTTTAGTTTTAATAACAAAAAAAAGATCCATGTGATGTCATGACTGTACTTTCCTGCTTTTGTGTGCAGGCTCTGCACAGAGCTACCCTCCTGTGTACCAGCCGTCTGGATACTACGGAGCCCCCCCTCCTCAGAGCTATCCCAGCAAACCTCCGCTGCCCAGTGCTCAGTCCCCACACTACCACAACAGCCACGGCCCACCACAGTCCCACCATGGAGCCCCGTCTGCTCTCTCCAGCCCTGCACCCCCACCCACTGCCTATGCCCCTGGCCTTCCTCCCAGTGCCCAGTATGGTCAGCAGGCAGTACAGCCCCAGCACAGCCCTTATGGTGCTCCTGGGTCCTACTATGGACACCAGAGCTACTCTGCTGCTCCCCCAGTTCACCCCCCACCTCCCTCGCAGCAATACACTCTGACACCAGCTCCTACTAGTGCTGCTGGGACCTACCCCTCTGCTCCTGGAAGCACCCAGTATGACCCCCTGCCTCACCCACAGAGCGGTCCTCCACCTAATCCACAGAGCGGGGCCCCACCTCACACACAAAGTGGCCTCCCACCTAATCCACAGAGCAGGCCCCCGCCTCACCCACAGAGTGGCCCCCCAGCTCACCCACAGAGCAGCCTTGGTGGAGTGCTGTCTGTTCAGATGGGTGTCCCCCTGCACCAGTACAGTCCTGCACAGCCCCTGTGTGGACAGACAGCGCTTAACGGTCAGCCGCAGAGCACAGGTACGACACTATCTCTATTTTAAAGCAGATCTGTTGTGCAAAATCAGCTTTTCAGGGTTTTTAAGCATGTTATAGTTGTTTCCCCTCACCATTTACTCACCCTAAGTTATATTTGGAGTGATTTCTGCATGTTTGAGTAATCATTATTCTCCTGTTCAAGACACCATTTTGCCAATCAACCTGTTTTCACTGGTGCACTGGTCATTTTGGTACAGACAAAACAAAAAAAATCTGCTCCTCTCACCACTGATGCAGCTATCTATAGGAGGAGACCACAGCATGCGGCGGTTTGTTGTGATGACGTTTATGGGACATCAGCTCCTATTGGGCACCACAGTTTTCTAACACAGAATTCAGCATTTGAAGTTATTTTAGCTGAATATAGTGATATAAAATGTGCAAATTATAACACAATAATCCACGAGTGTCATATATTATAACCATATATAGCAGATACAAACACAATATGTGCTCTTTAGCATCAGTTGATCGATACATTGCAATTACACTGTAACTTCAGACTTATTTAGCAGCCTTGATTAATAAGTCCTATCATATTTTAAAGCATCTAATAGTTTTGTTTTGTTTTGGTCCTATCCCCAGCACCGGGTCAGCAGCCCTCCTATGGGCCCTACAGTGGGCTGGACGGAAGTGGACACACCCCCTCATCCACTGGAACCCCCTCTGCCTCCATTGCCCCCTCCCCTGGACACCACAGCGGTAAATCATGCTCTCCATGCTGCACCAAACTAATTCCAAAATATCAGGGTAATGGCAACATGGTATTCATATTTCTACATGTATACGAGTGAACAGTCTTCTGTACTGTTAACCAGGGCCAAGTGTCTTGTGCAACGGCAAAGAACTGAGGCTTGTAGTCTAACTAGGAATGTTAAAATACATTTTTGTTGCAAGTTTGTGAAGTATAGCTGGATGTTAAACATATATTTTGGAGTTACATGATTATACTATAATCAGCATCTTGAGGTTTCATTCATATACCTGTAGGGTGAGTATCCTGTCATTGCCAACACTGTAGTAACCTGTGCCTCTCTCCACAGCCCCCCCGTCTCAGTATGGAGGGTATGAGGGGACCAGCGGGCCCTCAGAGCCAGCACAGTCGTCCTCCAGCTCAGACGACGAAGACCTGGAGGACGACGATGAGGAAGCAGGTGCGCTCATTGTACAGGCTCAGCGGACAATCCACCTTTACCTGTTTACTGATAGCCAAAGTAGTTCAATAGTTCTAAAAGGACTGGTCTAGCGTAGTGGGCAGTCTCATGTGGGAAGAGAACAGGTGTGTGTGAACAGAGCAGAGGATAATCCAGAGGGCTGTCAGGCTCACATAAGTGGATGTGTTCTGTCCAATCAGATCCTGCACAGGGCTCCTGACTCACTGAAGCCTGGATTAAGTGTGGTGCTGTAGTAACGGATTTGTGCTGTTGTGTCTCTGTCTGTCTGCAGGGGGCGACACCTCCTCGTCTAGCACGGGCACTGCCTCCCCTGTGCCCAACAGCTACGACTCACTAGAGGGAGGCAGCTATCCAGGTATGTGCTTCACCCAGGTCCTGTCAGTCTGTGCATGCTACAGTCTGAACACAGAGACACACCAGGGTTTAACATGTCCCACTGTGTTGTGTAGAGGCACAGGCTCCCTGCTCCGACCTGGCCCCACATGGCCAGTCCTACACTGGCTATGGTTACCCCGGTATGCCTCCCCCCTCCTCTGCCCCACAGCATGGATACAACCAATCGGGCTACCCCCAGCCCTCACAGGTATGTGCTGTTTCGTTTACATTGTGAAGGGTGAATATCATATATTAATATAGGGCACTTGTTTTCTTGGCAGCCTTTCCCGAGTCTTTCCCAGCTGTCTGCTGCTCTGGGGGGCCTCAGTGGGATCCCTGAGCTGGAGGTGGAGTCTCTGCAGCCCATTAACCTCCTCCATGAGAGGAACCTGTTGCCCCCACGGCCTCTGGGGGCCCCAGAACCCAACCTGAGCCCAGAACTAAAGAAGGTCAACTGCAGCCCTGAGTGAGTACAAGTGTGTGAAGTAGAGTTAATATGGGGCTGTGTGTTCTGACTGTGTGTGTGCTGTGATTGTGTGTGTTCTGTGTGTGTTCTGACTGTGTGTGTGCTGAGTGTGTGTGTGTGCTAAGTGCGCTCTGACTGTGTGTGCTGTGAGCAGGACCTTCCGCTGCACCCTGACCAGTATCCCCCAGACCCAGGCTCTGCTCAACAAGGCCCGGCTGCCCCTGGGCCTTCTGCTGCACCCCTTCAGGGACCTGCAGGTATCATACAGCTCATCACATTACACACACCTGCCCCCCACGTGTATCACACTCACCTGTCTGCCACAAGTGTCACACTCACCTGACAGGGTATACTCTTGATTCCACCACATCCATGTGAATAGAGATGGGAGTATTATTTTGCCTGTAATAATAGTCGTCCTGTAGACGCTGGTCCCCAGTGGCAGCAGTAAACCTGTGTGTGAGTGATGCTGTGTGTCTCCACAGCACTTACCTGTCATCACCTCCAACACGATCGTGCGCTGCCGCTCGTGTCGCACTTACATTAACCCTTTCGTGACCTTCCTGGACCAGCGGCGGTGGAAGTGTAACCTGTGTTACCGGATCAATGATGGTAGGTTTGCTTTTGTGTGCTCTGCTCTGCTCTGCAGCCTCTCACTGTGTGTGTGTGTGTGTGTTGTCTCAGTTCCAGATGAGTTCATGTACAACCCGGTCACCAGGTCATATGGGGAGCCCCACAGGAGGCCCGAGGTCCAGAACTCCACTGTGGAGTTCATTGCCTCCTCAGACTACATGGTAAAGCACTATGCTCTTTTTTTTTTTTTTTTTTTTTTTTTAAACAAGAGTCCCCTCCCTCCGGTCTTATCCAGCTCTGTTTCTGTGTCTCCAGCTGCGCCCCCCTCAGCCTGCGGTCTACCTGTTTGTCCTGGACGTGTCCCATAACGCTGTGGAGGCTGGATACCTCAAGTACTTCTGTGACTGTCTGCTGGAAAACCTCCACTCGTAAGTTCACAGAGCAGACACTACTATCTCAGGGGACAGTGTCACTCTGGGGCCATGTCCAAACTATGGCCCACGAGCCAAATGCGTGTCCCTCAGACCAATTTTTCTTGGCCCTTAGACTTCTAGGTGAATTGGCCCATATTTTCTCAAATAGTAATTTTGAGTGAAAGTTTTTGATCTAAGCTTAGATAAGGTTCTAGTGTGTGGTGTCTAACCTGTTTATAAATGCACATATTTAAATTATTCACTGTATTAGCCATCAGTGTATGGCCCTTAATCAGCCCTCCACTTTGTTTATGTTTCGAGAAAAATCTGGACACCCCTAAGTTATCCAAGGATTATACAAACAGTAAAGCCAACAAATCTTTAATATCACATTTGAGTCTACAAATGTGTGGTTAAATAATATCCTTTGCCCTTTATAAGGATAGTTGTTAGGGGTAATGTAACAATATAAAATTGGTAGAATTTGCTTAAAAGGTTCAAATCTTTTATATTGTTTTTGCTGACACATCAGAATGGATCTTAACTCAAACATAGCTGATTAACTAAACATGTTATGCTGTATAATGGTTTGGAATTCCAGCTCCATTCATTTCTTCAGGGTAAATTATAACCTGCTTGTTTGGGATCAGCACCACAAGCTTGTCATTTTAATCTTATGTCTTAAAGTCTTTTCACCTGAAACACACCTCTTTGGGCTGGAATAATGGCGCCACTTTCTGCAGCTATTGCAATTAATTTTTTTTGACAGAGAAGACATCGGTTTTCGTTTTTCCTTCATGTGGATAATGACTGCAGAAATATTAAACATAGGGTAGTGATTGTCAAACTGTGAAAAGTACAATTTAAGTAAATAGAGTATTAAATCTATTTCACTAGTCTGTAGCTCTCATAAAGCTTTTGGCACTTCACTAGTGTTGACATTGAAGGAGAGAGAGAACAAAGTTGGAATTTAAATCCTATATAATCCTATATTTAAAACCTGTATTACGTATTTATTTACTGACTCTATGCTTTTTAGCCATGTTATAATGCTGTTACCTTTTCAAAAACATACCTTTTTTTTTTAATCCACACATGTTTGACTAATCCTGTCTACATCTCCAAAGCTCAAAATGCTCTGCTCCACATTGTGATATGAAGCAGTTGTTTGCACGTTAACAGCTTCTTTTACTTTTTGTTCAGTGGAGGTTTCAGGGCTGAAATGATCCAAATGATTCTAGAGAAGGTCGTAATGTCACTTGTCCTACTCCCTCTCCTCTTGTCTTGTGTCCTGTCCTCTGTCCTCTGTCCCAGGCTGCCTGGAGACGCTCGCACTCGGGTGGGTTTCCTCACATTCGACAGCACCATCCACTTCTACAACCTGCAGGACGGCCTCTCCCAGCCCCAGATGCTGGTGGTCTCTGACATAGAAGGTAAGGGGAAGGATTCTAGGTCAGATCTTTTGCTCAAGTATTTTCATGTGGAAAACTACTCTCTATAACTATTTGTTTTACTCATATATTGATTGATCAGGATTTTTGATTTGATTTAGTCTTATTTAAAACGCATAAAGAAGCTACTTGAAACAGTTTGCAGTGGTCCAAAGTTCTCCCTCTCTTACCTTATGCATTCTGAGCATCCTAATTATTTACCTCAATGAGTTTATAACAACTTTCAGAGACCAGAGTGGCGGCTACGTTAACAACCACTAGCATGCTAAGACTCACTTACTGATTCTCAGACAATAAAATGCAGTGTTGTTATTTTGATTTCAAGAGCTGCTTATACAATATATCTGTACTGGGACAAGAAACATTTTGCTGAAATACATGGAAAAAAATCAGGTGCAAATTCTCTCAGACTTAATCATAGCCATTTAACACAAAAAATAATCAAATTTCTTCTTCCAAAGTCTAAACTGTGCCACATGCTTTCAGTGACAGAGGACAGGCTGTAGACGTCTCCATTACATCACTGACCAAAAATGATCTGTTCAAATTCTGTTAATTACACACGCAGACATTTTAGCTTTAGACATTAGAAAATGTGCTGTTCAGAAATGCTTTGCCTCAATACATGCATCACAAATTTCGGACATCCGGTCATTACATAATGCACTCTGGGAAGGATTTTCCGAAAAAGTGAGCATCAAACCGCCATGTTTGTTTTCTCAGTGGGATGCGTCTAGTGACAAAGTCGATCTTTTCAAGTCTTTTGAACCATATCACTTTTGTTTCTGGTTCTGATATTGTCATATTTTAGTTTGGGGATTCGGACATTGTAATTGTGTGGTTGTTGATGTCCTAACAGTGGAAAACAGCTCGAGAAATGGGCTTCGGAAGTTTGCAAACACCATAAATGCAAAAGGGAATCAGATGTGATCCCGATCCCTCACTCAACCTTGGTTACGAATTTAAAAAGTCAACGCCAAAGCGAAAGGTACCAGCTGTTCACCAAGAAACACCTTCCACTGCAAAGAGACCAAGACATGATGTTGCGTTCCCGCTTTGATGGCGCTCCAAATACAGATGTTTGTTGCAAACTTGGGATGATTTAGGTTAGTGAAAGGCTACCTTGTTCGTCCTTCCCGTGGATCAATCCTGCCCATCGCCTTAACCTTTCACTATTTTTCAGTTCCGTTAGGAAGGGAAACAGTTTGAACAGAGGTTTGCAGTCACACACATCTGATTCCCTTTTGCATTTATGGAGTTCACAAACTTCCGAAGCCCATTTCTTGAGCCGTTTTCTGCTGTTAGGATCCAACAACCACACAATTATGATGTCCGAATCCCCAAACTAAAGCGGTCCCAAGCGGTTTGATGCTCACTTTTTCGGAAAATCCTTCCCAGTATGCATTGCGCAGTGACCGGAAGTCTGAAATTCGTGATGCATCTGTTTAACACATGGACGCTGCTGTAGTTTTTATTTTCAAACATAACATTGTTGCTCAGACAAAGGAGACAGCATAGCTCATATAGTCAGTCTTTTCCTAAAAATCAGCCGTATTTATGATTTAAAATTGTACGTGATCTCTGCATTCCCCCGTAGATGTCTTCATCCCCTCACATGACAATCTGATGGTGAACCTGAAGGAAAGCAAAGAGGTAAGTCACTCTGCTTGTGATGTGTGTTTCAGCTTATGGTCAGTTGACACAGATGCCAGGGCACACTGAATCCATTAAACAGATTTTCCACTAACTTGTAGTCCACAGATGGGCAGAGAGGACAAAGAGGTGAACTATCAAAACACTGAAAGCTGAAAACCAACTCATATTCACTGTATAGCTGATTTATTACTGCCCTAAAACATGAAAAACAGAGCAATGAATTTATTTGAAACAGTTTGCAGTGTTCCAGTGGTATTCCTCACGTACCTTTTGCAGTCTCAATATTCTAATTATTAAGGAAGCACTGATCCAACTTTTTTTTCACAACATTCAGAGACTTATTTTATATCTGTACATCAAATATGCGTACAAGTACTGGGCCTTTCATATTTTGAGCTGGACTTATAGCCATACACACAAAAGGTTTAATTTTTTTTTGCTGTTGATGTCTTAGAACACATTATACTTGACTTGTATGAGAATCATATTATTGTGCATATTGTGTTTGTTTAGAGATGCACTCTACAAACCCTGAGCTCTCCTGATATGGACTGAAGAGCATATTCTTCTTCTTAGTTTTACAGAGTCTGTGCATGTGCAGAGGGAGAGTGCAGTACTCTAGGCTGTCTGCAGGAGGCGCACATCTGCTGTCTAGGCTCCTCATGCTTCACCTCGTGTTTAAGGTTGCCACTGCCAACCTCTGTAAAACTTTGGCCTGATGTGCTGCTGTGCAGAGCCAGAGACTGACTGCCTCAGACTGGTCCTCCACCTAATGTTCACATCAGGACTATGCTAAAAGCAAAGCATCCAGTACAATACATAACTCACAAACACAAGATACTGCGACAGTTCTACAGCAAATGATATACAGGACACAATAAGAATGTTATGGTTTTCTACTGTGCCTTTCAAGACTCTCAAGGTGCTTTATAATGTGTTTTTCATTTGCTTCACATTCTGGGATGGTAGGCTACTATTATAGCCACAGCTGCCTTGGGGTAGACTGATAGAAGTGAGGCTGCCACTCTGCTCCATCTGTCCCTAGCACCACCAACAACACTTACACTGCCAACCTTGGGGTTAATGTACCTTCTAACCACTGAGCCACAAACATAGTTCTGAATATGAATTCATATAATAATCAGTGAATAGTTGAAGTGTGTTACATGAGCAGGTCTCTGTTCTGCACCTCAGGACTCACACTCACAGTGTGAGGGGCCGACTCTTATTGGTCATTTAAAACTCACCATGATCCAACTTGTGCACTGCAACATGACGTCACCATTCTGTATTCTGTTCAGTGAAAATCATACACAATAGATCAGGCCTGTTAAATTATTATGTCATAAGAGGCTAATACAAATATGTAATTATGTTCTGCATTTGACACAGCTGGAAACATTCAAAGTACTATGTCTTCCTGTACTCCCATGAGCCCCATGGTTGTGTATTACAGTATCTGTTGTGTTGTTGCAGCTGGTGAAGGAGCTGCTCTCCTCTCTGCCCTCCATGTTTGCTCACACGAGGGAGACCCAGAGCGCCCTGGGCCCCGCTCTACAGGCTGCCTTCAAACTCATGACCCCCACAGGAGGCAGGGTCTCTGTGTTCCAAACCCAGCTGCCCACGCTGGGGCCCGGGCTGCTGCAGTCCAGGGAGGACCCCAACCAGCGCTCCAGCACCAAGGTCAGACCCACACAGACTTTTAAAGTATTCACATCACGTTTGTATCCAGAGGCATCATGTATTGATGGTCAATAATAACTGTTGTCTATAGAAGATCATATTAAAGGTGCACGATGTAACTTTACTGGAGGACGGTTCACCTTTTACTTATCTCCATGAAGATGTTATGGCTTTGCCTGAGATATTCTACAGTATCAGTCTTGCACTTATTCAAACCAGGTATTTGTATTGCTTGAAAAACATGTGAGGGGTTCTACTCCACAGATCTGACTTTGCCTGGTGATGTAACCATAGAGATTAATATGTTTATTGCCATACTTATTAACATCTCCATGGAGACAAGCAGACAGCGGATGATGAGGATCTGCATATTGCCCCTTTAAAGTAAAAAAAAATAGACTAATGTAAATAATAGACTTTTTTTTACTGTCCATTCTCTTATGTTCAACAATTGAACCTCAGCCCATTCATTTGCTCCATATTTTAGTACATTTCTGATAGATTGTAAAATTCTGGTCTGATTATTGTAAGAGATAATCCAAAATGGCATGGACCTTCATTTTTACCCATATCTCTGCCCATGTTTGAGTGTTTGAGTGCTGAGTGTGGTGTGTGTTCTGGTGCAGGTGGTACAACACTTGGGTCCGGCCACAGACTTCTATAAGAAGCTGGCTCTGGACTGCTCCGGGCAGCATATCGGAGTGGACCTGTTCCTGCTCAGCTCGCAGTACTCAGACCTCTCCTCCCTCGGTAAGTCTGCTACTGACACTCGCTCTAATCAGACATCACCACATTCTGAGCTGCACATAGATTAAACAGAGCTGGAGGACAGGTCACGGAATTTGCCTTTGACTGTCACAGTGCAGAGACCTTGCTTTTGTTTATGGTGAATATCTGTAATTGCTGGACCTATCCACAAAACTAAACACAGACATAAAGCTCATTTCAAACAAAACAAAAATGTATTATAACCCTCGGGGATAGTTGGACACATTTTATGCACTTTTGACTTTTGACCATAATTTTGTAAACGTTCAGGTCATCCACATCGCATGAAATGTGGTGAGGTGGGACTTTTTGGAGGATATTTAAAGTTGCGCTTTGCGACCACATCAGACCATCAGTACTCTGTGTTCATCAGATTGTCACGATAGTATCATTAAGCACATAAAATGTGCATAGTATTTCAACGTACAGGAAATGTTTTTTGTTCATGATTTTATTTTATTTTTTTAAGACACTTCTGCTCTACATTTTGGTTTAAACTATTTTATATCTATTTCATTGTTTATGATTATAACCATTTAAATAACATTTCTTATCATAATAGAACCAGATTTTGTGTTGGAAAAAACACAAATTTTGATATTTGTCCAATGCAAAGCAGATCATTTAATGCTGTTTTCTTGCAGCCTGGTAAAGGTCAATAATTGGCACCAACATGAGTTTTTGTGCATTGGTAGATTTTGTGCCATGTGAAATACTCATGTTTGTATTGTGAAGTGCATAAGATGTGCACAGAATTTGGACATCCATTTTGTTCATTATTATACTCAACTTTCTTTGGTCTCATTCTTTTCAGATACCTCTGCTCTAAATATACTAAATACTAAAAATACTATTGTAGTTTTTAATATTTTTACACTTTGTTTTAAATCTTCCCTGGTTTTGGTTGAAAAATTCCAAAACTCCATTTCACATTCCAAAATGTGAAATGCAAAGCAGATTATTTTGAGCTCTTTTACTGAAGAATGGGATGTGTCAGATGTGAGTTTTTCACATGACACAACTTCTACCAATGCACAAAAACACATGTTGGTGCAAGTTATTCACCTTTACCAGGCTGCAAGAAAACAGCACAAAATGCTTTGCATTTTTCAGACTGGACAAAAGGCAGAATTTGTGTTCTTTTATGATAAGAAATGTCATTTAAAGGGTTATAATCATAAAAACAGTCAAAACAGTTTATACCGAAATGTAGAGCAGAAGTGTTTGAAAAGAATTAGTCCAAAAAAAGTAAAATCAAATCATGAACAAAAACATTTCTTGGACGTCCAAATACTGTGCACATTTTATGCCCTGAATGATATAAATGTATGTTTTGTATTTACAAATGTATAAATATTTTTGAGCGTTGCCAGAGGCTTAGTTCATATACAAGGTCTAAAGATTTGCTCTCCGTTTGAACTGCTCATCAGGTTCTAGTGTCCTAAATGTCCTCTGTGTGTCCTAATGTCCTCTGTGTGTGTCCTAAATGTCCTCTGTGTGTGTCTAAATGTCCTCTGTGTGTCCTAAATGTCCTCTGTGTTAAATGTCCTCTGTGTGTCCTAATGTCCTCTGTGTGTGTGTCCTGTGCAGCGTGCATGTCCAAGTACTCTGCAGGCAGTGTGTACTTCTACCCGTCCTTCCACCACGTCCACAACCCCGAGCAGCTGGAGAAGTTCCAGAGCGACCTGGAGAGATACCTGACACGAAAGATCGGCTTCGAGGCCGTCATGAGGATCCGCTGCACTAAAGGTACACACACTACTGCAATAAAAGTACACACCACAAACTGCTGCAATAAAAGTACACACCACAAACTACTGCAATAAAAGTACACACCACAAACTACTGCAATAAAAGTACACACCCACAAACTGCTGCAATAAAAGTACACACCACAAACTACTGCAATAAAGTACACAAACACACTACTGCAATAAAAGTACACACCACAAACTGCTGCAAATAAAAGTACACACCACAAACTACTGCTGCAATAAAAGTACACACCACAAACTACTGCAATAAAAGTACACACCACCACAAAACTACTGCAATAAAAGTACACACCACAAACTGCTGCAATAAAAGTACACACCACAAACTACTGCAATAAAAGTACACACCACAAACTACTGCAATAAAAGTACACACCACAAACTACTGCAATAAAAGTACACACCACAAACTACTGCAATAAAAGTACACACCACAAACTACTGCAATAAAAGTACACACCACAAACTACTGCAATAAAAGTACACACCACAAACTACTGCAATAAAAGTACACACCACAAACTACTGCAATAAAAGTACACACCACAAACTACTGCAATAAAAGTACACACCACACACTACTGCAATAAAGTACACACCACAACTACTGCAAAAAGTACACACCACAAACTACTGCAATAAAAGTACACACCACAAACTACTGCAATAAAAGTACACACCACAAACTACTGCAATAAAAGTACACGCCACAAACTACTGCAATAAAAGTACACACCACAAACTACTGCAATAAAAGTACACACCACAAACTACTGCAATAAAAGTACACACCACAAACTACTGCAATAAAAGTACACGCCACAAACTACTGCAATAAAAGTACACGCCACAAACTACTGCAATAAAAGTACACGCCACAAACTACTGCAATAAAAGTACACACCACAAACTACTGCAATAAAAGTACACACCACAAACTACTGCAATAAAAAGACACCACAAAACTACTGCAATAAAAGTACACGCCACAAACTACTGCAATAAAAGTACACGCCACAAACTACTGCAATAAAAGTACACACCACAAACTACTGCAATAAAAGTACACACCACAAACTACTGCAGTACAAGTACACACCACACATTACTGTAGTAAAAGTACACACCACAAACTACTGCAGTAAAAGTACACACCACAAACTACTGCAGTAAAAGTACACACCACAAACTACTGCAGTAAAAGTACACACCACAAACTACTTCAGGAAAAGTACAAATCACAAACTACTGCAGTAACAGTACACAATACACGCTACTGCAGGAAAAGAACACACCACATGCTACTGCAGGAAAAGTACACACTACAAGCTACTGCAGTAACAGTACACAATACACGCTACTACAGGAAAAGTACTCACCACAAACTACTGCAGGAAAAGTACACACCAAAAACTACTGCAGTAAACATACAAATCACACACTACTGCAGGAAAGTACACACTATACTCTACTGCAATAAAAGTACACAATACACGCTACTGCAGTCAAAGTACACAATACACGCTACTGCAGGAAAAGTACACACCACACACTACTGCAGGAAAAGTACACACCACACACTACTGCCATAAAAGTACACAATACACTCTACCGCAATAAAAGTACACAATACACGCCACTGCAGTAAAAGTACACACCACTGTGGCTTGCTGCTACCTTCAAGCTAATCCTTCTGGAGAGTTTCATCTAAGTAATGTCATATTCATTATTCAAGAAATATAATTTGATCAGAAAGTTCCTAGTAAGTAAAATGTGAGTTACTGTGTATCTGACCTCTGTATCCTCTGCTCTTTTCATATGGTCACTTCATAATATCTCCTCTTCAGGCAGTCTTATGTTTACATTATTAGGTTCTTTTTTCAGACCGTGGGTTTGTTTTCATACCTGACAGTTTCGACTGCTCACTAGTGCTCTTCCTCAGAGTGGTCACGCGATGTTGCTGTGACGTGTCCGGTCAGATGATTTATCAGGTTTTGGTGCCAGCAACAAAACACAAAGCAGGACAGGAACAACTCAAATCGGTCATTTCTGACCACTGTAAAAGAGAGAAGCACATTCTGGACTGGGACGAGCAAACATCACTGGGACAGAGGAAAACAAACATCGTTGCTGGATTAAAGAGGCAATACGGAAAAATACGGAAACGTGCCCATAGGGTGATATATTTACTCTCACACCTGGGATACTGTCCTGAGGAAGTGGGACTGCAGGTGCTGCTGTCGTCCTGCCTCCTCCGGTAGGAAGACAGCGCTGAAACCTGTTTAAATCATCTGACCGGGCATGTCACGGCAACATCACGTGACTCTGAGGAAGAGCACTAGTGAGCAGTCGAAACTGTCAGGTATGAAAACAAACTCTTGGTCTGAAAAAAGAAATGAATAACATAAATTTCAGAAGACCAAATGAACCTCATCGGACTAATCTTATGTTTACATTTCAGATATTGTGTCCATTATCAGCCGGTGTCATGATCAAATGTGTGACCTGGTGTCTTGCAGGTTTATCCATCCACACATTCCATGGGAACTTCTTTGTGCGTTCCACGGACCTGCTGTCCCTGGCCAATGTGAACCCGGACTCCGCCCTGGCAGTGCAGATGTCCATAGAGGACTCTCTGGCGGACTCGTCTCTGGCGTGTTTTCAGGCCGCTCTGCTCTACACCTCCAGTAAAGGTACACACACCTCTTCTTGGAATTAGTTTGGTCTGATTTGATTTTTGATGTTTTGAACTGGGGATATCTGTGAAAAGAAGAGATGTTACTGACAATTCATTACACTGTAACAAAACAACCGTCAAATTTTTCATGTTTTCGTTCCCATTGTAATAGAGCTCCACTTCTCCAATATGTAACCAGCAATAAAGTTAATGTGAAATCACGAACCAGATAAAAAATGAATAAAAATAAAATTAAACTGTACTTGTTAGGAAGCAAAAAGGGCTAAGGCACAAATATTAAAGGCCTTTATTATTTCATAGTAATTATTTAAAAACGCTGACATGTTTTGGCCGTCATCAGGGCATGTACTACATCTATCATCTATCTTTCTATACTGAATTTAGTTTATTTTGCTTTGAAAATTGCCACTGTTATTATTTTTCGTAGCTCTTCTGATGGTATTGTCACGTGAATAATCACAACAATCCCTGTTATGAACACTTTTTATATTGTAATTGTGAGCTACTAAAATCCTTGTGGGTGAGTAAAGTGAGTCCAGTCCAGCCTGTCTCAGCTCTGCTCCTCTGCTCCTCTCTCCTCTCTCCTCTGCTCCTCTCTCCTCTCTCCTCTGCTCCTCTCTCCTCTATCTTTTCTCCTCTGCTCCTGTCAGCTCTACTCCTCTCTCCTCTCTCCTCTGTCCTCTCTCCTCTCTCCTCTATCTTCTTTCCTCTCTCCTCTGTCCTCTTTCCTCTCTCCTCTGCTCCTCTTTCCTCTCTCCTCTCTCCTCTTTCCTCTGTCCTCTCTCCTCTGCTCCTCTCTCCTCTTTTCTCTTTCCTCTGTCCTCTCTCCTCTCTCCTCTCTCCTCTCTCCTCTTTCCTCTCTCCTCTGCTCCTGTCAGCTCTACTCCTCTCTCTCTCCTCTCTCCTCTGTCCTCTCTCCTCTGTCCTCTCTCCTCTCTTCTTTCCTCTCTCCTCTCCTCTCTCTCTCTCCTCTATCCTTCTCTCCTCTGCTCCTCTGTCAGCTCTGCTCCTCTCTCCTCTGCTCCTCTCTCCTCTCCTCTCTCCTCTGCTCCCTGTCTCCTCTGCTCCTCTCTCCTCTCTCTCCTCTCTCCTCTCTCTCTCTCCTCTCTCCTGTCTCCTCTCTCCTCTGCTCCTCTCTCCTCTCTCCTCTGCTCCTCTCTCCTCTCTACTCTGCTGCTCTCTCCTCTTTCCTCTCTCCTCTACTCCTCTCTCTCCTCTGCCCCTCTCAGCTCTGGTCCTCTGCTCCTCTCTCCTCTCTCCTCTGCTCCTCTCTCCTCTCTCCTCTCTCCTCTGCTCCTCTCTCCTCTCTCCTCTCTCTCCTCTTTCTCCTCTTTCTCTCCTTCCTACTCCTCTCTCTCCTCTGCACCTCTCTCTGCTCCTCTGCTCCTCTCTCCTCTTTCCTCTCTCCTCTACTCCTCTCTCTCCTTTGCACTCTCTCAGCTCTGCTCCTCTGGTCCTCTCTCCTCTACTCCTCTCTCTCCTCTGCCCCTCTCAGCTCTGCTCCTCTCTCTTTCCTCTCTCCTCTACTCCTCTCTCTCCTCTGCACCTCTCAGCTCTGCTCCTCTGCTCCTCTCTTCTCAGCTCCTCTCAGCTCTGTTCCTCTGCTCTGTGTGACAGGGAAGCGGAGGATCCGGGTGCACACCCTGTGTCTGCCTGTGGTCACCCAGCTGAGTGACGTGTACGCGGGGGCTGATGTCCAGGCCGTCACCTGCCTCCTGGCCAACATGGGTAAGGCTATGTCCTCATTATTTATGTATGTCAGGGCTACGGATGGTCCCATATGGATTTTTTGAGCTGCTGCCCATACTGTTGTTGCCAGGAATCAATATTAAGCTTTTAAAATCTACAGTATAGAGCAAATGTATCTAACGAATACATGAAGTTTGAAATATGTGAAGTTTGCAAATTAACGTGTTGCTTTTGTAAAATTCATATTCTGAAATCTGATTGTTGTGCCCTTTTTGTTTGAGGAGGTTTGTGACTCACGTAAGAAAATAAGCACTCGCAGAGATCCAGATCCATTTATCTATTTATTTTAAAGAACAAAAAAATATATATATATATTCTCTGTAGTTGACTTTCTTTTCGATATAGTGTGGTCACAAAATAGTATCTTCTCCTCTCTGCTGGCACTGTCTTCCCCACCCTGCTGCTACAGGTGACAAGATATACCTGACTGCAGGAGGAGGGGAGGGGAGATCAGAAAATCTACAATAAAAATTCTATAATAATAAAGAAAAATGCATTTTAATATTATATAAAATTCATCAAATTAATACTTTCTTACATAAATATAAAGTGGCTCCAACACTGATGCTCTGAGGACACTCTGGAGTTGACACATGGTCACACAGAAAAAAATATCAGTGCCAAATATCAGCAAAGTTTTCTTTATCGACCAATACCTCTATCTGTGTCGATCTGCCATTATCACCAGTACTGACACTAGTGTAGAATGACAGAAGTGAGGCTGCCACACACACACACACACACACACACACACACACACACCATCACACACACACACACACACACACACACACATCACACACACACACACACACACACACACACACACACACCGCTTTCTTATTAGACAATGTGGGTGAAATGTCTTTCCTATGGACGCAGCTCCCATCCAAGTTCTAGCCAGACCCGATATCGATTTGAGCTCCCTTAGCACTACTGCACATGCGCACAACCCCCAAAGCGCTGTTAGAGTTTCAATGCTGTTGATTTGAGCTACTGAAGCAGAAGTGGAGTAACATTAACTCACATTTTAAAAATGTTATGGTTTTATTGTATGTTTGTTGAGTTAAACATCGACATGTGTGTGTTAGATTTGCGTCAGAAAACCTACGTTAGATGATTGAATAGTTTGGATTCAATATTTGACTTTATCTGTATCATTTTCATTACAACATATTTTATTTTGATTCCACGTGTAGAAAACCGTGTAACTTTGTTTAAAGGTGTTGTATAAAAATATCAGGGCACACACACTGTAGCCTGTGATATTAGCCTTAAATATGATATATTTAACAATGTTTCATATAAAGATTTCAGTGTTTCAGTGTATTTCCTTCTCTTCTATAGTGGCAGTCTTATTTGATAGAAGATATCATCCTGTGGAAATGAGCTTGGACCAAATTCATCTAAATGAGTAAATAATGTTGATTGTACAGTGGGACATTATTTGATGGATAAATTGTCCTGTGGATATGTGCTCCCTTTGCTCGGAGCCCTGTTTGAGCAGAATACAACTGTCCAAATGAACTACCTATGCATATTCATAAAAATGAGTTTAAATTTGACATAACTAAGGTATAAAGTGTGATCACCGTGTGCAAACAGCATCAAACTTGCGTCTCGAATCCAAAGAAATATGCTGTAAACTTTATTGGATCTATACAGCTGTAAACTGAAAAACGTAAGGTCGCTTATTTCAACAGGATAGTGTGAATCATTAGACGTCACTGTCGATTTAGGCTGCTGGTAGCTCATTTTAACGGGGCAGCCCATTTCGACAGAACACCGGCCCTGCTTAGCTTCTGAGTTCTGACCAGAAACTATGCATGATCACTGCTTTTTAGATGGTCTGATAACTGAAAGAAATAAATAAAAAATAAATGACATAATGTAGGGTGACCAAACATCCGTTTTTCCCCAGGCATGTCTGTTTTTTGCGTCCTGTCCTGGGACGTCTGTTTATTTATTTATTTTTAAAGTGATGCAAATGTCCGGGTTTTCATTACCATTCATTGGGGCCATTAAACTGAGCGGCTCTTGTAGTTCTCTCTGACTCAGAAGAAGTGAGCAGACACAAACAGTCGGTCAGTCTGCAATGTGCCGAAGCGCAAATGTGCATTTAACGTTGACTTGTACAAGAAATTCCCCGATTTCCAGCCCGGTCGGGACAAGTGGGAGGCCATGTGCACAGGTTGAGAGGTGAGAGTAGCTCAGTGTCGAGGCTCCACCCCCAGCCCTGGTAAGGTGTCCGGGTTTTCACAAACGGAAATGTCGTCACCCGAACATAATGGTACATACAAGGCACAACAACTGTCCCATTAAAGTCTGAGATTTTCCATATAAATGATAGACATAGAAGATAGTATGTCATGTTTTTCAGAGTGCCTTGTTGGACACAAACCGCCAGCGTTGTCATGGAAATTTACTCTCCACTAGAATACTGACATTCAGAAATGTCACCATTAAAGCTTCAATGTGATCATCCATGTTTAACTGTTCTGCACCATAAGAAATAAGACATAAGACACCACAGATGTCTACAGACTAACGTAACAGAGCTTCAGACTGAGCCGTGCCTCATGTTAGCATCCCCCCACGATGACATCAGTAGCAAAGTATCAGTTTAAATGTCATTTCCCAGCCCTAACTGCCCTCTCTCTCCTCTGTTCGCCTCACCCCTGTGCTCACAGCCATCGACCGGTCAGTGTCTTCGGGGCTGTCGGACGCCCGGGACGCCCTGGTGAACGCGGTGGTGGACCTGGTGGGGGCGTACAGGAGCAGCGTGTCCAACCTGCAGCAGAGCGGACTGGTGCTGCCCTCGTCCATGAGACTCTTCCCTCTGTACATCCTGGCTCTGCTCAAACAGGTGCTCACACGCCGTACGCTTCTGTTGAAAAGTAAACACAACTACAGACGATGCTGTAGGGAATTCTTTAGCTGATATCTGATCTCACTGGTGTGGCCGAAAATCAATGTTTGTTGTTTGAGCTGTTGGTTATTAACCGTTTAGAGTGGTTAGTTCTCACACCTCACAGCAAGAATGGGGTTCTGGACCCACAACAACCCAAAACCTGCACAATAGGGCAAATCTTCCAGGTAAAATAGACCTGACCAAAACTTGCTCAAGATCTAGAGGTGGGTCCCACTGCTCCTGGGTGAAGTATGGTTCAAATGCAGAAAATACATTTTGTCAAAAGGTTTATTAAAATAAACCATAACCTTACCTCACCATGACTTAAATCATGTTATCTCTGCCAATAAAAGTATTATATAACAAATACATTTCAACATTTTCAGTTCTAAACTCTTGCTGTATTAAAGGTAATGCGTAACCCGTGCTCCTCCTTGTATAAAGTGGCAGAACAATGAATCCATTATCTGTCTCATTCTGAGGACACATCATATCACAGAGAGCCTTTTTATTGCACACTGGTTCTTAGACGAATGATCTGGAAACCAACGTGTGGAGCTCAGTCTGCTTTCTGATTGAAACATTATGAATACATCTACGTTACAAATATTTTCATCACTAAACACAATATTTGATTTGTACATGTACTGATTATGACAGGGCAGCTAGAGAGCAAGCTTGCATCTCCATAAACCTGACTCTTTGGCCTGAAGGAGCCCCTCTTTGTGCGTGTTTCCATGGAAATGTTGTTCCTTTGGCTAAAACAGTCTATAGCTTGGCATAAAACATCTGGATCATGCAGGTGACGTTTCACCACCAGAAGGTTAAATACTGTACATTTGAATAATGAATACAAATCTTACATGTGCGCTCCATTTAAAGGGTCATGTTTATTTCTATAAATATACAAATTTCTCATCTATGTTATGAGTTCTCAGTTCTCTCAAACAGAAAACACTGTTAGACTTAGACAAACTGTATTGATCCACAAGGGAAATCATTGTGACACACTAGCTCACACAGCACAATATTTTATGGCGAGGAGAAAATTCAGTTTGTCGACTGGACAAAAGTTAGTTTGGTTGAAGACGTTTCGCAGCTCACTACACTGAAACTAACACACACTTGTTTACAGTTTCTGTTCATTAGTTCAGCCTGTTGACCTGTGCAGGGTGTGAGGTCTATTTAGCAGAACAATTCATGGCAATAATTGGTGCTGGACCTGACCTGACTACACCTGTTTTTCTCCTGTTTGTTTTGATTTAGGTTTGAGGATGGAGTTGTAAATAGGAGATAGATGGTGTCTGTGTCTCCATTTCTGTTTAAAGAAGGATTCTCTTTCTTGACAAAAATGGCTTCTTTTACTCTCCTCTCAAACCAATTCTTTTCTCTGACTAAAATCTGAACCTCGCTGTCCTCAAATGAGTGGCCTGTGGCTTTTAAGTGGAGATGTACAGCAGACTGAGGTCCACTGCTGCTCTCTCGTCTGTGTTGGTTCATCCTCTTGTGAAGTAGCTGTCAAGTTTCTCCAATGTAGTGTTCACTGCAGTCTTCACTGCACTGAATGGAGTAGAGCACATTGCTTTGTTTGTGCCTCGGTGTTTTGTCCTTTGGGTTGGACCAGTTTGTGTCTTAGAATGTTCGTAGGTTTGAAATAGACCAGAATCTCATGTTGTCTGAAGATCCTCTGTAGTTTTTCAGAAACACCAGCCATGTAAGGAATAGTTATAATAACAAAAAGAAATAATAATAATAATAATAATAATAATAATAATAATAATAATAATAATAATAATAATAATAATAATAATGGTGTAGTAAAATATGGTAATGATAAATGTTACATCTTGTGATGGCCTGTGGGAATACAGGAAGTGCTCCGCTCCATACACCTTCACTAGAATCATTTGGATCATTTAAAACTGCCACTTCATGACATCATAAGACGGGCTACATGTTTGAGAGTTACTCAAACACGTGTAAATAAAACAAAACACAACTCCAGGTCTGTTTCTGAAGAGGTAACATTCTAACATGACTTGAAGCTCACAAGAGTCAGTTTTGTGTAGTATAGGACCTTTAAACACGTGTCTCTTGCTCCACAGAAAGCTTTGAGGACGGGCACCAGTACCCGCCTGGATGAGCGTGTCTTCGCTATGTGCCAGTTTAAGACTGAGCCTCTTCCACAGCTCCTCAGGATGCTGCACCCAGACCTCTACAGACTGGACACCATCTCAGACCAGGTACCCCTCTGCCTCTGCCTACCTCTCTGACCACATACCCCTCTGCCCCTGCCCAGCGCTCAGACCAGGTGCCCCTCTGCCCCTGCCCACCTCTCAGACAAGGTACCCCCCTGCCCACCAGGTACCCCTCTGCCCCTGCCCAGCACTCAGACCACATACCCTGCTCTCCACAGTATGGCATTGCATTCATGTAGCTTCGTTATTAGTGTTTTTAGCATCTGCGTCTTTAAAATGAACAATACTCAACTTTCATATCACCGTCTACAACAGGAGTGTTCTAAAAAAAACACTATTCTATCATGAGCTCTTTTCAGTCTAATAAAACAGCTTTTTTTGTGCTGGCTGCAGGGGGCGCTCCACCTGAATGACACCATAGTCCCTCAGCCACAGCTCCTGCACCTGTCTGCAGAGAGGCTGAGTCGGGACGGGGCCTTCCTCCTGGATTGCGGCTTTGTGAGTACCTCTGCTCATACTGTGTGCTTAAATCGGTGTAATTTCAAACCCTAACCCATGTGTGTGCAGGTCCTGTACGTGTGGGTGGGCCGCTCGTGCTCGGACATGTTCCTGCGGGACGTACTGGGAGTGTCGGACCACGCCTCCTTACCCCCCAACATGGTGAGCCCACTGTACATCAGCTGTAGCTCACACAAGCAGACTGCACTCACTACAGACACATGCACAGAGAGCTGCAAGTGCCCTAAACAACCACATTTAAATAGTCTTTGCCCCAAAAACTGTCGGAGCGCTCTAGTCCCAGTCTAAAGGCCAAAAAACTCAATAGGTGCAATGACGGGTCTAGTAAATTACCATTAGTACTAAAACTTTCCAGCAGTAATTGCTAATAGAACCACACTTGTGTCAGAAATGTATAAATGACGATGAGTAAAGAGCCACACGTTATAACATGAGGTAGACTCAGACTCAGAGCAGGACCTCAGAGGAGTGGACATACACAGCTCTGAGCAGTGCACGTCTCAGAGCTGGGCGCATAAACATATCGTGCTTCAAAATGTGTTGTATAATGTCTTTTATATTACAAAAAGTGCAATAAATGGAGAATGGTTTAATGTTTTTTAGGCATCTAACTGTACAACATGTAAGGTTTGCCCTTACATGTTGCTCTCCGGCATTTTCATTTTGTAAAGATAGCTCACCGGACAAAAGGTTGGAGATCCCTGCACAACAAAGATAAATTGTGATAAATGATTATATTGAAACTGCTTTATGCCACTGACACAAACACAGTAAAGCAAGCTAATCCCAGTTAGTATATTTTTAAATGTGTAGTATCATTAAAAGGCCTGAGCTACAACAAATAAATAGCAGAATTACCCAATAATTACCTCCGCCAAGGAGGTTATGTTTTTGCCGGCGTTTGTCTGTTTGTCTGTTTGTTTGTTTGTTTGTTTGTTTGTCTGTTAGCAACATAACTCAAAAAGTTATGGACCGATTTTGATGAAATTTTCAGGATTTGTTGGAAATGTGAAAAGGAAGAACTGATTTCATTTTGGGGGTGATCCGGAAGAAATCCTGGATTCTGGATCACTTTGAAATTTTAGTTAACATTGTGGTAAATGGGGCCAAAAATTTTGTTTCTCAATATCTCGGTTAATTATTGACCAAACCTCATGAAATTTGACTCAGGGATGGACAATGGGATCCTCTTTCATATTCCAAAGGCTGATCCGGATCTGATCCAGAAGACTGATTTTATCGCAATTTATATAAAAAATGGGGGTAGTCCTTGGCGGAGGTCTGCGCTCTCTGACTGCTTTTCTAGTTAGCCATAGAATATATTTATTCTCACTCTATAGCTCAAATTTGACCTTATTACATCAAAATGGCAAAAGTCTCCCCACTAGTGCAAAGAAATTGTTCACACAATAAATATCCAGCCCCAAAATATGTAGTTCCAGCTTGTATGTATTGAACAATAATTTGAGATAGTATTAATATTATTGTGACAGGCCTACACATACTACTAAATAACAGCCTACAGCCCTGGTACTGTCCCCTCCAGGCTCAGTCCTCTGTGGTGCGCTCAGTCCTCTGTGGTGCGCTCAGTCCTCTGTGGTGCGCTCAGTCCTCTGTGGTGCGCTCAGTCCTCTGTGGTGCGCTCAGTCCTCTGTGGTGTGCTCAGTGCTGGCTGCAGAGGCTACAGTAAAGTGTGATCACACTCATTATGTGGCAGTGAAACAGACATGTGAGTCCAAGATGAGACTGGAACATTTCACACTGCACTAGTGCCTCACCACTGTACAGGCTTTGACGTGACATTTAGAGACAAACATTTCCTGTTGAACTACATTCAAATGTGAACCTTTTTTCAGTGTGACATAATGTACTGTAGGATCAGTGTCGATAGTACATTTTCAAACTATGTTGCAATAGATACTTTCTTTATCTTAGTATGAGGTGTTAAATACATTCTGATAAAGCTCAAAATCATACAAAAACTGTCCAGGAAAGCTCAGATTTTGTCCTGTTAATGTTACTTTTTCTAGTATGAAGCAACCAACCGTATTCCACATGTGGTTGCCCCCTCTGATGTTGTAGCCGTGGCCTGCCCTCTGTTTAAACGGCTGCTTCCCTGTTTGATGCTCAATCTGCTCTCTTCTCCTGTCTGCTCCTGTCTGCTCCTGTCTTCTCCTGTCTGCTCCTGTCTGCCCCTGTCTGCCCTCTGCTCCTGTCTGTCGTCAGAACCACATTCCGGAGCTGGACACTCCCCTGTCGGAGCGGGTCAGGGCCTTCCTGGACTGGCTCCAGGAGAAGCGCTCGTGCAGCTGCCCACTGCATGTCCTCAGGTAACACATACACACACACACACACACACACACACACACACACACACACACACACACACACACACACACACACACACACACACACAAAACAGAGTGTGAGCACTGGGACACTTTGGTAACACATAGGCACATGAGCCTGCTCTGGGGCTACAGGAGGAAACAAGCACTAGTGCTACAAGCTGGTACCATGCATCTCTCTGTGAATGAAGACATATTATGCTTGTGTCTGCTCTATAGTGATAATCTATGTCTCCTGTGGATCATGTTTTAATTTGCACATTATAAATCGCTATATTCATGTAAAATAACTTAACTTAATAAAAGAAACAAGTCTGCCCAATCGGAGCTGATGTTGCTGTAAATGCCGTCAAAACAAAGTGCCATGAAGTCCTCCTGTGGATAGCTGCAGATTTTTTTTTCATTTGTACCAAAATGAATACACAGTGTTGCGGAATTCGACGTGTATCACTGATTGAGAAAATCAAATTATGTAAATATAGAAAAGTATGTAGAGATCAGTGGGCGTGTATCAATAGCTGGGATAAGCTCAATCAAAAAGAACTTGTGTCAGACAGAACTTAATTTCCTTTACCATAGATCGTACCTGGACAACTGAGGGATTTTATAAACACTTGATAGCAGCGAAAATAAGTTGATTGGTAAGATATTGGCAAAATAAGCAAGTCAAATTTACTCAAACATGCACCACATACAACTTCAACTCAGTCAGTGAGAGAGGGAAACAACTGGGCTCGGTCAAGTAGAAGTAAACAGCAAGGCCAAAAATTCAAGTTAATGCATCTGATATAAAAATGTATTGAACAGATACATATGTACTCTAGTTTATGAAACTGTTGACCTTTTTTCTGTACCATTTTTGATTCTAAAGTTACATATGTTTTAAACAGACCATGAATGAAACATGGAACACAAATTATTTCCCAAATTTCAAAGACCTGCAAATCATGTCAATAAATGGATGTATTTCATCATATCTTGTGTTATTCCATCTTTGAACTGTTGATGAAGGTACATGATTTAAAAAAAAAAAAAAAAAAAGTATTTAAAATGATAAAAATTTGCTTGGAAGGACTGACATATTTTATAGAAATAGTTTAGTAGTAATAGTATAGTAGTAATAGTAGTTCATTTTGAAGTAATATTAAAGATTTCGTAAGAAAAAAGCGACAAATGATGTAAAATCCTGCACCTTCTACTTACTTGAACAATTTTCCCTCCGTTACTTTTGCTTCCATTACCATGACATTTTTTAATAAAAATTAGTCAAAAAGTAAGAGGTTTTTCAACCTAATCTTGTACCATATGGTAGAAAACTATATGAAGCAAATATTCAAACCAGTTTGTTAAGGATATGGAAGTGAGAACCAAGAGTTATCACTGTTTGCATTTATTGCCCAAAAAGTGCTGCATATTTCATTCCCTCTGTTACCGACATGGGTTTTAAAATTTTTTGTCAACAACTTGAAAGAATATCACAGGTTTAACTTGACCCTGTTGGAGTGTAACTCTTTCCTACATTCTGATACTTTACTTATTTCAATAGTTCCTCTAGTTTCTGAATAAGAGACATTTGAATGTCAAAAATCTGCCCCTGTTTCCCTCCGTTACCACTTGACCGAACCCAACTATAATATTATCAAAAGCAAAAATTTAAAAATAGTTAAGTTTAATGTATATTTTGCACAGTCCCTGTCTTAAAGTGACCTAAAGTGGACACGTACATAGTGGTGCAGAAGTTGTGAGACTGTCCCTGTGCAGATGGACAGGCCCTCGTCCCTCCACAGCAGCACATGCTTCATGTTAGTTCAACACAGAGGTGCTGTAGGACACATGTTTTCCACACCATTAACAACCTTCTGTCTGCTTTAATCAGCTTCACACATACAATAAAAACATGTCGTATCTCCGTGGATACGAGCAGGTGGCAGACCCTCCACCAGAAAAGCTACATAGTGTGCCTTTAAAGCAAACCTATTCTGCAGTTTCAGCTTTTCAGAGCTTTAAATCATGTTATAGTTGTTTCCCCTCACCATTTACTCACCACAGTTTGTATTTGGGTGATTTGTGCATGTTTGAGTCATCTTTTGAGTCATCTGATGATCAACTCCTATTAACTTTGGGTATTGGGCATTGCTCTGTAGTTATTTTGGTACAAATGAAGCAAAAAAAAAAAGAAACGATACTCAGTAGTGTGATGTGCAGTTTTCCATAGAAGAGGCCCACAGCAGGCGGCGCTTTGTTGTGATGAGGTTTACTGCGATGTCAGCTCCTGTTGGGCACCACAGTTTTCTAACACAGATGTCAGCTCACTTGTTTCTTTTATTATGTTATTTTAAATGAATATTGTGATTTAAAATGTCAAAATTTAACAATGATCCATGGTGACGTATATTATAACTATTAGGGGTGTAACAGTACACAAAAATCATGGTTCGGTACGAGATCACAGTTTGGTTCATTTGCTTGTTGTTTATTTGTGTGTTTATTAAACCAACAATTAGTTTTAACATTATACAAATGGGAAAATAAAATAAATGCATAGTGCTGCTTGGTAATACTAATAAGTTCAATAACATTTTCTCAAATAAGCAACAAATGTGTGAAATATTATAAAAAAAATAATTCCTTGTAAACAGTCAACAAAACTTTTCAGAAAGTAAAATGCAGCACTAACAGTTCCAGGATGAATTTTTACTCAATTTTCATTATATTTGGCCAGAAAAAAACAACTTGTCCACATTGTCTGCAGTAAGTGCAGATCTGCTTTGGAAGGGGAAGTGGAGCAGAGATTCCGTGCTGGCGAAAGGCGAAAGGCACGACCGGGGCACGACGACCATAGTTTTCTGAGGATTCACGTGGTTTAGAGGGATGTAGTCAAGGCGAGGGACATTTGTTGTGAAGGCAGTTGCTCGAACTATAAAGCGCTGTGGGAAACACTGCCCCAATCACGGACGAGTTCCCACGTGAATATTAAATAGCCGAGCCTTCCATGTAGCTGCACATGTAGTGGCGGATGTAAACACACAGAAATTGTGCGAACTCACTCGTGCTGAACCCTGCACTGAACCGACTGTCCCGTACTGAAACAGTTCAGCACGAATACGAACTATTACACCGCTAATAACTATACAACAGACTCAAGCACAAAATCTTCTTTAACATAATGTAGAGGAAATGCAGGTAAATGTTTTCAATAATAATGTGTAAATCGGTTTAAATCTGAAAGGCACCACTCCATGACATCAGCAGTTGGAGCAAGTATTGAGAAGAACTGGATAAACATACACAGCATTTGGTGCTTCTCGGGGAATTTGCAAAAACATTACTCAGAACCAAACTCCCGTCATGTTTATTTTTTTTATCAGAGAACATTAGAACATGTGGATAAATGCTTAACCCTGCTGAGCGGATGTAAGACCTTTAGACACACCAGTGTGTGTGTCTGTGTATATTTGGGTGTGTTTGGACTCCTCCCGATCTATCTTAAGGAGGTCATGTTTTCACTGTCAATAGCACAGAGCGCACGGTCAGTTTGATGCCGTCTCAAAGCATCACCCCTGTCCAGTAGCACGCTGCGCTGTTTACACGCACAACACAATCTGACCGTTATCTCATTTCTGGAGTTATCAGATTATTCAAATGTCATGTAAACATGTTCAACTATCTGATTATTCCTGTTTTTCTTTTTTTTTACACTGCCATGTTTTAGTCATGTTAAAGGTTGTACAGAGGATTTTTTAAGGGAAGAGAAGTACAGCGACAGTTCATGTGCATGTGGGACACCACCGTCCTCCTCCACAGCTCCCTCAGTAGAAACATCTCCTCCCGCTTCTTTACTCTAGAAGTCACGCTTGTTTACAGCCAGTGTGTGTTCAGAATTACTGTTGAAGTGACCTGTCTAGAAGTAATTTAGCGCCCGATGCTTCAGTTTTTTGACCCTTCGTTTGCTTCAGTTGCGCCATCGCTGGAAGGAATCTCCAAGAATCACCTCAGTTTGGCTTCACTCCTTTTCCCCTTCTCTTCTTCTTTCAGCGACCTCATAAACCGACTTTCTTTTGCGGTGAACTGGTTGTGGATTCTCGTCCGCCGTCGCAACAAACTTTGTGCAAAATGCGAGGAAGCTACAGTTTGAAAAAGCCTCTAAGAACCACTGCATAAACCACGTAATCCCCACGCTCCGGCGAGTCAGTTACACTAGGGAGTTTGATTGACAACCTAACAGCCAATAGAAAATGAGGGAGCCTCAATATCTATTGGCTGATGTTTATCTGGCCTCACTACGTCCACAGTTGATAGATTTTCATTCTTCTTTTTTTTTTTTGGTCATCATAATTACAAGGCTGCTGCGTCTCTGTAATGGTATTTTACACTTTCATTGACAATTTGAAAAAAATCCTCCATACAACCTTTAAAGGTGCTGGACCTGATTTTCACCATCGTAAAAATGTGAAAAACAGAACTGGTTCATTTTGCACTGGTCCAATGTCAATCCTCACTTCCCTTCTGCATTTTAAGCATCCTAGTTATCCACCACGATGTCTTCATTTGCACTTTTCACAACTTTCAGAGACGAGAGCCAAGTTTTGCTGTCACATTTTCTGATTCTCGGACAATAAAACGTTATTATTAGATGGAGACAATACACAGTGGTCTTGTTTCTACCTTAAGAGCTGCTTCTACATTATATCTAGGTCCGGTCAAGTGGTAACGGAGGGAAACGGGGGCAGATTTTTGACATTCAAATGTCTCTTATTCAGAAACTAGAGGAACTATTGAAATAAGTAAAGTATCAGAATGTAGGAAAGAGTTACACTCCAACAGGGTCAAGTTAAACCTGTGATATTCTTTCAAGTTGTTGACAAAAAATTAAAAAAACTCATGTCGGTAACAGAGGGAATAAAATATGCAGCACTTTTTGGGCAATAAATCCAAACAGTGATAACTAGTGGCTCTCACTTACATATCCTTAACAAACTGGT